GATTTGAATGCTTTGCAGCAGCTGCGTTTATCGATAGTAATGTTCAAAATGTATATTTAAAGTTTGTTTGTGTATATAAAGCTAAATAATTCTATCGTCACTATCAGATAAAATACGTGAAGCACCGCGATTAGTCCAGTATTGTATTTAAATAAAACACTATTAACGGTTTCAAACACGAAATATATCATTTGCATGATTGAATGTAAAATCAGCTTTTTAATGTTATTTGTTGTATTGCTGCAATGTTTTTTCTTTCTCAGATGGATTAATCAATTGAAAGAGCTGGGTCGTCGCTACACTTGGGTGCAGATATTCGAGAACAAGGGCGCGGTCATGGGCTGTTCGAATCCACATCCACATTGCCAGATTTGGGCGTCCAGCTTCCTACCCAACGAGCCCAGGGTCAAAGACAGGTAAGTGCCCCCTATGGCCGTCCTCTTTTTTTATAATGGGGAGGCGAATAGGGGTGAAAAATGGGGCAATGGGGGAAGAAGCTAGCACATGGCATGGACGAATCACCGGACCTTCTATCAGTGTTCCCAATAGAAAATAATAATAAGGGGGGGGGGAAACTAGCAAAAATTGTGAATGGATTGAAATATTTCCGTTACTGGTATTTAAAAATTTAAAACTCTCCCTTTTGCGTTCCCTATTATATTAAAAACTGTACGTAGTTAACGCGATTAGTATACATTTAAATAAAACACTTTAACGGCTTAAAACGCGAAATATATTATTTTAAGTTCTATTTACAAATTACTTAAGCCATTGTCCGACATTTAACTAATATATTCCGCGTTTTAAACCGTTACAATGTTTCATGCCCTACTATACGTTATACGATTCATGTCGGCGTCCTTTTATCCTAGATAAATACAGACTGTATATTAATATTTATTGATTTACTTTTTAGATGTCAAAGGGCATATTACGAAAAGCACGAGAAAGCCATGTTGGTGGCCTACGTGGAGCAAGAACTATTAAAGAAGGTGATGTACCTACCATATTTTCGCCCCATACGTTTTACCCTTATATTATTTTATACTTCCTTACCCCTAAAATTAAGCATTTAAATTAATTCGGCAAACAATTGTTAATTCCACTTATATGCTTTAAATAAAATTCAATTAAAACGTGAATTAGGAAATTGTTTTTTTTATTAACTACGGCCCAATGTTTTGGATAGCTTTACACCACAGCTGCGTAAGCGTAAAGTACAGATTACCTATACTCACTTATATCCTTTATATACATATTAAACTTATATGTATACCTTTAGCACTCACGCCAAAAATACTTAATTTTTCCCTTTCATTATACTTATTTATTGAAACAAAATCATTTTAAACCATTTAAAAATAGTTTTTTTGCCATTTTAAATGACTCTCAAGTGCCTTAACGGCAAATAATAAATACAAAAAGAATTATGCTGTGCACTACTCGCAAAAAGTAAAATAACTGCTACTGTATTCTTGATCTAGCTTTGACATCATTTTTATTATCTAGATAATAAGCAAGCCCTCACAGATCAGCTCCTGGGTTGGAATCCAGGATTAAGCGACTTGTGACTTTGGTATTTGGGTTTAAGGAATTATCTAGTAACAGCGCAAAATTTGGAAGTAGGATGGGTCAGCACATTAGAGCAGTTAAGCCTTCGTGTTCGGTTACCACCACTAATGGGTTTTATAATTTGACATTGCGAAAAATATACCGTCATTTCCTGTTATCAGTATTAAGCATAAGTTTAAAATAGTAAAAGAGTCATTTAAGTTAAAATTTTGTCTTTTTTAAACATTTGTCACGTGACACAAAGCGATCTAAATTGGTCGGGCTTATGACGCGTCACTTGCTATTAAACACTACTAAACTACTAAAAACAGTACTATAAGCCAACGTGCTTCTAGTGTAATCAGTTCCATTCTCTGCATTAATTAATAAATAAATTTGTAACTCATTTCAATTCAATCGCTAAAATCTGAATTTATTGTTACAAATGCATGTAGATGATGTGATCAACATACACCAATGGCCAATATAAGTGTGACTCACTAGCCGTATTGCAGAGTAATTTAGCGTTTAGGCGGAATTTAAATGTTGATTTTCAATTTGATAATTTCAGAAATATGTAACAGAATTCAAGAATAGCTAACATCTATCAAATAAGATAAATTACATTTTTATCATCAGATAGCCCATTGAGTAATTACGACGGGGACTGGGGCTGAATTTAGAAGCTTAAGCAGTGGCGTAGATGTTGTAGTGCCATGTGGTGCAGTGCACCAGAGCCCTCTAACCTTACCTTTGAGAAGATATAAGCGTAGAAGAAAATGTTTTCTAACGTTCTTGTTGCTATATACAATTTTGGAGGTTTATTTAATTCAAGCTATACTAAAAGAGGACCCGATTCTTCCTTGACCCTTAGGATGGATAGGTAGACCGGGGCCCTTCTCCACGTAGCTACGTTTCTGAGCTTAAGTCTTAAAACTGTTGAGACGGTTATTTCTCATTACAGGAACGAATCGTGCTACAGAATAACGAGTGGGTGGCACTAGTACCGTATTGGGCGTCTTGGCCTTACGAAACCATGCTACTACCCCTAAAGGGGCACCCCCAGCGAATGACAGACTTGAACGACGACCAAAAGATGGCTCTAGCTGAAATCATGAAGCAATTAAACACGAAATACGACAATTTGTTTAACTGCAGCTTTCCGTATAGCATGGGATGGCATGGTCAGTTTATTTTTTTTTAATGATAGATAATGACAAATATGAAGGTCACTTAATGGAAGGTTAAATACCCCAGCCATATAACATATAAACAGAATGTGTTGTCCACTTTGGGTTTGTTTAAATTGTTAAATCCACAGACTGCAAACAAAACGTGATTTAACTTTACGGGTTTTTTATCTATGGATGGTGGTTTATGACCCGGATGGAGTTAATATTACCCTCTCACACTCATTCAATATCCAGATTTCCAGACGAAGCCTAACATGTCTCAGAAAATTTTAATTAATTAGAAATATGTAGGACCCATTGCCAATCCTAAATCCGTTAGTTATTAACCTAAATAAAATTAAATGCTAATATTACACCAACCAAAAATTATTATGAGGAGGCTTTTGCATAGCAATGGAGTTTTTTTGGCTGGCAGTAAGAAACTATTTTATTTAAACAATATTCACAGGAGCTCCGACAGGCCCAGACGCAAAACCCGGTGACTCCCCACACTGGCTGTTCCATGGGGTCTACCTCCCGCCGCTCTTACGTTCCGCTACCGTCAAGAAATTTATGGTTGGATACGAAATGCTGGCTCAGCCCCAAAGAGATCTGACTCCGGAACAGGCCGCTGAGAAACTCCGTCAGTGCGATCACTTAGTGCACTATAGAAATAAGAAATAATCATTACGTTTATCACAATAACGTTTAATATATTTTCCAGAAAAGTTATCTTATTTATCTATTTAATTTAATTATATAGCATTCAGCGTGGAAAAGTTTAAATCCCGGGGGCAATAAATAGTAAATGGTTTCGGTTGGACTTGTCAGTTGTTAAAATGCCCCATAGTGTGAAACAGAATTTCACATTTTTTCAAATAAATGTTACATCTTTTTGTTAGATTTAAAATTTAACCAATTAATAACCAAATCATATTATTTATCTTTATACTTTGAATTTCAACAATTCTCTATAGTCTGTTAATTATTGTGATATAAGTCAAATGTCAAGAGTGTCAGTGCTGTCAGTGTCAAACTTCGAAGTTTCGAAGATAATACATTTAATAAAAATAAAATGGCCGAAAGAAAGGCATGAAGCTTCCATTGTTATTAAAAAAGTTTCGTTGAAAAGCCGAAAAATGAAGGAAATTAACATAAATATTGAAGGTTATAACGTAAATGGCATTTGCGTGGGCTGCCTAAACTACAATAGGAAGATGTTTTACAAAAACTCTGTCATAGATGTTTTCAAAACTATCGCAGAAATCGATGTAAGTGGAAAGATTATTTAATTTACTGCTTCATTTGCATAAAAAATAAATAAACGCATTTAAAATTGTACATTACAATAGCTGTTTATCTCAGAAAATCTTTTTTAAAGTCATTGTTTTTGAGAACAGAAAATCTTGGATCCGCCATTACCTTTTAATTTTTATTGCGTTCTATCAAAAAGTTTTATACTGATACTAATACTTAACCCTTTTAGAAAGATTTTATTATTTCATATAAATATTATATTTTTAATCATAATAACCAGTAATCATATTTATGTTAACACAATTATTATTTCAGCATATAATATTTCTAAGATTACACTAGATTTTTTTAACTTTTTGTAACTGAATCCTTAGTTGAAGACAAGGTTGCGCAAAAGTGGTTTTATTTAATTTAAAAAAAATAGTAAAACCATTCCTCATAAGATACTGTTTTCTGGACATTAATAATCTATTGTAGGTCCCAGATGGTTTAGCAATACAAGTGTGTTGGGAATGTCTCGCAACTGTAAACAAAATTGTGAAATTCAAGCAACAAATACTCAAATCATATGATATTCTTGCTGCATATTCTAACATTGTAAGTATTCTTATAACTACTTCTTATGGCTTTGTTATTTTTAAATACCTCAGGTTCAATTAACAATAGAGCCATTTTGTTGTAGCTTAGAGAAATTAAAAACAAGTGAACTTTTAATTGTATGGTCTATTTACTGTAACAAGTTATTAGACATTTTCTATCTTTGTTCAATGAAAGAAGAGAGACAATAAATTTCTACATTGGTAATAAATAATTGCAGTATCCATTCCTGAACAATCCGAGTGACCTGTCTCAACATGCATCTAATATATTGGGAACGCAAACAAATGCATCCCCAACAATAGATGTAGAAGAAAAGGTAGAAGAACAAGAGATTAAAGAAGATTCAATCAAAATTGAATTAAGACCAGAGAGTGAGTTTATTTAGGTCAAAATTAAATACGACCATTGTCATATTTCCAAGGAGTTTGAATTTTGATAAACATAAAAGAATCAAGTATCCTGACATGGCAATCTTTTCACAAAAAATCTGAAGTAGTTCACATAGTATTTTTTCAGATCTAGATGTCAAAGATGAACCAATAGACACAGCTATGGATGGTTTATCTTCAGATGATGATATGCTTCTGGCTGACTTGAAGCGGGAAGAAAGTGAAGACAAAGAAAGGAAGAAAGTCAAAAGAAAAAGGAAGAAACTAGTAAGTATAAAATCTAAAGAAAGACTTTTATGACAGAAGAGGGCAGACCTTTATTTAGAATGTAATGTATAATCACCTTATAAGGACAAAATAAGTGTACCAACCAAAAGGCTTCATAAAAGTAGTAGTTCTTTTCAAGGTGAATTCATACAATACTTTATCCCCAGTGAAGTGCAAGCACTCTTAATAAATAATGTAAAGATTCTTTAATTTCATGACATTCATAAGTGTACATAGTTACCTACGTGAATAAATTATTTTTTACTTCTTGACTTTGACTGCTATGTTATAGTGAAAAAAATGTCATCTATGATGGACTAAACTTCCTAGAAGGTGGTCGTTATTTTATATGAAAATCCACGTTCCTTTGGTAAACCACATGTGCTACTAGAATGTCGAAGTCCTCAACTGAAATTACCAATCAGTAAATTGATTTACAGTTAAAGTGGAAAAGAAGGAACCAACTAAAACTTACACTAACAACCGTTCTATCGTTTGCAGGTTGAAACAGGAGACTCACCAAAGCGAAACCGCCTAAAGAATCTACCGAAAGGCATAGTAGATGTGTACGTGATGAACGAAGAGGAGATGTGGGCCACACGAGAACGAGACGTGCAGAGCGAAGAGTTTAGCAAGATGAAATACAAGTGTACGGATTGTGTGCGAAGCTTCATATCCCAGAAGGCGATGGGGTTCCATTTTATAGGAAAACACACGCCAGTACTGACTTCTTTAATTCATTATTGTTTGTAGCTTAGTTTATTGTCTACATCTACAAATAATAAAAAATACTTACCAACCTACTACTACTAAATATTTGGGCCCTTATAGAAAGCTCTGTTTCTCAAAATATGTAAAATTGGGGTCGCTCTCCATCACTAGCTGCTGCTGCAGAGCATCCCAAACGCCGGGTCATTGCAAAGAATATTTTAAATTCAAGGGACTTTATTTCAAGACAATTTTTTATTTAAAACTTAATCTAGTCCTTAATAGATAAAAATAGTACCTGACTACACTGAGGGAAAACAAAAAATAAGTAGCTGTACACGACATTATATAAAACACGTTTTAACGGTTTTAAGGTGTACATATATGACCTCGGAATTTCACGTAATACGTTCAACAAACAAATACTTTGTATGTATGTAAAAGTACAGTAGTAGAGTATTTTTGAACAGCGGTGCCGTAGGTGTATTTAATTTTAATACTTTTAAGATGTAGGCCTTAATCTTACCTTAAATTAATGTTTGAATTGCAGAAGGAGAAACATTCGATACCTTGCGACGTGTGCAATGCGTATTTCTTGCATCAGGAGAGCTTATCGTTGCACAGGAGCTTGCATTACAACGCTTTTATGTGAGTATATATAATATAATAATAGCTGAATCCTGTGACCCCCACTCAGTCCCTGGTCTCGGAACCCCAGCACGGGTTCACTTGATATTGAGTGAAGCTCGATATTCCTACCATCCAAAGGTTTTTCGCCAGTTTTTCCAATAAGTTTAAGAAAAATGGCACAGATGCAATTGTATTTAGGGAAAAAAATCGATATTAATCTCGACGTTCTTTTCGTGAAATACCCTCCGTGTTGTTTTCAGATGTCGCGTCTGCGGCTTGGTAACTACCCTCAAAAGTTTGATCGCGAAACACGAGTGCGCCAAAGCTGCCAAGATACACGTCTGTTCCTTATGCAATAAAAGTTTTAGGTAAATATTGTATGAATGCTTAATCACATCTCAAAGGGTTTACATTTGAAGTTTCTTTTTGATAACTTTGATGGATTAAGCTCAAGCCTTATCGAAACAAGTCCATAGAAACCAAAACGCGATCAAACTTCTCTCCTTTTTTTTATCTGTGGACTAGCAGTTGCCCACGACTTCGTCTGCGCCCTGCCGTTCTTAGTTAGAGAGTTAATTTAAAAAAAATTTGAATTATTCAGCCGGGGTCATTTTTTAAAATAATTTGAAGAAGAATCGTTGTTTCATACACTTTTTAACCGTTTTCGCAGCGCACGCAATGGAAGCTGTCAAATGTTAAAAAAAAATCCCGTTTTTTGTTACATTTCCCTGTTTGCAGCTTGATGTTTTGTAGCCTAAATCGATAAATCGTCCAGCCAACACAGAAATATTTTTTTTAGTTCGAACCAGTAGTTTGAGATTAGCGCGTTCAAACAAACTTGTCAGCTTACAATATTAGTATAGTTAACACTAACATATATCTATTTCAGTTCAAAATCCAAGCTGATCTACCACAGGAGTGTATGCAATGAAGAAAAACCGCAGTGCGATTGTTGTGGAAAGGTTTTCGCGAACAAAATCACATTAAAATCACACATTAAGTGAGTATACTGCAAAAAACAAGCTTCATAATATTAGCATCTAGAAGTAATGATCTATTTAAATAAAACACTTTAACGGTTTAAAACGCGATATATTATAGTTAAACTTGTTTGAAAATTATTTTCATTTTTAACTAGCCCGACGTTTCGGATGCTTTGCAGCAGCCGTCGTCACGGCGAGGCGGGGAGTAATGATCTACTTAAATAATGTGTATATTTTACACGAGTAGTACACATTTAAATAAAACGCGGTTTCAAAGGTAGGTGTTTTGAGATTTTGGGAATCTACCTAATTCTACAAAATGTACTTTCCTGCGACAAGATTAAGAAACACGAAAATTTCAATAGGTCTGAAGTTATTAAACACCTGGGAACCCATATTAAAAACACTGGACAAGGCCAGATTCACTAACCACCAACTGCGTCAGAACAGATGGCGAAATCCGAAACGTTGGGCCGTAGTTAAAATAATTTTCAAATAAGTTTAACTAATATATATCGCGTTTTAAACCGTTAACGGTTTATTTAAATGATCTACTAATTGTTTGTCCCCAGCTATATGACGGGCGTCCTGCCTAAGAAGAAGAAGAAACCCACCAACGTGTTCATACCGTGTAAGGGCTGCGACAAGGTCTTCCAGTCTTTGAAGAGTTATAGGGCTCATGTGTGAGTTTTTTTTAATGTAATAAAACGGGAAGAGGGGGTCTCTTACACGGATTCCGTATGTTTGGATATGTACAAAAATGTCATATTAATACCATTTTAACATGTGAATGGCAGCCTGTTTGAAATAATTATGTTAACTTGATTTAGTTATGTTGATTTTATTTTTTTATTCTATTTATGTATTTGATTAACCAACATTCTTACAACTAAATACTTAATCTAAGATACAAGTTTAAGGGAGGGCAATTCTAAAACTTAATTATATCCTCGTACTAAATACTGTCTGCAGTTTACACGAGTAGTGCACGTTTAAATAAAACACTTTAACGGTTTAAAACGCAATATATATTAGTTAAACTTATTAAATTTATTTTATTTTTTATTCATTTACACACACACAGATACACAAAAATATTCTGTCATTACAGATATAATCCAATTCGATAGTAATACACGATATAAGAAAAAATATGAAAACTGAGTTTTAATAATTACTTTCATTACTTCTAGCAGCAATTACGTTAAGAACAATATTTGCTATTTCACTCCAATACCCCGTGAAAATGTCAACCCCGTGGTGTCAAGTTGGAATGAGTGAAAGGCACAACCAGCAAACGGTGGATGATGCCGTTTTCCCACGTAATTAACGTAACGTAACGTTTTAACTTCGGCCCGACGTTTCGGCTGCTGCAAAATAGTTAAAAATAATTTTCAAATAAGTTTTACCAATATATATCGCGTTTTAAACGGTTAAAGTATTGAATTTATATATCTACGTAATTTTATTATTGACATTTATTTTATATCGATGAGTTCGCTTATCTTACGACATAGGCCTCCTTCATAATTTTCCACAATGTCTTATAACGAGCTGTTCCTCGCCACATTGGTCCTCCTCCCATCTGGTTACTAAACTCCCTCTATTTCTTTTCCCTTCTCGATGTTTCTCGACCAGTTGATTAGGTCGTTCGTCCATTTTTCAGTGTGTCTCATGATTTGTCTTTTCCATCGACACTTTAGCCGCCTTATTATCGTTACAATGCACTTCAATTCGGTTCTTTTTCTTATATTTGTTATGAGTTTTTTTATGTTCTATTTATTCAGTAGTGTAACAAAAATACTGAAAATTACGCAGTGTTGTCCACGATGGCGTGAACTACCCCTGTCCAATCTGCGGGAAACTGTTTCGTTGGAAGCGGAATCTTGCCCGGCACACGCGCAACCACAAAGACAAGGAGTCCGGTAACGCGCCGCAGTGCAAGGACTGCGGGAAGACGTTCTCGAGTCGCGACTGCTACAATAATCACATGAAGCTGAGCAAGAGGCACGTGCACGAGAGTGCGCTGGTGTGAGTACCATGTTTATCAGCGTGACTACGGTATTAGTGAGCGTGTCTACTGTGTTAGTCAGTGCATTAGGTATTTGTACTACTGTGTTAGTCAGCGTGACTACTTTATTAGGGAGCATGTCTACTTTGTTAGTGTATCTACGGATCAGTCAGCGTGACTACGGTGTTAGTCAGCGTGACTACGGTGTTAGTCAGCGTGACTACGGTGTTAATCAGCGTGACTAGTGTTAGCAGCGTGTCTACTATGTTAGTCAGTGTGTCTACGGTATTAGTCAGCGTGACTACTGTGTTAGTCAGTGTAACTCTAGTAAAGCGTTGTGGCTTTTCAATAACTAAACTAACTCAATAACTATAATTTTTAGCTGTATGATTAAGCGTGTCGAATTCTGGCTTTACACCAACACTGATCAATGCCCTATAAATCATTAATTAATAGCCATAATCATTTTACTCATAGTCTGTTATAATAAAAGCCTCTCTCTCTCTCTTTCTCAGTAACATTTTGTGTTTCAGTCACGCCTGCCAATACTGCAACAAGCGCTTCGCGACGAAGTGGTGCATGGTGGATCACATAGACTGGGACCATCTCAAACGCATCAAGTATAGGTGTCGCGTGTGTTATAAGGTGATAAGTTTACTTGTCGCTCCCCTTATACGATAAAATCGTATAGTAGGATTGCTTAGTAAAACACTTTTAAGGGTTTAAAACGAGAAATATAATATTTAACCTTCTGTTAATTCAATTTAACTACGACCCGAAGTTTCGGTAGTTTTGTAACAGCCGTGGTCACGGGAGAAAATTAAAAATAATAAACTACCCACAGCATACTGTCTGTATTATGCGAGTAGGACACATTTTAATAAAACACTTTACCGGTTTAAAACGCGTTATATTTTAGTTAAACTTGTTTGAAAATTATGTATTACTACGGCCGGACGTTTCGGTGCTTTGTAGCAGCCGTGGTCACACGAAGACGTCGGGCCCTAGTTAAAAATAATTTTCAAACAAGTTTAACTAAAATATATGACGTTTTAAACCGTTAAAGTGTTTTATTTATAACCACAGCATGATTCTTTTTTTATATCTGATGTTATTTTTTTGCAGCCCTTCAAAACATCCAAAATAATGGTTGCGCACATGAACAATATACACGAAGGCAGAAATAAACAACAGGAGTTAGAGGGAGAGCATCTCTGCGAAGTCTGCGGCAAGTCTTATAAGGTGAGTCCGGTAAATGTGGCTGGCACACTTCTGTGTCTGCTTCGCTCAATTTTATTTACAAGCAAGTGCCATGTCACGCTTTCCCCGTTTTCGAAGCCAGGACTGAAAGACGCGTGCCTTTTTTTACTAGCTGTGTCAGCGACTTCGTTTGGGGTTGTCCATTAATCACGTACGTAAAAAATACGTAGTGAGATTTAAGACCACCCCCCCTCCCCCTTCTCAACATCACGTGTATTTTTAGTACCTATAAGGAATCTTAAAATTTTATGAATATTATCTTAATATAAATACAGGTTTAAACTATAATCTTATTTTATTCTGAAATTAAGGACCATAATAAAAATCGCGCGTTTGACAAAAAAATAAATACACGAGATATCTTACTATACCCCCCTCCCCCCTTGTGTTATTTTCGTGATTTTTATCAAACCCCTCCCCCCCTTTCAAGCCTCACGTGATTAATGGACAACCCCTTTTTTGTCTTTATAAATTTAAACTATTACCCACGACGTCGGACGCGTCCCGTCGTTCTTGAAAGTTAATCTTAGAAATCATCTTGTGTCGCCTACTTCTTAGATCATTTAAAGGGGAATCATTCTTTCGTACATGTTTTTTGGATTAACCCACAAGGATGAATCAATTTCCCCTTTTTTTCACATTTTTCGCTGTTTTCTCGCTCCTATTAGTTGCAGCGCGATGTTTTAAAGCGTATACTATACTATATAGCCTTTCTAGCCACTATAGAGCCTTCCTCGATAAATAATTTTTCAATTCGAACCATTAGTTCCTTAGATTAGCGCGTTCAAACAATCTCAAGCTGTAATATTAGTCTGTGTTGCGTTTTTTAATAAATAAATAAATATTTATACTTACAGGCATAAGATTCAGTTTGTGGTTCAAAAGCATAGTTCTGTTCAGCGCAGGCTGAGCCTGTCAATGTCAATAGTTGAGTAAGAACACAGGCTTGGGGTTTTCTTAAGTAACGGTGGAATGCAATAGACCCAGGGCCTCCGCAAAAGATATTTTGGAATCCACAATAGATTTTGGATTTTTTTTCAGACTGAAAATAATTTTCGTAAAAAAAAATTGCGGATTTATTGTTTTTAATTTTTCATATGTCTATTAAATACTGTCTATAGTTTACTCTAGTAGTACACATTTAAATAAACCACATTAACGGTTTAAAACGCGATATATTAGTTAAACTTATTTGGAAATGATTTCGGATGCTTTGCTGCAGCCGTGTCTTCCCGTGACCGCGGCTGCTGCAACTAGTTTAATTAATATCACGTTTCAAACTGTTTTATTTAACTGTGTACTCGCGTAAACCACAGACAGTTCCCGTAAACCCAACGTTGTTGACAGACGGTGAAACGGCTAAAAGGCCACGTGTGGGCGATGCACACGAAGCGTTCGGACACGAAGAGTTTCAAGTGCGCCCTCTGCCCGGCCACCTTCAGCTGGCAGACCTCCATCTACAAGCACATGCGCATGATGCACGGGGACAAGCGGGCGAAGGTCGGTCGCTTTTAATGTTAGAGGACAGGCGAACTGGGGTACACTTGGTGGTTGGTGAAATAGCCCAGCCACATAACATCTGAACAAGATGCGCTGTCGACCTTTTTTGACTTTGGTTATTGGGAAATCCAGAGACTGAAACCGAAACGCGATTAGGTAACACGATTTCTGCATCTGCGGACGGTGGTTCGTGACCCGGACAAAATTTCGATATTCCTACCATGTAATATCCAGATTTCAAGACGAAGTCCAGCATGTTTCAGAAAAATTATAAATTCGAGTCGAAAGCGCACCTCCTTTTAATATTATATGACGTCACTGAAAGGTCGAAATTTTCGTTCGCAGCAACCTCGTGCTCCTCCACCTATGAAGCAAGAGAGCTTTCCGGACGTCGAACTGGCGACCCGCATGCAGTACTTCCCACAGAGTATAGGCGGATTACCACCCATACAACCCATCAATATCGTACAAAATATCGTTTAAGCTACAGTGGTACAGAAGAATAATTCCGCTGGAAATGGACTGATTACTTGTTAATTTACCGTACATTGTGATTTTGTAAATAAAGTGTTATATATAACATTTAGCCCTTGGTTACTCTTGGGAAATTTCTCCCGGGTCATCGTTCAGTTCTTCAAGCCCCCGGTGGGGCGGCCTTCGTCTAGCCACAGGAACTATCGTCCAAAAATCCGGGTTAGTCGACAGGTTTGTACCAATTTTTTTTTTCGATCGTGCTATAGATGAACTTGATAAAACTATTAAGAGGATTGGAGAGTAATTCAGCCGACTGAGGTGATCTGGCACTATACGTCCCAGATAGTTACGTCTGAAAGCACCATCAGCCTCCGCTGCTTCGCGCCCCAGCCGCAAAGACTACTTGACCAGGCAATGCTTGCATTAGTCGCCTGCATCGAGCCCACGATATTATGCACAGTCCGTTGACTGAGTTGGCAGACAGCACATAAGTGTTGAAGCCGCATTGGGGGAATCCCTGTCAGGGAATACCTTAGTATTTATTTATTAGTCAAAAATATATAACGTCAAAAAAGGATTGTCGGTCCAAAATTTTTTCAAAATTCTTCTTAGTGGTGTTTAAGGCAGGAAAGCACAAATTAATAACCAATTATTTTCTAGTTGTAGCCATTGTGTAGCAAATCGAACTGAACCGAAATTCATTTACGCTGAATTATTCTACCTGTTAGAAATAAAAGGCGGCGCAGACTATTATTTACAGTAGGACAATTTAAAACGCTGCTGAATTCGATTCTGTGGACTCACTAGAACGCGGCACACTGTTTCGTGGTAGGTTTACTTTATAAAAATGCTGAGGTGGAACAGACGGTGACCATTAAGTTAGTAGATCAAATTATTAACAAAAGTAACCGACTTCAATGAGTAAAGAAAACAATAAATCTACATCGAACAGAGTAATACGTATTTTTTAAATTTAGTTTTTAGTTAGTTAATTTAGTAAATAAACCGATTTCATATATCTATTGATATAGTTGTTTGAACGCGCTAATCCCAGGAACTAGGTACAGGTTCGAATTTAAAAAAATATTTTTCTGTTGGAAAATGTGAAAAAAACGGGGAAAATTATTCATCCGTGTGCGCTGCGTCGTTGTGGGTTTAATTTATTAAGACGCAATCCAAAAAAAAAATAGTATTCTCCGCGGACGAATTCGCTGACACCGGTTGTTTTGTATAATTTTGACGTCTGTGTCGGTTTTCCTTCGTATCCCACGGTCAAATAACTACTGTGCCCGCCAAGTTATACGAATTGCATGATTATATCCTTTTTGTCAGTGTTGTTTCACGTAAATTTGGAAAATGTTGATACATACATTTTGTTTTCAAATTCTCTATATATGTAAGTATGCTTATTAAGCATTTAAATAAAACGCGGTATATATTAGTTATACTAATTACCCGTTATACAGTGTTGTCGGTCGGTCGCCCTTAAAAGTAACGAGACGTCGGATACTCTTTCTATTTTAAGCTAATAAAAATAACTTTTAGTTTGTAAAGCCATAGATGGTTAGCCGACAATACGAGGCCGCTAGAGGCAGAGTAGCCTAACTGCATTTTTATGAGTAATTTATATTTTCATAGACTAAACATCTTAATCTACAACAGCACAGTGACCGAAAACTGTTAACATAATACTTACACAAATAATAGTATAAATTCATTTTCGCCCAAGTTAATTGCGCATTTTTATTTTCCCCATTGAAATTTTTTTTTTTGTTATTACCCCACTCTGGCTCTAGTCGCCTCACATATGAGTGAAATTTTCTATTTGTCATGTTTTCCGACGAATCCTTGACATTTTTTAGATTTTTCTATTTAAAATAATTGTTAGTCATAGGTATTTGTTTCAGGTTACATAGTCCTATTGCATATTATATCGAGCAATGAACATAGAAAACGATTTACCAGCTACGGCTACGTGAAGCGGCCCAGTGCCCATTCTAATAACAGACTAGATTCGTGGTTCGTGGAATATTCGAGAATAAGTCCCAGGTTCTATGGAACTGACTAATCACCTAGAGTGATAAACCAGATAATTAAAGACTAGACGTGATTACTTTATCTGTAACAGTTTTTATATCGAGTTTCGGAGAAGAACAGTACATAGACAATAAGGCCACGATTACTAAATAAATGTTACCAGTAATTATTTTTGCAATTTCTTTACAATATTGGTAAGATTTTGTAACTTACTGAGAAGTTATATTATTTTGTCTGAATTTTGTATAATGTTTTGGTTACTTAGTTTTCTTTAACAAACAAATACTTGATTTTGTTGATTCCTTTGTTCTTCGCTCCCGTTTTAAGGAAATTAGGGAAAATCACACACATCACAGTAAAGAAAAATTTTGAAAATCCTATGGACGACTAGTTCTCTTAGCACTTTTAATAACTACAATAATTTAATATAGATTTGGAATAGATCTGATGATGAAGTCGAGAGACAGTCGAAGGAATTTAACGATGGTTCACAGCAACCGCCTTGTGTTTATGCTATATTGTTAACAAGTTAACCTTTAGATAGATAACTTTTTTGAGGGGTCTGCAGGCCGATTCTCGTATTAATATAAGTTAAGCAGCAGCGCAGTTGCAGTGACGTTTTGTTGTTTTGGTATTCTCGTCTAACGTCAAACACGTTCGCATGAAGTTTACGTGACACCAGCGTGTATTTGACAATTCGCTGGCGTACCTTATTGGATGCGCAATTGTCAAATTAAGAGAATACTGCAACTTGATCGAAACGTCATTAAATTAGTAGAATCGGCCTGCTGATCTTGATTGCTCAAATTTCGTAAATTTATTAGAATCGCTTTCATTTTGTGAAGGTCATTTTTAGTAAACCTACAGAAAAATGAGATGCATAATAAGTATTACAGACACTATTAAAAATAAAACTAAATATATTATTCTTATTCTACGTTTTTATGGTAATTTGACATCGATACTGGCATCATTATTGATAACTATGCGCGGGAGGCGGAGACATTGACATTCTCTTGTCTTTGTCAAAAAGTAATTTAAGCGATTTAGCGCTGCAAACAGAGGTATACTGCGAGACAATTATACTAATATATAGAGCTGAAGAGTTTGTTTGTATGTTTGAACGCGCAGATCTCTGGAACTACTAGTTCGTTTTTTTTTAAAATATTTTTGTACTGGTAATTCCCAAAGGGGTCTACGTCAGCGTAAAAATAAATTTGGGGTCCATGAAATGAAAATAGCAGTCGAAACGATAGTGGACACACACACTGATAGTATCTATTTACGTACTTCATACTATTTGATAATATCAAAGCATATTCATTATTTATATAAGTACCTATAATTTTAAATTTATACATTTATAAATTAATTAACAAATGTATAAATTAACATGTGTTTTTACACTAAACTTCACACAGATAGAAATTTACAGATATCAACATCAGGTAAGTAGGGGGTCTATCCAACACGGAAAACATGGCAAGGGGTATACGACACAAAAAATGTCCGCGACATATATATCTGTCTTAAGTTTATATGATGAAGAGAGGTTTGTAAAAACAAATTTATATGCCCACCATAACTATTTTTCAAAGTTGCATTTTGTAAAATCAAAATTAAGTTTAAAGTTTTACTATTTATTGTGTAACGTTTTTTTTTAGTTTGAATATTGTATTACAATTTATTATTCTCTCTCTGTGTTTTATATTTTTTTTTTTTTTCCTTTTCTTTAACAAGGTGCCTGGAAGAAATCCAAGGAAGGGTTGATAACTCTTTTTTAAAATATTAGTTACTATTTTTTTTTCAATAAAGTTTATATTATTATTATTATTCTACCGGCATCGCTGGCGATAGTATAAAAGGTAAAGGGCTCCCATACTAAAAACAAAAACAGAGCACTGGAATATTAATAAATCCTCATAACATGAAATGAACCAATACATAAAATGTATTTTTTTTTTCTGGTGAAAGATAGCGCTTTAACACAGCGCTAGTTGCGGTCGAAGTCTCTACTGCGATATAACATATCGCGCCCTCTGTAGTCTGTACAGCGTACTTAGTCCACTCAGGCACTCACTTACATTCCACCATGGGGTTATTCCAAAGTGTACAATTATACGCGCTCGATTGTGAAATGGTCCAAAATTACCAGAACAGGAGCATGGTCGCTAGAGTGTCCGTCGTCAACGAGAACTTGCAGGTTGTTATGGATTGTCTCGTACGGCCCACTTCCCCAATCGTGGACTACAGGACTTGGGTGTCGGGAATACAACCGGGGTACGAGGACGGTCCGAACGTAAAAGACCTTAGCTCCGTGAAGAATCAACTGTTGAGTTTGTTAAGTGGGAACATTTTAGTTGGGCACGATTTACTGCACGATTTCACCGCGCTGGGTCTTCAGCACGATGATGTTAGAGATCTGGCGACATACACGCCTTTCATTCAAGTGAGTATTTTGGAGTCGAAACGCTTGAGTGATATGAACTAACTATATTTCTTTATCGGACATTTGACAAAGAGTATGTAGGAGTGATATTGTCGATACAATATAGATATAAAATAACAGAAAGTGAATTCAAAGACGTGGTTTTTCTGTTTTTGCCTAATACTTAGTCAGTTAGGGCCGAGGAGGGTCATGACCCACCCGAGCTGGTTATAGGACTTAGGTGGACCGCTAATTGAACATATTGATTTTGATACTGTCTATAGTTTACGCGAGTAGTACACATTTAAATAAAACACTTTAACGGTTAAAACGCCATATATAAGGATAGACTTCGCATTAGATTCAGCAAGTTTGGAAACCCACGTGATGAATATGAATTCCAGCTAATTCGAGCTAGTTGTGACAAATTAGCACGTACTAATTATAATGATTATATTAATAAAGTCGAAAATAACCTAAACCATGATGCAAAAGATTTTTGGAAGTTCATTAAAAATAAGCGAGCAAGTACTAAAGGATTTCCTAGTTAAATGTTTCTCGACGGAAAAAAAAGCGACGACTAGCAATGATATTGCCAAATTTTTGCTGAATTTTATATTGAAGATCTGAAAAATACAAATAACTATTTCCATAATAATTTACAAAATGTTATTCCACTCTGTAGAATTAAATTTACAGAAAAAGACATTCTAACTAAAATAAGAGGTTTGAATATTGACAAGTGCTGGGCCCGGCAATATACCACCCCTTTTTATTAAAACCTGTGCTACGTCTTTACTTCTTCCACTTAACGTACGTAGAAACCGTCCATTGTGCCGTGTATGTGAGACCCTTAACAATGTCACTTTGATTCTTTTACACGATTCAAACATAAAGTATTGCGACTATAGGCTTCGACACTTTATTATAACTAGGTTAGAATTCTGTACTCTAACTATTTCGAAACACTAATTTTGAGTTAACAATGCTGTGTACATCAGTAATTGGGTGCTACATAGGTATCTTAACTTATTGTAATGTTAAGTATAATGAATTACATGTAAGTGATCTGTTGATGTACCATAATAAATAAATATATTTGTTAAACTTATTTAAAAATGATTTTTAACTTCGGCCCGACGTTTCGGATGCTTTGCAGCAGCCGTGGTCACGGCTAACCGTTAGTGTTTTATTTATATTGATTTTGTTTTCAGTGTGTTATTTAAGTTTTTAAAGTTTACAATTAAGAATGAAATTTTGAAGTAAAGTATGTTTACATATGCACATTAATAATATATCTACTTTTTAGTCGTTTCTATTATAGAAACTAAATTCAAGATTCTTGACCACCAGTATGTGCTCCCTCCTCCTGGCGCCAGCTGGATCCGTCCTTGATTTAGTGGCACGGCATCCGTGGCTTACTCGGTTCAATGCCCGCCTGATTAAAAATACAATTACTTTATCACCCTAACTTTTCCAGAAATACGGACACAAGCCTTCTTTGAAAGCTTTGGCGAGGGATGAATTAGGAGTGAGCATCCATCTCGGAGAACACGACTCGGTTGAAGATGCTAAAATAGCAATGGAGATCTATAAAAAATACAGATTTTAATTATTATATACATTCAATATACTATTATCTCGGATGTGGAGGATGCGGACAACATTAAAATATTTCGAAAATTACATACAACTTTATTTAGGTATATACAACATAAATTACACATAAGGAAACTACTTTAGTTATAAAAATACATTTATCTGGTATTGGTGCTTGAATTTAATTTGAGATTCGGTTTTTGGCTTCATCACTTCTATTACTGTTAATCAAATAAAATTATCCAAATAAATATTGTTCTTTATTCCATTCAAATTGGTTACCTTCGAATTTGAAAGGGCTTTGTAAGATAATCAGAAGACTTTAGCTTCAGTGAGTGTTCTTTATCATAATAAAATTAAAGCTTCAAAACAATTACCAACTCTTCAAATCTGTCACATACACCTAAACTAAAAAAATTAAATAAAACAAAAATATATTTAAAAAACTACAATGCATCATACTGTAAAATGTTTGCCAGGTCAACTAGTTTCATATAAGGAAGGGTCTATCGAGATATCTTTTTACCCTCATAGATTATATATTAAAGACAGCCGCATTGTAGTGAACTGCACTACAATACAATACTGGACTGCAGATCATGTGTCTACGACCGGAGTTTGCAAATAGGGAGCGTCAGTATCCCGTCGGCACTGGTTGTCATCAATAATGAAGTGAAAGTAGTTGCTCCAGCTGACCAACTATCACTGTTACAGCGTGGTGGGTCTGTGTCCAGCATCAGAACATTAATCAGGGTGGAGTCAATTGAATATGCGTATCTTGTTTCCTTACATAGGTCATTGTGCAGACATTTCTTATATTCATTATTGGCATAATTTATCAGATCTTTGTACATTGTAACTGAAACTATTAATTTGTTTTCCAAGAATTTGAACCTGAGGCCAATAGAATATACCTACTAAGCCAATTGTTAGTGTAAATATATCAAAGAATTCTACATAACATTCTTAGGTTTTGGCAAGTCTCAAAAGTCAAATGATCTCACAAAATATTATATGGTAAATACATATTATTCCAAAAATAACTTTAAGTACAATCTGGATATAAATAAACTCATTGTCAGAGTTCAAATAACACAATGTTAAATTGAACCTGCAAGGTTTCGCATATTACATAGCAATTTTATGACAGATGATAGACAAACATAGAGTTCACTCGGCAGGTGAAATACTCTGTCAGATAACAATAAGGAAGCAGTACACCTTTTTTACAACAAACATCGGGAAATCCGTGGACTAAAGGCAAAATTTGGATTTAGACACACTTCACAATTTTTTAACAGAGAAAGATGATGGTGGCAACAAAACAATATAATTTCCGGCCAATTGGTGTGATAGTAGCAATGTATAATAATTAACAGGTTGTGGCTTTATCTCCACTGGTTCCAATGAGCCTCAAATCAATTTATAACTTTTCTGAAGCACAGTACTTTGTCTGGAAATCTGGATATTAAATGGCCTACAGCCCTCGTCCAATATCTCTCTGGGTCAAACCACCATCCAAATGAAAAAATACCATGAAATTTAACTGCATTTTGGTTTCAGTCTGTGGATTTCTGAACATCCAAAGCCAAAATAGGTTGACGGTGCAACCATCACTCCAACATAAATAAAACTATATATAATGTAAATTATGTACAGTGAACTCCGATCAACAATACAATTAGAAATTCAGTAAAAATTTTTAGATAATAACACCTGTATTATATTCAGCTCTGTTTCTGCTGCTAACCTACTTGTAGGGTCATCCACCAAAGTTGCAGAAGATGCCATTTCGAATTTATTGATAATAATAGGGCTATTAGCTTTTTTGGTCTCTAAGACACTGTTGGAATCTGGGACCTTCGCTGCAATTAGCATAAGGGTATAATTACTAGTATTACCAGTTTTGAAGCAAGAAATAACAAAGTTAATTTTATTAATCTTTGTATAAATAGAAAATACCTTTTTTATTTTGCGTTATAAGAGGAAGAAGATGCCTCAGGTGATAGCAAATTTCAAGAAACTTTTGTAGTTTTGAAGTTTGTTAGTTATCCAGTCACATTGATGATCACTAAGTGTAACCTATTAAACTAGTCATAACCGTTGATGAATTCTGTTCATATGAGTCAACAAGGACTGTTTCGCTTTGAACTTTGATGAGCAAAAATCACATTCAAATGTTAGATTCTTGTATGTATGTTTGCTATTGTAGTGCTTGTTCAGTCTTTCTTTACTCGTGAACTTCTTCTGACACTTGATGCAGGAGTTTTCCGCTAGAATCTGCTTCAGTTTCAAATGGCGACGTAAGCAATAACGCGATTTGAAAGTGATATCGCAAGTTTCACATCTCGACTTGCTCTTAGTTTGATGGTGAGTTTGACAGTGTAAATCGAGATTGCTCTTGCGCCTGAAGATTATCTGGCATTCGTTGCATTGGAAAGTCGCCTGGCGTTGCTGTACTTGATGGTTCGACGTCATATGGCGGAAAAAGTGACTGTTCTGCGTGAATTTCACACAGCAATACTGACACGAGTATATGAAGTTCTGGTTTTCGAAAGTCGGGTATTCTTCTGGTCGCCTGTGGAGTGCCGGACGCGTCACGCGTATCCTCGGGCCTGTTCTGATCTTCTTACTCATAGTGATTTATTTTCAAGACCTATGCATTTTGATACAACACTGACGATGTTTCCAGCAGTTTAATATATATTGTTACAGGTTATGATTAGCAATATTTGTAGAACACTTAATTACACTGTTTGATAATTAAATGAACGAACAAAGCATAAATATTGCTGGCAATTAATATAACATAAACGCTCAACGTAATGTCAAAACGAAAATAATGAACTTGAATGAAAGTGCGGTGCGTTCAGACACGCATGTACTTTCTCGTTTGTTTATTTGACTAATTTTTATTACAATTATTATTTTGAACTGTTTTTCTCGTCTAATAATTAATAAATAATAAGCACAAAGAATAACTTTTTGCGTATTAACAATATCAAAGAAGTAGTAAAGTATAATTGCCTTAATGCATCCAACAACAAAGACAATGAATATGGTTTTGGGACGAACATGCCAATTTTACTGTTGCCGTTATTTATCTGTCCTTGAAACTTTGGTATTTAGGTCAAACTTTTTAAAGAATTTTGCTTCGTTGCGAAGAGGTTATATCTATAATTTATATTCGATAAATAGATGAGTCATTTTAATTTATATTTTATTCAACAGCAGTCGTCTAATCGTGGATTACTAAAGCTTGAAAATAGTTTTAAATTAATGCTTATAATGCATTAAATGTTAAGGGATTTTTTCAGCTCTCGTCTTAATAGGCATTGTAGATGCAAACTAGTTCGCTAGTACGATGACCGAGTAAAATCATTGCGTCAATTAAAATCTGCCTATGTATGCCTTGCAGCTTTTTAATATAACAAGATATTTTTTTTGAGAAAATATTTTTTTCTCGCTTTCGTTATCGAGACTATCTGTTCTTCCATTACCATCTGTTACCTATTACATAAGATTATTCCAGTTAAACTTAGATAATCTGTAAATTATAAGGCACGTACTGGCGTCAATATTACCACGTTTTCATTTAACACTTCGAAACCGTTATTGTTTGCGAATGTTCTTATTTAGAGTGAGTGGTATTAAAGGCCCCATATACTTTATTAGCTGTGTCAGCGACTTCGTCCGCGTAGAATAGTTATATATATATACAATTTAAACACTCAAAAATTATAATAATGAGAATCTAAATCATGGACGGGGCAAGACTAACCTTGACCGTCTCCGTGATTCAATGCCGGTGTTGCCGAAAAGTTGCGTCAAGCCTGAAATTTCCTGGGTTCGAATCACGGGATAAGGAGAGCTTAACAATTTAACGACATTTAATTGTACAAAAGGTAATTTTAAGTTAGAGAACCTCACCGTTGAAAAAAATACCTTACCGTTGCACCGACAGGGTTAAGCATAGTAGCGTAAATAATATTTTGCAACAACCGATTATAGATTTCGGAATTAAATTTCGATAGAAAATGTATATAAAACAATGCATTATTAGTTATCGAACAATTAAGGTATAAGGTACTAATCAATAGTGGTTCCTGCTACCCACGGCCATTACGGCCATTTTAAAAATTCTTACTAATATTTAAATTCAAAATGGCGGCACTATTCATTCTTGCTTGCCTGATTGGCGCGAGTGTGGCTTTCGATAAAAATTTAATAGTTACAACGACTGAGGGGGAAGTGGAAGGGAGTCTGGCGCCATGCGAATTATATTATGAGTTTTTGGGTATACGATACGCTGTCCCCGTCAAGTTTAGAGTAAGTCATCTTTAGTAATATTATATAATGAAAAAGAATATTAAATTGTATCATATATGTTTTTTTACGGGGCGTTCAATGACTTTACTGTATGTTGTCTTTCAGGCACCAACCCCCCCTCCAATTTACTCCGGCACATACAAAGCAGACAATCGAGCTATACTGTGCCCCCAATTCGCCACCTACGACCCACTTTCTGCCCCCAGCGAGAACGAGGACTGCTTAATCCTCAACATATATACCCCCACCTTCATTAATACCACTTGCCCCGTCATGGTATACCTGCACGGAGGTGACTTCGGTGTGGGTGCTTCATCTCCCGTTTTCTACGGCCCGCAATATCTCGTCAGCCACGGTGTCGTCGTGGTCACTGTCAATTATAGGTTGAACGTTTATGGCTTTTTGAATCTTGGAATACCGGAAGCGCCCGGTAACGCCGGGCTGAAGGATATCAGGGCGGCGCTGCGCTGGATACAGAATAACATTGCAAGCTTTCAGGGTGATCCCGATAATGTCACTGTCTTTGGGCAGGGCAGCGGCGGTGCGGCCGCAATATTCCTCACCATGTCCAGTAGCACCAAGGGTCTGTTCCACAGAGTAATATCAGAGAGCGGCTCCCCACTATCCCCCCACGTCTTTGATAAAACGCCTCTGAAAACAGCGAGCCAAGTCGCAAAATCTTTAAGTCTTAACTCCGTCGAGACAGACGCACTGTTAAAGCTTTATACGCACACACCGATTACAAAAGTAGAAGAAGCTATAGAAAAACAAATGAACGCAAAATCGGTCTTCCTGCCTTCAGTTGAAACACCGTTTCCTGACGAAGAAGCCTTCATGCTAGATACACCATTTAACATACTCACAGTGAACTCTGAATATTTGAATCCGGTCCCTGCAATTATTGGTATAAACACCGTTGAAGGTCTGTCGTGTATCTTAGACTATAATACAATAACCAGTCAAATGAATAGAATAAGCAACGAGGACTTAAGCGTCTTGGACCAGCGGAATTTCGATCTACCAGTAGAAGAGAGAGAAGACTTCCGAAATCTATTAAGAGATACCTTTTTCGACGGCGCAGTATCAGACGAGGCGTTCGTCGGAGGTCTAGTCAATTTAAACACAGATTTCTGTTACGTGGGGCCGATGTCGCTATTCGCTGATCTGTACTCGAATAATACGCAGGTATTCCAGTACATTTTCAGCTATGTGGGTAACAGGAATCTGGGTAGAATTCTGACGAACAGTACTTTGGACGCGACGGCTAATCTGGATGAATTATTTTACGTGTTCGATCTGGAGAGGTTGCCGATGGTGATGGACGAAGATGATGCGAGAATTGTGACATTTATGACACAGTTGTGGACGAGCTTCGCCAAATATGGGTACATATAAGTTTTCTTCATTTTTCATGATAGTGGAGGAGAGACACTACAGTTTTCAATCCGTGGACGGTAGTTCCATATTCGATATTCCTGTCATTCCTGTCACCCATTAGCCAATATTATTAAGACGAAAGATCATTTCGATTAAAAATAAAAGTGGGTTCTGAATAGGAGGAAATATTCATAAGAAGTATAGCTGTTTACTTGCTTGATTTTTATATATTTTTGTGCTTTAATAGTCATTTAGTGCAAAGGTATACTACCTATATATACTACTATATATATTTAAAGATCTGTATTAGAAATATGTTTTTAAAATCAAGTTTTCTAAAACATGTAGGAAATAATTAATGTGTGGTGGGAATATCTAAATTCCGTCGATGTCACAAATCACCATCCACAGACGAAAAAGCCGCGAAGTTTTATCGCGTTACGGTCTCCGTCTGCGGATTTCCGAATATCCAAAGCCAAATGGGAAGGTTGTTATGTGGCTGGGATATTTCTACTGCCATCAGGTGAACCCCAAGGTTGTGTCTGACCTCCTCTATAAAAAATGTATACAAATTAACTGTACATTTCACGTTTAAAACCGTTAAGTGTACTTGCGTAGACTACAGACGATATTATGAGTAATTAATTGATTGATTGATTACGATTGGGGCAAGACTTGAACCGGCATCCACAGCGTTTCGTGCTGATGCTCTAACCAATTGGGAGTCCTGAGACCTCTCGCGCAATGTAATAATAAACCTTAACACTTGCAAAGTAAGATGAAATTACAGTCTAACGATGTTTTCAAATGATTTTTCCCAGGACTCCAACCCCGGACAGAACGGATGGCGAATGGTTGCCCTATCCCCACCACTTGGAAATTAACTTGGAGCCACAATACGTCAACGAGCTGACGCCAGAAAGAGCGAAATTCTGGCGCACACTGTTCTATCAATACGGCGCTTGACTGTCAAATTATTTAAATAAATGATATTCGAAAACATTAATATTGTTCGCATGTTATTACACATTTGTTATAAAAGAGGAGAACGGGCACGCATGGGGTCCACTCGACGGGAAGTGAAATACCATCTAAACAAGATGCGCTGTCGACCCATTTCGGCTTCGGATATTCGGAAAGAAACCGAAACGCAATTAAAATTGTCAGCTTTTTCATTTGTGGAAGGTGGTTCGTGAATTCTCGGAATTCGATATTCCTACCACCCATTTAATATCCAGATTTCCAGACGATGTCTAACTTTTCGACTCGGGCAGGACTTGAACCGGCATCGTCAGCGTTCCGTGCTGTTGCTCTACCACTCGGTTGACACGGTATCTCAATTGGTGTTAGAGCAACAGCACGCAACGCTGACGATGTTGTTTCAAGTCCTACCCGAATCGTGGTTTATGTAAATAGATTGATTTGAATTTGTTTTGTTTTTAAGATAAACTCCAAAAATTTCTATTAAACACACACACACAAGAGCAATTAACTTTAGAGTTTTTAAGCGTTGAGTTCCTACTACTCTTTGCGGAATGAAAACACAATACCTTCCAAGTGATTTATTCAAAATAAATTCTAACAATTTCATTAAAATATGAAACAATAGAAAAACGATGAGTGCAAAAACTACGCATAACTACAACAACATTATAATTACGAATGGCTTAAAATGAGGGTTTATTTAAAAAAATACATTTCTAAAAACTTTGAAAACATTTCTGACTTTAAAAGTCTATAATAAGTATAATATGATATAAATAATACGAAAGAGGAATATGAAATGCGAAAAAACTTGAACAGACGTGTTTGGCTCAATTGTCCAAAAACTAAGACCTAATAACCATTGTTATAAACAAAATTATTACCTTTCTTGGTTGAACGCCGTTAACGCTGGGTTAAAAATGCTTACGACAACGCATGTTATAGATAAAGATTATATATTTCACGTTATAAACCGTTAAAAGTGTTGTATTTGAATAAATTATTAATTCATTTTGCTGTCGGTAATGGCTAACTTAATGTTTGCTTATTTGAATTATTACTATGTATAATTCAATAGAGAAGAGAGGATAGGAGAGGCACGAGAAGAAGAAGACGACAATTCAATAATTACTTGCGTATTAAAAGAAACTTAATGAACTAGTAAACTTACAGTAAATAATGACTATATTAGAATTAAATCTTACTTCTTATCGCCGCAAGTCATTAGCGTCAAATATGCCGCCAAAATGACATCCGTCAAACGCGACGTCAGTTGACAGTACGAATGTCAAAAGATTATACCATAGTCACAAAAAGTTCCCTCAACTCGAAGAATCGCTTTCGCTCGTGTCCCGCCTCTTTTTCTTTCTCTCCTTCTGTCTGTCGCGCTTTTCCTGTCTTTCTTTGTGTCTCGGGCTCCGCTTGGGGCTCCGTTTAGGGCTCTCCCGACGAACTCGGTGATGTCAAATGCCCGAGTCATCTGTTGTATGCTGGATGTTGTTGAGAGATTCTTCCGAAGAATGTGTCCTCTGTTTCTTTTTATTTCTGCAATTAAGGAAAAATAAAAAAAAATAAAATATAGGACGCACACTCTTTAGACCACAAGCAGACAATGAATTAAAAAAATTTTTTTTTCGATGGCTGAACAATAAAACTCTAAATGAGAGACGTATAACTTATTTTATTGACAGTGAATTCCAACGACATTTTAAAGCAGGGATTTTAAACGTCCGCCGAGTAAGCTCTAAATTTACCCTCATTAGTGAAGGAAACAAGTCGTTTTTTTATTTCCGGCATAGTACACTGTCGAACATTCATTTTCTTTCTATCAAATCTAAGTCGAAACGAAGAGTGCTAACTTACAAGTCCATTGTTACACACACACGTAATCAACAAAACTCACTTTTTCTTCTCGTTGGCGATAGTCGCTTGATCTTTGAACAACTTCGTCAACTCCAGCTCTTTGATTTCATCGGAATTTGTTAGGATTATAGCTCTGAAAAAAATTATAATCAAGTCAAAGTCAGGTGGATGTCAGAGAGCGAGTCATGTTGCAAGAGTCAGCGAAACGAGATAAGGAACGCTCTTCAGCACATCCTACGAGGCGGAAGAGTAGGTCTGATAAGATGGAGGTTGCTCTTGGAACTCATCCCTACTAAAACATGGTGTTCAATAATCGTTTGGTTTTCGGAATAAATGGCACAGTCCGAGCCTGGGCGCCTGGGTTATTATGCGTAATGGCGGCCAGTTGAGGTTGGTTTTAGTGGGTATCACCCACCTCTCTGGTGAAGCAAGGGTCGCTAACAGAAAGGTAATGGAGCACCACACTTAGTGCGTATAAGCATTTTCAATCTCACCAAAGGAAGAAAGGATTCGAATATGTCAAACTAGCTACTATATGAATTTACCTTTTTCCCAAATCGGTTAAATGTATACCTAATCTATGCTACAGTCACGACACGGGTCATCGTTTCCATTGTATTGCTTGCTCATTTAAACCGCGCCCCTAAACTAGTGCTGTGCCAGGTATCGATAAACATTATTTACTTACAAATTACGTTATGAAACAGTCCCGATCTATAGCTCTGTAGGTTAATCGGTTTTAAAGAACTAAACTAATCCTTCCTTTTGTTCCTTTGGTCACAAGGACGAGGAGCGCTTACTTGAAGTAAGAGTAGTTTTGTACGTACAATATTTAAAACTGCTTGCACTCTGGTAGAGCTAGCAAAAGTTAAATCTTAATAAGTTATGTGAACATAGAATTTCTTCACCAAAATGAAAAAAATGCTCAACACTAACTAAGTTAAAAAAACATTACTATGCCACCATTACCATTATTATGACGGGCTCGTTGGGGCAAAGCAATGTATGGCTAATATTCCATGGGTCGTGGGTTCGGTTGCCACCAGGTCCAACATGCTATTATAAATTTATAATTCTTTTGAAAATTTTTGGACTTCCCCTGGAAGTCTGGATATCTAAATCCTGATTATGATGGTTACCAACTGCCGTCCTCAGATGAAAGTAGCGGGAAGTTTAATCGCGTTTCGATTTGAGTCTGTGAATTTCCGAACGTTCAAAGTCAAGCGAACCGCATTCTTCTATAAAAAACAATGAATTTGAAATATTTATTGCTTTTTATCGTGGGTATTACGAAATTATTTTTTACAGTGCAAAGATACGGACAACATATAAAGCTATACGCGTTTATTAGGCATTTTATCGATAGCCTAGCACAACACTGGGCATGATTCGGAACCCTTCTATGTCAAGGTGATCTCACCCTGCCTTTTATTACTAATCTTCTATACACAGCTATAGCCTAATAAATTGCACTGTCGGATGTCTGTCTATGAAATCAACGAAAAATCACGATAATACTTTTGCTAGAAATCTTCGTTTCGGTTGCAGTATGTAGATTCAAAGGTTCACCGCAAAAATTCAAAGGTTAAACAGCGCATCTTGTTTAGATGTTATATGCCTCCTATTCTGTTGAAAAGAACGCTACGATAAGCTATCTCGTTTCGAGTACTACGAGCAGAGAACAAGTATGTGTATGTGTGTGTGTGTGTAAAAGAGAGAGAGAGAAAACTCCTTCCCATAACTCTTCGCTGCATGCTGGAAGGGTTAGAATTTCGTAAAAACCGTGTATTGTAGAATATACCGAATACATATTAAACTAAACGGGAATAGGTAAGGAATTAATTATTTTTATATTTAACCTTCAAATAAAGTGACCGACTCACCTAATTCTACCACCTTCTATTCTCTCCTGCTTTCTAGGATCACTTATCACAGCTATAGAGGTCTCAGCCACTTCGTTCTTTCGTCTCTGCTTCTTTTGTTTATCTTCTCTATCCCTACAGAAGATCGAAAATAGTTTTGTCAACCGAAACAAAAATCCCGGGTTTAGACATATAATTAATAAATAATAATAGATTGTCGATAGTTTACGCGAGTAGTACACATTTAATTAAAAAATGTAACGCTTTAAAACGTGAAATATATAATTTTAATTATGTACCTACAATGTTGTAACTACGGCCCGACGCATTGTATCAGATGCTATGCAGCAGCCGTGGTCACAGGAATTCATGTCGCGTTTTAAACCGTTAAAAGTTTTTTTTTTTTTAACAAAAAATATTATTTTAAACACAATAAACACACACAAACGATATTACTAGTCCAATATAACTTCCCCTAAGTAATAAACATATTTCTGGTATCAGTAAGCAGTAGCGTAGCTAGGTGGACAAGGGCCCCGGTCTACCTAATCCTAACGCTCAAGAAAGAATTGGGTCCTCATTCCCTCTTTTAGCACAGCTTGAATTTTGGAGGTGCATTTACCTCCAAACTTATAAATAGCAACAAGAATGTTAAACTCCTTTTCTTCTCCCCTTATATCTTCTCAAAGATAAAGTTAGAGGGCCCCTAAGTTCCAGGGCCCTGGTGCACTGCACCTGGCCTCTCGATAGCTACGCCACTATCTGTAAGTAGTTTCTGCTTTAATAATAAACACACAAAACGTACCTGTGTCTATCTTTTCTCTCGCTCGTTTTATGTTTCCGTCTCTTTCTATACACAGAGTCCCCGTTCACGTCTTCGATCTTTTCCAAATGCAACACATACAGCCTGTATATTTGCAGTAGAATTACCTAAAAAAAAAAATTTAAAATAATTAACACGAAACAATGTATTGTATGATACACTAGCTGTGTCCGCGACTTCGTTCACGTGGAATAGTTATTTCGGGCATCGAAATTCGTTTTTTCAAACCTTCATCTTCATAAACTTATTTTGTTACCCATTATGTCGGTTGCGTCCGTTCTCGTCGTTCTTACAAGTTAATCTTAAAAGATAGACACATAATTATAGCGTCGCAGACTTTTTTATATCATTTAAAGAGGCATTATTCTTTCATACATCATTTTGGGTATCCTGAACCGTTTTTGTATGCCTCGGAAACACATTTTCCCATTTTTTTTTAATTTGACGAGGTCCTCGCATCAAAAAAGGCACTCTATCTATTAATGAATGCATTTCATAATTCATATAAGGTATTTAGTCGAATATCACAATAATTTTAAAGCCGACAAATGTTTAATGCAGTCATATTTTTTACCGCTTTCGACCGACGTAGCGAAGTGATTAAACCTATTGCCTAGCATTGCGTTGATCGCGGAGGTGCCGAGTTCGAATCCCAGGGAAACAAAAATTCGGTCGGGTAAGGCGCAGAAGTCTAATAAACTACTTGCCTGTTAAAGAACGGATCAGTGAAACGAACAAATGTGTTCGCCCCATGCCCCAAGAGGGGAAATTCGAAACGGGATTACGCACAAAAAAAATGTTACAGCATCACTTTTTTTTATTAAGTAAAATAGCTCAGAAACCATCAATAAACTCAAACATAACAATTAACGGCTTTTGATTGTGGGCGGCAAAACACGAAAATTTTTCGAAGTAAGAACACGATTCATAAAAAAAATTAAATTGATTTCAGATTATTTTATAGTTGGAGATCATTGGGTCAACAGGTCAAAACTTACCAAAGTGTTCTTGCAAGTGAAGAATATGTTCATATAATTGATTATCTTGTAGTGCGCGATGATCAGCAACCTGAACGCCAGAAATGGAGCATCCTGTAACGCTATATTCATCATGATAGCACACACTTCGATGGAGCAGCAGCAGGCGCGGCTGGAGTTCCTGGAACGAACCTTGAAATTAAGGAAGTTTGATATCTGTTGAACCAGTCGTAAATAGCCAGCGCCTTTGTTCGCGGAAAACAGTAATTTTGAGCGGCAAAATTATTTTTACAAACCACCACCTCATCTTCCGTTACCCACGGCGTCATTCGCGTACCGTCGTTCTAGAAAAATAATCTTGAAACATAGACAATGTCCCGAACCTTTTTTCAATCATTTAAAGAGGAATAATTTTCCCCGTTTGTTCCACATTTCCTACTGTTTCTTCGCTCCTATAAGTTGTAGCATGATGTTTCAGTCTAAGACCTTCCTCTACAGAGGCTCTAACCAAGACAATTTTATTCGAGCCAGTAGTTCCTGAGGTTAATGCGCTCAAACAAACAAACTTTTTCATCCTTTATTAGTATCGATATTCAAATGATATGAAGTGTGTGTAACGAGTGTGAAGTAAAGAGTGACTGACAAAACGCATAGGCACGGGCAGTGATAAAGACGGCAACCGCAAGTCGATTTTTCGGTCAAAGGCGAAGCCGATGATTTGGTTTCAAACCGAACTTTCAGCCGAAGCATTAGGTACTTTTATATACTAAAATATATGTATATATAGATAAGTGTTAAAATAAAAATATTTTTGCGGTTATCAAGTGCGAGGTGCGTGCATGCATGCGGAATGCATGCGAATATGCTATTGTTTCGTGTCATATGCGCGCATATTTTCGATGTGAAAGCTCAAACCGCTGGACAGAGTGCGGTGGCGAAGCGCGTGCGGTACGTACATGTCAGACCTATGGGCAGTTCCTCGGGACTTCCTCGACTTGGTCGCGGTCAGCACGACCGTGAACTGCACCAGCGACCACGACCAGATGGCCAGGGTGAGCAGCACTAGAACCTTCTCCGTAGCCACCTTCTCGTCTTTGAAGGAGTCGAAGAACTCGATTATGTCGGCCGCTGTACCTGGATTGATTAAGATTTTATTGGTTAAGACCTGGAGACAACCCCCATTTTAATGAGAAAATACATATAAGGGCTACACCAACTTTACTATGAAGGACATCAATCGGCTGTTGCTGCACAACAGATCTAATGCATCGCCGATTTTCAATGATGCCTCATGGATGACAATTAGAGTGACAAACAATATGCGAGTAGTACATTTTTAACGGTTTCCAATGCGAAATACACTATTTAACTTATTTACAATTTATTTTAACCATCGCCGACGTTTCGGTAGTCACAGGGGGACTGAAGTTGGAGGGTGTCCCTAATTTAAAACTAAAAACTGCTACGCTAGTTCATTACTGTCGTTGGTATTTAGGTAAACTCTTTCTCTTACTTCATACTTTGACATTGAGGACACCCTCCATCTTCAGTCCCCCCGTGACCACGGATGCAGCAATTATAAACTAATTAGTCGAACCAATCGAACGATCCGTACTTTCGTCTCAATACGTTATGTAGACCTGCTTTTTAGACTTGTTACGTTTTTGTTCTATAATGTTCCACAAAAATACAACACTCACCAATATACACTAAAAGCAGTTGACTTAGCTGATCCCTCGTCAGGTCACCCTTGGGTAACAGCCAGCGCCCCACGATCAAGGTCAACATCAAGAACTGTTCTATCAATGTCACCCACATGTCTGTTGGTATCTTGGTTGCGCCTGGTATTGGTATTTCCGTCTTGAAGAAAAATGAATATTTGTAAAACTGGAGCCTTCTAGACGTGCTAATAAAGCAATCAACCCGAGTTGAAAATAAGTGAAATCCAGTACTTGTCTGTCTCACTTGTCTTGATTGGTACAAGTATAATACATTTATTTTTATTTTTTTAATTATGTAGAAAGGATAAAAAAACATTTAATGACTCTTTCGACTATTAAATTTAGCAGAAAAACAATTTTAGTCTATCTTTTACCGTTGCTTCGCTATAAAACACTAAGCAGTTTTTCATGTGGTTCACAGGCAAATGTAGGTAACTAAAAGGAAACGAAGGCTATTTATAGATCTGATAAATGAAAAAATACATACTATGTTTACCTCTATATAGGTAAGGTTTGTCTTCTTCTGCAGTCTTAGATCCACTTTGTGAAGTTCCAACAACCATATCGCCGGTACCACCAGACCAAGGTAGATAAAAACGGATGGGCAAAACCTAAAACACGGCTTTAGTAAGTCTTAATTAAAATGAATGGTGGCAAATGGCATATTTACGGCTGATCATGAAGGGGTCGTTCCCCACCGGGACCAACATTTTTCTCATCAATTTATAATTTTTCTGAAACATGTTGGAGTTTGTCTCGAAATCTGGACATTAAACGGGTAGAAATATTGACATTCCGTCCGGGTCACGAACCGCCCTTCTGAAAACACATGAAAAGGCCGTGAAGTTTTTCGGTTCCAGTCTGTGGATTTCCTAATATCCAAAGCCAAAACAGACCGACAGCGCATCTTCGATAGAACTATTTTCTTTGTTTCTCTATTATAGGACATATACCGAAATCGTAAGAAAACGTAGATTTAAACGAAGCCGAAGTGGTGGATTGAACTTATGAACCCAGTTGGTGGAAATAAAGAGCATACCAAGAGCTAATAACCTTTGAAAGTTCAGCCATTAAGGTGTGTCCTTTATTTCAGCGGAAGTAGACCTGTGTCACTTTTGACAGCGTTATTTCCGGTAATTTAAGAAATGGCGGACTAAAGACTCACTCTCAAAGACCTTACGAGAATTCAACTTTTAAAATAATATTTCATTGTTCCCATTTCGATTTGCCATTGATAGGTATTTTAAATAAAATTGGCTTCAAGCTTATTCACAATAGCCTGCTGTACTAAAGACATTAAAGAGTTTTAAATATTTGAGCCACAAATTCATTTAGTATAATTTAAGGCCTGAATTTAGTTTAGTGAAGCGTGCAACAAAATATAATCGTTTTTTTTATATTATTTAAAAGTTACACACGCAACTACATTCACTAAATAAGTATCTATACTATATATGAGGCTCCTAGAGGCAGAGTGGCCTAATAACAAACAGCCTGATTTCCAATAGGGAGGTAGAGAAAGATGCGCAATTAACTTAGGCGAAAATGAATTTGTACTATTATTTGTGCTCTTGTAGACATTGAAAATATATATAATCAAGTCATAAAATTGCAGTTAGGCTACTCTGCCTCTAGCGGCCTAACATGTTTGGATATGTGGATAAAATTAAATAGCGAACGTTACCAACAGCCTTGTTGCGCAACACTGATTTTCAGTGGCTTTTCGCGCCACGTCGAAACGTCATTCATAATTATAATAGAACTCTTCGTGTGCGAGGCTGACCTGCACTATCCCGGCTACACCAGGGTACGGCAAGAGCTAAACTCACCATTTCCATTCCTGGTTCTTCTTCACGGTGAGCGTGAAGACTCCTTCGAAGATGAGCAGCAATATGGGCGACGCCAAGTACCAATATTCGTTGTCATTCTTGAACACGGTGACTTGCCAGATCGCGATGATGCCGTGGCAAGCGAACACCAAGCGTGTGATGACAGCCTTTATTGTGGCCAGAACTTTACCGATGTTCGCCATTTTGATTGAATATTTGCGGGAATTACGATCGCTGGTGAAATATTTGCTCTGTGACCTTTCGTTTTTGTCGTTTACCGATAGCGTTGTTTTACGATTTATTTATTTTAAAAATAGAGCTTCGGTAAGTTGTGTTTATGTTGATGGTAATTTAATTTTAACTATAAATAATTAACACTAGCAAAGCCACTTATACTTCCGCCATTTTGCTTTTAAACGCTTTTTTAGGTTATTAAGCAAAGTAAAATAACACCAATAATTATAAATATATTTAAATTAGATTATTCTTTGTTTTTCTTACTCTCTCTTTTTTTTATATTCATCTATTTTAAATGATTGTAATTGGAGGGGAATGGATGATCTTTTGTTTTATTTGTTAAAAAGAAAGTCTAAAATAAATTTATATTTGTCGTCTACACATGGTTTTAAGTATTTTTATTTACAATCAGACCCACGTTGTTGTTATCAAATTATTTTTTATAAGCATTTTTGTATTCAAAAGAATTGAACTTACAGACTAAAGTTTACAGGATAGTTTGTTTGTATTATTTTTCTGACATAAAAAGTCAATATTCTGTTAAACAAATTATTGTATCCGATTTTTTTACGCTTCACGAAGAATTAATGATTGGTTTGTGGTACTATGGTATATAGCAGACAGGAGATTTTTGCTCTTAAAATGGCAATTAATTTACAAAGCAGTCCTATAGGATTATATCTGTTTGATCTCAAAAATTATTTCATATCATGTTCACGTTTTGTGTCTTATTCTACTGTCTATAATCTGGTTATTCGTTAATTATTACAAAGTAACGGAAAAAACGACACATTAAACAAGTTTTAACAAAAGTGAAATCGTTGGAATAAATTTGCTCGAGATGCATCACGTTGTTTATGCCCCTTGCAGTTTAAACAAATTAAGTTTAATTTACTTTAAATCCATATTTTTTATTCTATATAAATTAATGAAACTTAATTAAACACACACTTTTGTTATTCTGTTCCAGAGTTATATCACAGCAATTTTAAAAGCGCGATTTCTTCACCTGTGCTTCGTGAAGAACTTTAACAACTAGCTAAGGTGAGAACACAAACTAAGGTGACGAACGTATTGGCGGTTAATAAAAAGGTCTATTATGGGAGTGGACGAAGATTTTGTGCGCCTCGATGTACATTGCTATCTTAAAACAACAATCAAATTAAAATAAATTGTATAAACCACTTCTAACAGTCTAAAATGCGAAATAGGAGCAACAGTAGCTCTAGTGTTCTGCTGCCGAATGTCGCAAACAAAGGGCCATATAAAATCAAATTTAAAAAAAGGCCAATTAATTTCAAATAAGTTAACTTTCGCGTTTTTAACGGTTATAAGGTGTTATATTTAAATGTGTAGTTCTCGCATAAACAAGAGACATTGCTAAAGGATTGGCGTACAATATAATGGGAATAATTGGAAACATAAAGTCCCAAATCTTTTGAGGAAATTTCGACACGACCTTTCGCAAATTCACAGACTGAAAGCAAAGCGTAGAATACGACTTCACATCTCTTCCATCTCTATATAATGGTGATGAGGACAAAATATTGGTATTCCCACCTCTGTCAAAAGAATGTAATATCCAGATTATCTAAATGAAGTCTAACATGTTTGATTGTACTCGCGTTTTTATTAAGACAATGACGTTTACCTCTTTCGATCAATGTATAAAACATTACAGTAACTTACTCTCATATTGGATTTATTACGCTGTAAGGATATTTGACTGGTTCTTTGAAAAATATTTAATGAATGTTCAAACAATTTGAACTCGTTTGGAATCGAATCTATGACCAATTGATTATTAGTCACCGTTTTATCGACGAGTCCATTGTAAGGCATAGTGTACAGCCACTAACCAGCAATGTACAGTGATCATTTGAAATTATCGACACGATAAATATTGCGCGCGCAACCCTAAAAGCCAATAGAGTTTACCGGGAAACGGGACATCATCCCTATAATAAAAGCTTTGATGCGTCATGGCTTTTCTATACGATTTCTGATTAAAGAAAATTAGTTTCCCAACTGACTTTTATTCAGTTTCGCTTCAAGCCAGTAATATACTCGGCAACATTATTACAGTAACATTATTATAAGAGCAGATTTAACAGCTTTGACCCACCATACTGCTCTAGAACGGGTTGGTGGACTTTAACGAATATCCAGTCGTCCGCGTCTCGTCGTTCTTGCAAGTTAATCTAAAAAGATATATATATCGTTGCGGAATTTTTTTTAGAGATTTGAAACATTCTTTCAAAATATTTTTATTGTTTCTTAAATCGTTTTCGCTACGCACTCAACTGAAACCGTCAAAGATAAATAATTTTCCCCAATATTTTTTTTTCACGTTGCCCACTGTTTCTACGACACTACTGGTCGCAGCGTGACTTGTAGGGCGTAGGCGCTTGCGTTTATAGCCTAAAGCCTTTCTCGATATATCTAACCTCTAACGTTGTGTATAAAATAAATACAAAATAATTTTTCAATTCAAACCAGTAGTTCCTGAGATTAGCGCGTTCAAGCAAACCAACAAGTGTAGCTTTATATTACTTATTACAATAGATTATCTCACTTCACAGTTTAATACGATACATTATAAGATTATATTTGGTAGGTACTTTTACAAAAAGTGCCAAAATGGCTGAAGTACTAAAATGGGACATTGAATTGAAACAAAGGCTCATTTTGATTTTAGTATTAAATGAAGTAAGAATTGTTGTATGATTGACTTTTATCTCTTCGTACCTTAATTGATCAATTCGTTCAATCATCAACTATAATAGATATCGCCGTTTAATTCCCTTCAAAGTTCTACCGTCTTATTATTGTTGATTAACCCATCCATGGTCATTTGAAAACCGACGATGTTAACATGGGGATTCTTCTTATTGAGTAAGTAAAATTTACTGATTATAAATAAAAAATGTTAATCAAAGACTGAAGCCGCACGAGACTTTGTAAAACAACACTGAGACAAGCTTAAAGTGATGTGTCTTATTAAATTTTGTGGAGTCTAATTTTTACGATCTCGTTAATGTAAATGTAGTAATGTATGGCTAATAATCAACGGGTCGCGGCTCCTATACTCACCGGGTCCAACATCTTTCATTCAACATTTAAAAGCCGTGAACAATAATCGCGTTTCGGTTTTACTCTGTGCATTTCCGAATATCCGAAGCCAAAATTGGTCGACAGTTTAGCATGTTGATGTTAATGGCTGGGGTTATTTAATTTATCAAGTGAACTATACATGTCTGTGCTTTATTATAAAAAAAAACTTTTCCATCAAACTCGTGCCGCAAAGTATAAATGATGTTTAAAGTTTCAGTATACACAGTAGTCGAGAGTACGCTGCTTAAGGATGTCAAAATTACCACCCCCCGAAGACCGATTCCCGCGCAATTTGAGGAGCAACATGTTAAAATTAAAATACCAATAACAATCCAGCGGAGTGTTCAAGCGAAGAGGCGATTCCGAATTGACAATCACGGAATTATACCCGAATCATTTCAAACGCCGTCAAATTACGACGGCGAAAAGCTTTATTTACGTTCGACTAATGTATTTGGTATTGGTAACAAATTCAATTATTATAATAATGACAGGTTTATTGATTTGAATAAATTTAATGATAAGCTAAGAAGCATTGACTATGACAAGGCTCCTATAAGCGATGATTATAGGAACGTGGAAAGATTTAGTAAATTGAATGATAATTCTGATTTTGATTCCGAGTTGCCGAGTGAAAATTATAATATGGACAGGTTTAATGATTTGAATAAATTTAATGATAAGCTAAGAAGCAATGACTATGACAAGGCTCCTATGGGCGATGATTATAGAAATTATGACAGATTTAGTAAATTGAATGACAATTCCGACATACCTGCGTGGCCGAGTGAAAATTCTCCTCCTATAAATGGTGATAGATCGTTCGATGAAAGCGGTATCATTAAATTTGATCCCTTCTACGACTTTCCATCAAGACGAAATAACAGATGGTCTTTTTTGAGTGGAAGCGATTTTAGTGAAAGAAGAAATGATTTAAAAGCTGACAAGTATTTAAAAAACCCAAATAATGATGGCAACTCTATACCTATGAAATATAAGAGAGAAGATGAAAATTATAGAAGACAAAGTACATATATGGATTCAATGAATAATATAGCACTAACAAACTATTTAAAAAGGTTGAGAATGAAGAAGGGAAGGTATGATTAAAAACTACCATTCTTATTTGTGTATTTTTTACTGTGTATTGTATACTATCTAAGTCAAAAATAATGTATTCAAGTCACTAGATACACAATGTCAAACCAGTCAAAAATTAGACTCTAAATTTACATTCACTACCAGTTCTCTAATCAAGGGAGTACAACGAAAGAGTAGAACTGGGAATAAACTCACCGCCGCTCTTTTATTGCGTAGACAAAGATGTTACTAGTTAATGTGAAGATGTTAATAAAACACTTTAAACGGTTTAAAACGTGAAATATTTTAGATATCTTAACGGTAACTACGATGAATCGTTTCGAATGCTTCGCAGTAGCCGTTGATATGGTCTAAGTGTATTTTAAAGTGTACTACTAGTTTTATTCCAGTGTTGCATAAACAAATCCCAAATTCTACCAAAGGATACTTTATTTTTGTAAGTCTACGTAAAAAAATATTAAAAAAATAAAAATCTAAACACTATAGAGCCCCAAACATACATTCATCTCTCCTTACAATACATAGAATTTATCAAATTACTTATTAATAAAAATAAATTTAATATATTATAACTTATTTATTTAAAACAACAGGAAATGTATTACAATTTTACTGCTATAAATGCGAAAACTATTTTTAATTGTAATCGTGAATATATATGACAATATTCTATTTAAATAAAACACTGTAACTGTAAGTGTTTTATTTACATCTGTACTACTCGCGTAATATAAACAAATACAAATACAAACAAATACAAATTCTTTATTCACCAAAACTTTAATAAATAAGGGTGTGCACCCCCCACCACTCCAGGGGGGGGGGGGGGGGGGGGGGGGGGGGGGGGGGGGGGGGGGGGGAAAAAGGAAAAAAAAAAAAAAAAAAAAAAAAAAAAAAAAAAAAAAAAAAAAAAAAAAAAAAAAAAAAAAAAAAAAAAAAAAAAAAAAAAAAAAAAAAAAAAAAAAAAAAAAAAAAAAAAAAAAAAAAAAAAAAAAAAAAAAAAAAAAAAAAAAAAAAAAAAAAAAAAAAAAAAAAAAAAAAAAAAGAGGGGGGGGGGGGGGGGGGGGGAAAAAGAAAAAAAGGAAAAAAAGAGGGGGGGGGGGGGGGGGGGGGGGGGGGGGGGGGGGGGGGGGGGGGGGGGGGGGGGGGGGGGGGGGGGGGGGGGGGGGGGGGGGGGGGGGGGGGGGGGGGGGGGGGGGGGGGGGGGGGGGGGGGGGGGGGGGGGGGGGGGGGGGGGGGGGGGGGGGGGGGGGGGGGGGGGGGGGGGGGGGGGGGGGGGGGGGGGGGGGGGGAGGGGGGGGGGGGGGGGGGGGGGGGGGGGGGGGGGGGGGGGGGGGGGGGGGGGGGGGGGGGGGGGGGGGGGGGGGGGGGGGGGGGGGGGGGGGGGGGGGGGGGGGGGGGGGGGGGGGGGGGGGGGGGGGGGGGGGGGGGGGGGGGGGGGGGGGGGGAGGGGGGGGGGGGGGGGGGGGGGGGGGGGGGGGGGGGGGGGGGGGGGGGGGGGGGGGGGGGGGGGGGGGGGGGGGGGGGGGGGGGGGGGGGGGGGGGGGGGGGGGGGGGGGGGGGGGGGGGGGGGGGGGGGGGGGGGGGGGGGGGGGGGGGGGGGGGGGGGGGGGGGGGGGGGGGGGGGGGGGGGGGGGGGGGGGGGGGGGGGGGGGGGGGGGGGGGGGGGGGGGGGGGGGGGGGGGGGGGGGGGGAAAAAAGGGGGGGGGGGGGGGGGGGGGGGGGGGGGGGGGGGGGGGGGGGGGGGGGGGGGGGGGGGGGGGGGGGGGGGGGGGGGGGGGGGGGGGGGGGGGGGGGGGGGGGGGGGGGGGGGGGGGGGGGGGGGGGGGGGGGGGGGGGGGGGGGGGGGGGGGGGGGGGGGAAGGGGGGGGGGGGGGGGGGGGGGGGGGGGGGGGGGGGGGGGGGGGGGGGGGGGGGGGGGGGGGGGGGGGGGGGGGGGGGGGGGGGGGGGGGGGGGAGAAAAAAAAAAAAAAAGGGGGGGGGGGGGGGGGGGGGGGGGGGGGGGGGGGGGGGGGGGGGGGGGGGGGGGGGGGCGAAACCTAATCTCGGGGGGGGGGGGGGGGGGGGGGGGGGGGGGGGGGGGGGGGGGGGGGGGGGGGGGAAAAACCCCCCCCCCCCCCCCCCCCCCCCGGGGGGGGGGGGGGGGGGGGGGGGGGGGGGGGGGGGGGGGGGGGGGGGGGGGGGGGGGGGGGAAAAAAAAAGGGGGGGGGGGGGGGGGGGGGGGCGGGGGGGGGGGGGGGGGGGGGGGGGGGGGGGGGGGAACCCCCAAAAAAAAGGGGGGGGGGGGGGGGGGGGGGGGGGGGGGGGGGGGGGGGGGGGGGGGGGGGGGGGGGGGGGGGGGGGGGGGGGGGGGGGGGGGGGGGGGGGGGGGGGGGGGGGGGGAAAAAAAGGGGGGGGGGGGGGGGGGGGGGAGGGGGGGGGGGGGGGGGGGGGAAAAAAAAGGGGGGGGGGAAAAAAGGGGGGGGGGGGGGGGGGGGGGGGGGGGGGGGGGGGGGGGGGGGGGGGGGGGGGAAAAAAAAGGGGGGGGGCCCCCCGGGGGGGGGGGGGGGGGGGGGGGGGGGGGGGGGGGGGGGGGGGGGAAATTGGGGGGGGGGTTTTTTTCGGGTGGGCTTAAATTGGGGGGGGGTTTGGGGGGAAATTTTTTCGCCAATCGTTGAAAAGAATGAATTTACGGGGGGGGGGGGGAGTACCATTTAAAACGTTGAGGGATTCAGACAGTGCACAATTATATTCGTCAATGTATAAGTTGTTCGCGAACAGCGAGCAGAAAACTGTTCGCTGCCCCTGTGTTTTTTATTAGTGCCCCACTAACGGACACAATTCTGTGCCCGAATGATGAAGGGAAAATATAATTCCACTGTACCTAGTAAATGGGGAAATTTTCATCTACGTCCCTGGACCACGCGTGCAGACCGCCGGAGAGATCTTTAATTTTGCCTCTGTGGTCCTCTTCGATTACGGCCAACACACGCTTCGCCGCTATCTGAGAGTCGTTTCCGCGGCGGCAGATGAACGTCACTAAAACGAAAAGAAACGAAAGAATTACAATTCAGGCAGGAATTAAACCGGTATCCATCCAATTTAAATTCGAGCTTAATCCCAAAACTTCACTCACCGTGGCTGGTACACTTTCTTATCTCCTCCAGAAGATGGTCTAAGTTCCTATGGATCTGATCCAAGGGGTAGTTTACAGCGCCATCTATCGAGCACATTTGGAACTCCGGTTCACTTCTGACGTCGACCAAGAGATGGCGCTTATCCAAATCAGTCAATTTATCGGCTAATTGGGTTGCGGATATCCGATTCTCTGGCGGTAGGAGTCTTAAGTTCAATTCCTGAAGAATCAATCAATATTGCTTCATATCGATTTCCCAAATGTTGATACTTTTTACGGGCTATATTAAACAGATCGTGGTCTCGATTCCCACAACAACAACATTTGTCTAATAAATGTATAACAACATTTCGAATCACGTTGGACTTCTTTCGGACATGTAGATACTAAATTCGTGGTATGAATAATGAGATGGCGTCCGGGTAACGAACCGCCGAAAACAGATTAAAATTGAATCGCGCTTTGGTTTCAGTCTGTGGATTTCCGAATATCCAAAGCCAAAATAAGTCGACAGCGCAGTTTCATAAAAAAACAACCGGGCCCGATGTCTCAACTGCTACACAAAAAACTATGATGGAACCCCCACTACCAATATATCGAGTTGGTACTAAATATTTTCTTAGAAAATCCCAAACATCCCAGCAGCAATTCGTTCAACCCAGGACTCGAACCCGTTACATCGTGATCGGTGGTCGATATTGGCCAAGTATACTCTGAAATAAGACTTATAATGCTTTTTCTTAACCCACCTTATCGTTGGCTTGGGACTGGCAGAACATTTCGTAGTCTATCAAATGAGTGATGGTGGGAGAATCCGAGCAAGACGGGCAGCTGGGGTTGCGGCCGCGCAGTTTGACTTTAATCCAAATAAAAAGGGGGTAAAGGATGTGGCAAGAGGCAAACACTTTTCTATATTTCACTAATATCTATTATGAACAAATAATTTATCGGACTTCTGTATCGTGCCCGCCCGAACAAGTAATTGTTTTCCCTGAATTCGAATCCACGATCTTAACACAGTGCTTGTAATGCGTTAAGCCGTTGTTATAAATGAATCTAAAATATACATTAATACACTATAAGTTTTACATTTTGACTGATTTGGTGTAATGGTAGCAATACGTGACTCGCAATCGATTGGTCGCGAATTCGATTCCCACCAGGTCCAACTGCTCTTCATCTTCAACGTCTGTACTTTAAATGAGGTTAGAAATATCGACATTCCGTCCGGGTCACGAACAACAGACCGCTGACGAAAAAAAATCGTTTTTCAGCTCAGTCTGTTGATTTCGAAATGTACTATGCCATAAGGGCCGACAGCGCATGTTGTTTGGATTTATAGCTGGGGTACTTCTCCTTCGATCAAGTGCAACACTTTCTTGGATATCCAGCTCTATCATGATACAAAAATAATATAAATAAAATACCAGTTGATACATGCACTTCTCGCGCAACGTAATTTCAACCTTAACACAGGGCGATTATGATGAGATTAAAATGAAGATAAAAATACCAGTTCTGAATGTCATATCCTCGCCATCAAAGAGAAGCAGTCTTTCCACTAGCAGCTTGTCTTTCGTGTGGCCGACTAACAGCTTAATCGCTTCTAGCGATTGCAGGGCACCTAAGAATAGAGACAAACACATACATATTAATAATTAAAAAACATAATGTGACTTGAATAGAAATATTGACTCACCTATTGCGCCGGGCACCGAACCGGCTACTCCGTTAGCAGAACAGCTGCCAACAGTTTCTGCTGGGGGTGGCGTTGGGAAGACGCATCTGTAGCATGGACCACGGTATGTTGCCTCCTGAAAAGTTAATTTTAGTTTAGTATTGACGATGAAAAGGTTCTACCTAGCGCCTCCAGTGTCAAAATTGTGAAACTGCCTAAGGACGACACATTCGCAGTTTTCGAAATATCGAGACAAAAGTCAAAGGTTTCTCGTTTAGGTCCTTAAAATCTGGAATGATAAACGTCATTTCTTTATATGAAACTAGCTGTATCAACGACTTCGTCCGCGTAGGATCGTTTCTTGAGCATCAGAATATATATTTGCAAACCTTCTTATCTTAATAAACTATAGCAGTTACCCACGACGTCGGTCGCGTCCCATCGTTCTTGCAAGTTAATCAGGGACGCAGACGACCTCGTGGGTAACAGCTAGTTATAATAATAAAGGCAGTCTCATTGCTAGCCCTGATCCTAATACTCCTCGTCTAATCACTGCATACAGTGCGACCCTGACAGGATAAAGGAACAGGATCTCCTGTACTTACCGAAAAAGAAAAAGAAGACTCACCTGTTCCTTTGGATTTCTGTTCGCTCTGTAACCGTATATCGTCAGCTGCCCTTCCATTTTGAGAGCACTTCCCGATATTAAAGGCACCTAAAATTAGACAGAATTAGATGACGCGGCCGGGACTTGAGTCCACAGCAATCCGTGCTGCTGCTCTAACCAATTGAGATACCGTGGCTGCTCGCGATCTTTGAACTTCTTACGCAATGTAATTTCAATCTTAACACTGACGTATTCAGGACCAGTGTCTTTTGAAGCTGTCGCTTTGTAGCTTAAGGAATGTTGAGAAAGAGAAGTTTTATTATATTTGAAGTCACAATATAAACAAAAAAGCAATAACTGTCTAAATGTGGCCTGGGGTAGTAAATAGGCTACAATATACATTTTTTATATAGACAAGTCCCTCTGCGTTATTGATATAAGCGCGTAAAAATAAACCACACCCCGGTTTTCCAGTATCCCCCCACTTACCTTAGCTAGTACACACACATCGCTGAGCATATATCTAGTTGGTACATTGTCAGAGCAGTCAAGGATCACGTCGTATTTTGATGCAATTTGCAGAGCGTTCTTTGAATCCAGCTGTTCATTGTATGCCGACACCTTTATGCGCGAATTTATGCTGCAAACAGGGAGGGAATAAAATACTGTCTGCAGTTTACGCGAGTAGTACACATTTAAATAAAACACTATAGAGGTTTAAAATGCGATATACATTAGTAAAATTATTTTAACTATCGACGACGGCAGCGTAGCAGTTCTCACTTTGACTTAAGAGACAACCTCCATCTTTAGTCTTCCCGTGACCACGGCAGCTGCAAACCATCCGAAACGTCGGGTTGTAGTTAAAATAATTTTGTAATAAGTTTAACTGATATATATTGCTTTGTAAACCGTTTTTTTGTTTATTTAAAAGTTAATAAATAGTTTTTATCAGGATTCTGTGCCCAAATGGTGGAATGGGACTCGCTGTCTTTCTGTCACCAGTCACAAAAATCTTGAAATTCTCCAACTACTTTTTCTGTTCCTTATACTTAACGTAATCCTTACATTATTTTAAATTCACTCACAACATACACTTTCAAGAACAAAGATGACGGGAAGTGAAATAGTCAGATATTTTAAGTTTTCCGATCATCCAGTTACCAATAGGTGTCACAAATAAATACTAATAATATAATACCTTCGCAAACTATTTGCTGCCGACTCCGCTTTGCTTACACCCTGATCTGACTCCGAATGCAAAAACTGCCTGTGTATATTTGTGACATCCACAGAGTCATAATCAACTATGCCGATCTCACCTTGAACATGAAGAATGTATATTAATTTTATAACTATCTATATGATGTTGATTACACCACTTAACTGTTTACAACATGAAATATATTAGACATAGTCATATTGATATCATGTATGTTGCATTTTAAACTGTTAATTTTTTCTTATTATTGGAGTTACAAGTAATCCTCAATTATTCAGAAATATTACAAGAGATTATTATAATATGTGCGTACACATATATGTGCAGTTGCTTGTGGATATTTCTATCTTCTTAACTTCTCTCATAGTTGAACAACGTATAGGAAGTTCATAGTCTTCTTTTAATTGACCAGATTTTACAATATCTTTTGCGTTAAGAACCATCGATTCATCCTTACAGTGCTTACAAATGTACTCTTGTAAATAGAGGGCTGTAATACAAACAGGATGTTGGCTCACAGGTGTCTTACCTACACCAGCTCCAGCTAAATATACAGAAGCTGGACAACCGAGACCGCCTGCTCCAACTATTAAGACTTTTCCCTTCATCAGTTTCTCCTGTCCTTTTACGCCAATATCTGGTAGTAATATCTGTCTGCTGTACCTGCATGACAGAGAGGCATTGTAGAGTTTAACCAATTGGAAAATGGTTTAAACGCTTAAGTTAATGCAAGAGGGAAAGTCCCATCCATGCTGCCTACCACCATTGTTCAAAGCCTGTCCCGTTCCAAGAAATAAAAATAAATATTAGTAGACTTAGTAGATATTAAATTATACCTCTCTATCGCCCATTTTGGTATGCTATCACCGAACTGTACTTTTAAAGCATTTGTAGAGTCCATGGCAAAGCCATTCTTGTCTGTATTAAGTTTAGCCTGAAATTAATTTTTTATACAAATAATATAACTATTTTAGCCATTTAGAACTCACTGGTTTCATAAGTCAATTCATAGAAATTAATGTAACCGACTTAGGTAGTTCTTATTGGTAATTAATAATAATAAATATTCGACATGATCTTGAAATTTGGACTGTTGTAATGTTGATTTATCCAAAAATTGGGAAATGCACTTTATAATCTGAAGTAGTAATTAATTTTAAAGTTTAAGTGCTTTATATTAAAAAAACGAAACGAGAGTACTTCACTAGGATATTTTAATTATGAGAATTATTTTACCAGCATCCTTACCGTTCCCATTTGATGTTTTAAATCTGACAATTCTTGTTCCTTAAATTGCAAACTCTTGCGTAGCTCCGCAATTTCTCTCTCCAAATTACTAACAATATCCATAATTTAAATATTTCGGCAAACCCAAAACAAAACAATAACAAAGTTACGCATGTTATCAAACGTCAAAAGTGACTATTGATATATGATAACTGCCACGTGAGAGCAGACTGCGCTCTCTTTATCCACGTAAACACAGATTACAACACCTTAAAAAGTTTTATTACAATATTGTTCTTAAATTTTTTAAATAAGTACTAAACATTTTAATCATTATATCCAAATTTATATGTAGTCCCATTGAACTAAAATCTTTTTAAGTATAATATAATGCATTTGAAGATAATATAAGATATATTGCATTTTTGTGTAAAGACTGGCAATACTGTTCATTTTTACTCGGGAATTTCCCTTAAAACAAATCTATTCTGTTAATAGGAAATAAGTACGGTACGGTTTATCACCTCGGTTTTATGTTTCATGTCTACAATGTTACAACCTGATCTATATGATTTAACAAGTAATATAGTGCAGAATACTCTAAATATTATACTTTGTAGTTGGTTGATGGCCTAAATATACCATTAATAAAACTATTGTTCTTTATAGGTTGTGGCGTTCAAGATGGTTTTGATACGTAAGAGGGCAATAAAATCATTCGAATCTTGTGCAATAGGTAAACTTATAATGCTCGGATGGAAAGAAACGAAAATTTTCTGTGGCATACCTACTTAAAACAACATAAAGGGATGAATGATGCTATAAGAATAAAATAGTAGAATAAAGTTCAGAACCAGAGGTTAGGATATTTGTCATTAGGTTTATGAAAAATGGATACGAAGGCGGAAAAATCATTGTCAGAAAAATTTAAACAAACGAATAATTTACTTCATTTAATTATAAAGATACCAAGTCGATAATAACATATGAATATAATATAAGTCATTAATTTCCTACAAAGTAATATAATGTGATTTACAATTTTAATAAGCAATACTATCCTTTTCATATTATCAATTCATTATTAAATAGCATATGAAACTATAATATTTGGTTCACAAGATTGTTGTATGCTAATAGCGTGGAAAAGGTCTCATATCTCTCTCTCTTTTCTTTTGTCTATCTGTTCAATGTGGCTCATTGTAAATAGATGAACCCATTTTGATAGGACTTATCAGGATTTAATTACGTGCGTTTAATTAAATAAATTGTCCTGTTTTAACGAACTTTTCAAAAGAAGTTCTAACTTTTAAATCGATAAGACGCGATTTGTTGCAATCCTGCATAAGCACTTCGGTCTTCAGAGGTATATTGTCCAGAATATTTGAAGCAGCGGCTTCTTCCAACTGGACCCTCGATTGTTCCCCTTTCTCCAATACTAGACGCCTAGATCGTTCTATTGTTTTTTGTGCATCGAGCGTCATTTTTCTCGCCGCCAGCCTTTCCATTATCTGCGGTAGTACTCTCGATTTTTCATAAATGTCCGGCCCTTTTGTTAATTTAGAGTAATCCTCTGAAGTGCTGTGCTGTTTTGAATACAATTTTTGATCCTTTACGGCCGTTTGCAGTAACTGTGCCGGATTCACTCGTAAATCGAATTGGTTTTTGTATATCATGTTTGCGAGTGGAGATTTCATTTCATTGTGGTCTACCGGCCTTTTGACATTGATCAAGTTTTGCAATTTTGTTTTTTGGCATTCACTGCACTTGTTGGTGCTGGAATTTGCGTTTTTTGTTTCTTGCAAGATTTTTAATCGCATCGTGTCGTCGTGTCGTTGGTAATGTTTTAGAAACTCTGTTCTGTAGTCCTTTTTGCTTTTTCCGATATTGCCTTCAGAACTTTGAGGAATATCATTATTGGAATGTATTGGTGTGCCACGATTTGAAATCATATGGTTATCACTTGTTGATTTTTTCAACAAAACTTCATTTTTATTTAGTAAGATATTGTCATTGTTTGGTGGTTTTGACTGTGTGGTTTTGTGTCTGTCAGTGACTGTACCTGTATTTGAGTTGTCATTTGATGTTTTTACAATACTGTTCAAATTTAAACTACCTCCATTGAATATTTCATGGCAATTTTTATTTAAATTTAGTTCCAAATGTGAATCTTTTTTCAAATGTTTGGCTAACATTTTAACTGTGTAATGTATTATCAAAATCATATGTTTTCAATGTATTTGATTCATCTGCATTCGTACTTTTGTTGGTTTTAATACAACCACTCTCTAAATGGTCAAAGAAATCACTGAAGTCGATCAGGGATTCATTGTCTGTTCGTCTCGGTGCAGTTCTTTTTACATGCTGAGGTGTCACATAGATATTTTGATACAGATCCACAAGGTTATATTCTTTTTTTGTAACTGTGTCTATAAATGAACCCATTTCTAATTTTGGATCAGTATTTTTAACTGGTTTGTCATTTGTGCTAATATCAACTAGGATATTGTTATTTATGTTAACTTTCTGTGGTTCCAGAATTTCAAATGGGTTAAAATTTGGCACTGGAGTACCATGTGGTCGATCCACTTTCAATAAATCATCAATTGGTGCCTGCCACATTCTGTAAGAAATATGTTGAAGTAGATAACACAAAATCCCTTGTAGCTCCTCTGATAATAATTTAGGAAATCTACTTTTTATACAAGTACATGGTATTCTTTAAAGAAGCCAATTACTCAGCAAGAGCACAATTTATCTTTGATTGACTCACAATAGTGTGTGTCTGTACACACTATTGTTGTTTGTAAATTTTTGTTAATGCATCTTCATATTTAATAAAACAGTCAGGTTCTTAAGCATGTGTTTTTAGAACTTCAAAAATTACTAATTTTTTTAATTAATAACTACCATATTATTTACCACTTATCCATTATATTTTTATCTTTTTTCGTACTTATTAAAATGTTTAATCTTGATAATATATTCGTTTGTAATACGAACCTGCTTTATGTATTTCAACCAAGCTATTGTTTATTCAAATTATAATTTTACATTACAAGTAGAGCTATCATGATATTATTAATAAAAACGAGAATACTTTTTTAGACTTCTATTATGAAAATTTTGTAAGAAAGCTTAAACACTGTGACAGATACAGATAAGCAATCTAAAATCGATTTTTTTATTTAATTCACAGATAGCGAAGCTTTGCTGTAAAGTTTATAACGTATCATATAATTATATGGCTTAAAGATCATTAGGTTTTTAATGCAAAATCTTATGTACCTATGCCTTACTATGGTTATGAAAAAAACAATTGACGAGCTCGTTGGTAATAGTAGCAATGTACGGCTAATAATCAACAGGTTACGGGTTCGATTCCCACATTGTCCAACATTTTTCTGATAAATTCATACTGTACCGGAAACATGTGACGCTTCTTCTGGAAATATTGAATTTGAATGAAATTGTATGTATGTTTTCCTACATAATGAAAAAAATACTTTTGAATTATCTTCTCTCTGAATTAGTTACACAGATTATACGTTATAATCTGTGTATTAATGTTGTAAAGTAACATTTTTATATGATAATAAAAACCACAGATTTAAAATAAGTATTTGTCTCTATAACATTGTAATTTTACTCTCTGTCATTGGCTATTAGCAAATTGACATTGATATTTTACAGTGTCAGTTGTCAGTATCTAGCGCCGGCAATCGGACGCTTGTCGACGTAAAAATTTTGTACAAAGTTCTATTGATATTTTTTGTGTAATGCTTAATTTCTGCTGTTTTATATAAAACAAATATATTAAAAATTATGTAAATATTACTTAGCTCAGTAAGTTCGTGGCTAAGTTATTTCTTATTTGAGTACTTCAGTGTCGTGAATGTATTGTGAAATGGTTTATTCCTAAAATAAATAAATAATATGTTGTCGTTTGCAACTTGATGTGTGTATTAACTTAATATTAAAGTTTATTTACCAGGACAGTACCTATAAGTAAGTAGATAATGACATTTATTTAATCTAATTACAAGCGAACTTGGATTTTGTTTATCTAATAAGCATACATTGTTTCTTAAGTATAAATACCTTGTTGAGTATACAGATTATTAAAAGTGTACTCTTTGTATTATATTTCAGTAGAGAAGCATGTTGAATACTTAGAAAAATTTAGTTGATGTGTCTGACAGTCATTTTGTTTGGAACAACTAATTTAAATGGTACTTGCTTCAAAGACACAAGCTGAAGAATAGGCTTTGTTTGGAAAAATATCAGTTCTGCAATAGAGAAGATACATTTGTAATATATTTATTATTACAGTTATGATTGGCATATTACATACATACTTTATATATAACAGTATATATAGGTTAGCACCTATTAAGAATAAAAAGTGTTGAGTTCCACATGGTATACCAAAAAGAAATGTTTTGCAAAAACAAGGAAACCAATCGATTATAATTTTTTTGCTGTTAAATAAATCATTTGTTTCTAAATCTTAAGTTGATTTCTCCAATTACAATAGAATGAATGCCTTATCACATATGTTATGATTCTGTGAATGGTGACATTGTATTGGATTACTATTTCTTCAAAGTGGATTGTTTGATTACAAAATCTGCAATATATGGTGCTCTGCAGTGTTGCCTCTGTTACATGACGTACATCAAAACGATAAAATGATGAACTAGATTTAGTCAATTAAATGCTTTAAGCCGGCTGTAAAGAATAATCAATCTTTTGAAGCCTTTGCGTTTATACAGTAGTTTATTAAACGCAGTGTGGTGTTAGAAAACTTATATAATAATAATAATTCGAAAAAAAATTTGGGCAGGACTTGAACCATCATTGTCAGTCAGTCTGGTAGTTAAAATGTGGGTTTTGTCTAATTCATTCAATTTATGTTCCATTCCTATATAACAGAGGAAAAAAGATATTTCTAAGATTGTCCTTGAAAATTTGTTAAGGCATAATTAAAAACCGAATTATAGATGTTGCATATATATAAAGCACTTGATTTACAGAGATGGAGTCATGTTCTCGCCTGACTGCAGCAGAGGGTGGATCGAGGCTTGCCGCAACGGTTGGGGCCAAGAATTTGATGATAACGGAACACACTAACTTCATACCAACCAGTCTTCTTGTGGAGTGTGCTTTCGCTATTCGAGGGTTTGTCTATTCATGTGCATGCTTTGTCTTAGCTGCTGCTGTTTTAGTATGATATATTAAATGTGACCAGTTTAGAGTCCTATATTATATACTATACTAGCCGTGTCAGCGACTTTGTCCGCGTAGAATATTTTTTTGGGTATTCAGATTTGTTTTACAAACCTCTTTATAAATTTAAGCTTTTACCCACGACGTCGGTCGCCTCCCGTCGTTCTTGCGAGTTTATTTCAAGAGATAGACAGATACTGTCGCCGACTTTTTTTCTATAATTTAAAGATGAATCATTTTCTTAATTTTTTCGTGAATCTTGAACCGTTTTTAGAGTGTAAGCATAATCAACATACAAAGATAATAATGAAATAATGTTCCCCGTTTTTCCCACATTTCCCGCTGTTGCTTCGCTCCTATTAATCAGAGCGCAATGTTTTATAGCCTATAGCCTTCCTCGATAAATGCTCTTATCAACACAAAGGTATTTTTTTTAATTCGAACCCGTACTTCCTGAGATTATCGCGCTGAAACATACAAACTAACAAACAAACTCTTCAGCTATATATATTAGTATAGATATATCTTATGTCCCTTACCTCGCACGAAACGCAGAATCTTTTACTTTAACAGCAACTAATTTACTACATAGGATTTTCTAAATTAGGAAGGACTAATTTAGGCAATGTATGAAATGGAGGAAAGAGTTAATTGTAAATTATTTTAGTAATATCTTACATACGTAAATAAAACACCTTAACGGTTTAAAACGAGATATATTAGTTAAAATTATTTAAAAATGATTATTAACTTCGGCCGACAAAAAATTATTTAAAAAATCACAGTTTCCAAAGCAGGGTGCATTTTTAGGAAAAAACGTATAAATATTGCAATCTAGTACATTAAAAATTATTATCAAAGTCTCCCAGGCAATCTGGAAGATTTGGGAAATTTATGGAAGACATTTATAAATACCTACAGACATTTAACATGTCTGTAGTTTACAGACTTGTTCTTGTCCCAATATCTAATATTCTTATCACTATTTTTTGCCCGTACATAATCATTAATTTGTTTCATATTTTATAGGCCCCTATCGTCGTGTTATCAACGAACAATATACGTAACGCGTCAATCGCGAATCGCTTGCGTCGCACACGAGCTGAAAATTCTTACGGACTTGAAGGTGGTAGCTGTGTTGAGTTCTAATGATGTACAGGATTGGTCACAAGAGTTGGAGGAAAACCAGGTGGGTTGACGACAGCTTTTTTGTAATTATCATAATGTCTGAGCTTAAGATCCAAAGCTTCTAAAGACAGAGTTATAAATTTAAAAAAAAATTACACGAGCAGGACTTGAACCGGCATCCATCCATCCTGTTGCTCTACATACTTGAACCCTTCACGCAATGTAATGTCAAGACGTTTATGTAAAAAAATATATATTTACTTGACAACATCCCAAGACAAGACAAGTCTGCGGGACAGATTTCATGTTAAATTAATATGAGGGTAGATATATATATTTTTTATGAGCACAGTTGCAGTTTAAGTAATTTATTTTTAGGGCTTGCTCAAATTTTGTATGTTAACTTTGATTTTAGTTGAGCAACTGTCCAATTTCAATCTTCAGGTCATTGTTTGCACGTCTGCAGTTCTAAGTGGTATACTGAAAGAAGGCTACCTAACCATGACTCAAGTGAACGTTTTAGTAGTTGACAGCTGCCATTTGATATTCCTCGATGAACATTTACAATATGTAAGTATGAGATGAGAAAATATGCTTCTACGACTAGCTATAAACCATTGACATGAGACAATGTGATGCAAAAATCTTGGAAATGAAAATTGTTCAGAAATTAATGGTTCACTGTTCCCAAAAAAAACTTAAGTCTAACTTTTTAACACTTTTATGCAATATTTATAATTAAGAACTATTTCGTGCTTTGATTGTATCTAGTGAGTTGTCAAATAAATCTACTTAAAAACAGTCTATACGTACCCCCTATCCGTTTTATTTCTACGCCCACTATAATTAAGTATTATAGTGGGCGTGGGAATGATATCTCCATGCAATAGTACCAACACGTTATGCTTAGTATTCATGAATCTCTTTACAGATAATGAAATTGTACAAAGACTGCGAAGAATTGAACAGACCCAGGATCTTAGCTATGACTTACCCCCTATTTCAATCAACGAAAGACAGCGAATGGAACAATACACCTATAAACTGTGATGATGAAATTGACAAAACTCCCATTAATGTTACAGTTGAGAAAAATAATGATAGTACCAAACTAAATGATAATTTAGTTCATGCGACAGAATGCGCTTTGGAAGATAATGAAGATTCCAATAAAGAAAATTATGATCTTGGGTTTGATGATGTCAATAATTCAAAAGCAGAAATTTTAGGTGATACCGAAGCGGACGAATCTACCAAAGATAAGGATAGTGAGAAAACAATGTGTGTTATTGAGCACACTAATACAGATTATGAAGCGACAATTAACGATAGCGTAAAAAGTGCGAAAGATATGAGTCTTTATAAGAACCTCGATGATTTTGATATGTATGAGAAGCTGGAGTGGAAGATTGAAGAGTTGGAAAGGCAGCTGTGCTGTGAGATGGACTTGGCGGAAGATATCGACGGCGGCAAAAGGTACGTGGAAGTAGCTTGGAATATTCTTTATCGTGTCATTGCCAATTACTGTCTTGCTTCCGAGAGTATATTAATTTAGGTGTTCATTTTACGGTCCAATTTGGTTAAGTGGGACCTGGATAAATGAGAATCATCTATCATTGTGAGTTGCAATCAGATCCCGGTTCTCTTTCATTGCCTGTGTTAATGGATCTTCTTGAACCTGGTTAAATCAGTCCTACAGTATTAAAAAAACGCTTTAATAGGTTTAAGTGGCAAAGTATACAAGTACGAAGCAAGTTTTTGATTGCTCGCGGACAGGAAAGACAGCGCCCAGTTTTTAATAATTTCGTTGCCATTTAAACCGTTAAAAATGTTTTATTTGAATGTATCCTGCTAGCTGCAAACAGTTGTGAAGAATTAGTAGGCCATATTGTTTGTAGTACTGTATGATATGTATAATCTAGAGCTTAAATTACAGGCTGTCACCGTCAATAACGAAGCCGAAAGAAGTGATAGTGGAATTTGCCCACCAAGTCGAAGGTGTTACCGAATCATACAAGGAGCTGGAGTCCTTCATGAGGACCACTATTATTGATGCCATGGAGTTTATTAATGAACATAGGTAAGTCCTTGTATATTTAAAGTTGTCACTCAATAGCCAGCCCTCTACGTAAATTTGTTATATTCCTAATACAGGAAACATTAGTCTATATTTTGATTGGGGTATAAAGAAGAAACAGACTATACAATATTAAATGAACAAAAACATAAGCATACATTTTATCTTCTTTTAGGTATGACCCTACGGAAATATACGGTGAAGAGTTGTACGAAGAATTTATGAATATACCTGACCCCACATTGGAGCCTAAAGAGATGCTTTACCAGTTTTTATACGTTTTGGATGAGCTTGGTGTGTTGTTGGAACTTGGCTTCTAAAGAGACTTTTTAATTTTCAAACAAGTCGTTTAACTATGAAATAATGACTTGGTTAAGAAAAATATGAAGTTTGTTTATGTATTTTTTTCGAATTAATTATTTCCAGGTCCTTATGCTGCAGATAAAGCGGCGTTTTCCCTTCTAACAAAACTGGAGAAGCTAAAAATAAAAGTGCCATATGAAAGACATTTTCTTCTGCTTTGCCTATGCACCTCGGTTTTCGTCAAAATAAGATGCTACGCTGACCTAGTATTCGAAAAATGCGAAACAGATTGGAAAAAGTTATCCTCATTCTCAACTCCAAAAGTCCTGCGATTTGCGTCAATTTTAGAACAATTTCAACCAGAAAATAAAGATAACTTAGAAATTGTTGAACAAAGTATTAAATGTGTGAGTGAAGAGCATAATGATGATAAAGATGCTATTAATACTAAGACGTGTGATCCACAAATTACTCAAAATAATGATAATACAATGATTGATAAAAACTTTCCTGAAAAAAGACTAAAGAGATCAAGAACAACAGAATTGTTAGACGAAATTAATAAATGTGATTTTAATGCACTAGGGAATAAGATTGAAGACAATGTTAATATAATAGAGTCCAATTTGAAGGAGTTTGACGAATCTAATCACACTTCTGAAATTCGCCTTGAGAGAAATATGGAAAGTGCTGCCAAAAATATTTCTGAAGAATGCGAAATAAATACTGGTTATATTGTAAATATAACAGTTGATAAAGATGATACAATCACAGTCCATAACATAAGTGATAATTGTAAGTCAAATGATAGAATTACTAACACTGTAAATGAAACTGTTGAAGAAAATAAAATTGATGTTAAGACAGATCAACCAGTACTCATTTATAATGATAATTCTACATGTAATAATGTCATAACGACTACTGAAGTGAATCCCAATGACAGGGAGGTAAGAAATATTATAGAATCTTTTGAACTTATACGAAATAGTGATGTAATCGTAAATGAAAGTAACAGTGATACAAGTAAAGACAGTGAAATAGTCCTCCAAAAGGATAATGAAGTTAGGAATAGTAATAATATAGTGACAGATTTGATAAACAGTGACTTACTAGATAATGAGGCAGTTTCGAAAAATAATTGTACTAGTGTTGAAAACGACTGCGAGAAAAAAGCTTGTGTTCAAGGATCCAGTGGCTTAACACATATAGGTGAAAAAAATAACAGCGAATTAATTGTAGAAGAAGTGAAAAAAGACAGTTTAGAACCAGTTTTAGACGAGAGTGTAATAGAGGTGAAAAATAACAGTGATATAACGGAAGTGAAAAGTAGCGATGCAGAGCAAAGAGTGTACAAACGTGGCAGAGGCAGAGGAAGAGGAAGAAAGCACAATGTCAAAACACAACCTCAAACGAATGATTCCCTCTGTGGAATTGTTTTTATGAAGGAACCCCTGATGGCCAAGATCATGTTTATGATGATTGTGGTAAGTCATTATACTGATGCTATAGAGCTTTAGCTTGTTTGTTGCAGTGTTATCTCATATTTTGTATATTTAAAGAGTCTGATAGGCATTTTTAACCCTCTCCTCCCCAGGTTTAAGTCTACCTCTACCCTTATCTTAACATCACATGTTTAGTTGATAGTCATATGAAATTATTGATAGTCATTAAAACCCCCCATTTGCATATTTAGTTCCGATATAATGCCTTCGTCTTCCCCTTTTTCACACCACGAGTCCGATGGATGGCCTTACATCATGCAATAAACAATGTATATTTCAAGTATTTGTTTTCAAGATTGGCACACTAACGACAACTAAATGGTTTTGCATTAGGTTCAACATGGCTCATTCTGCGCGGTCATGGAGTACTTTAGCATATTTGTGTATTTAATAGTTATGTCTAGAAAGATAATTCCTATAGGGATGTAAGGAAATCAAATACAATTTAGAATATTAGTGTGTGATGATAATATTGTATCTATATAGGACATGTCTCGCTCGCGCCCGTCTCTCTCTCATCTTTGTGCACAGTACTGCGCCGTGGAAAGTGTTGAGGAACCAAAAGAGAGTCAGCGCCAAGGCAGGAAGCAAGAGGACGTGCTCAAGAAGTAAGACACGCTATATGCTTTACACTTAGAGACTGTAAAGACAAATTAAATGTTTTACGAATGATATTTTAGCTTCGGATTCGAGTTGTAGCTGCGAGCGTTAAGCTATTTCGGTATTACAGCTTTCAAATAAAGCACTTAACGGTTTAATTACTAATTATTTTAATATACTAATTATTGAACTCCGGCCCCGGGACGTCTGGGATGCTTTGAGGGTGGCTCTAGTCTCAAGGTATAAATGGGTATGCTAGGGATCTGTTCTATTGTCGAATGTTATTAATTTCTAAGCTACCGCTAAATTAATAATTATTCACTTTCAGGTTTCGTATGCATGAATGTAATTTGCTGCTGGCAACATCGGCGCTAGAAGAGGGTATAGATCTACCTAGGTGCAACCTCGTTGTGAGATGGGACGTGCCTCAGTCGTAAGCATCGCTATTTATTAAAGACAGAAGCGGACAGACATGCTTGAGGCTTACTTGATGAAGGCCCTAGCCATGTAATATAATAAATCAATGTGGAAACAAAACCTATGTTCGGTTTCGGACTATCACAAATCTATAGACTGAAACTAAAAACCGATTTACATTCAGCTTTACTATATGTGTCTGGTAGCTTGTGACTGTATTTCCATATTCCTAGCTCCTACAATGTCTAGATTAAACGAATTCCTTTCCAGAAAAAGTATGAATTTAGTTTTGAAACGTTTTGATCCTGGTGGGTCAAGCCCACTGGGGACCTGTGAATTATTAGGCATACATTGCTATCAATGGATGGCTCCATGCAGTACAAGCCTCTCTTTTGTTTGTGCAGATATCGTTCATATGGCCTCTGCAGAAGTAGGGCTAGGGCTTCCAAGTCTTCCGTAGCGTTATTAGCGAACGCCGAGAAGCACAGCTGTCTCCTGATACACAATTTGGCCATTTATAAGGAGCTTGATCAGGTAAATTATATTTTTTTTTTGCTTTGAAAGAGGGATCCCCTTTCCCAATCATTTCTTGCTTGGTAATAAAGGACCAATGCAGAGCTTAATAGTAAAACTGATCCATATTTCTGTGATTTGTCATTAAGTAATTGAGAATTGATCTATTCCAGTACTTAAAGTAGCCATATATATACTCCAGTAGCCCCTCCCCTTATTTTCACAATCGAATAAGTATACCAAAGACTAATGGACGTTTATTTACAGATAGTAACAAGAAAATGTGGTTGTGGTATACAAAATGAACCTCCACAAGAGGAAGAGTTTGCAGCTGATGTCTACACACCCTGTATTAAAGCGTATAGTCCAATAAACACATGTGAATCCATAAACAAACGTATACTTGACAAAATACGCGATGTTAACGAATCTGTTTGTGGTATAAGAGATAAGAGTAGTGAAATACATAATGTTAATTTAGAGGAATTTAATAAAAACCAAAATGGAGACATATTATATAATAATGTAGTAACAGCTGAAGGTACATCTGTTGAAGAATTAAGGGAGGTAAATATTATTGACGAAAGACAAACAAATGAATATAATCAATTGAATAGGGAATTGCTTGATAATATAGTAGAAAATACAGAAGAGCTTAGTAGTGTAAGTAAGGAAATGGTCCACACGGTAAATGATTTGGGAAATAATCACAAACAAGATTCAACAAAACATGTTAAAGAATTAAAAACTGTCGAAGATAGTAAAATACCAAACGATGAAAAAAATCAGTTTCAAGCTGTCGAAAATGAAAACGTAAATGAAATTGAAGATGTCAAAAACAGCGAAATAATTGAATTTAAAAGTGACGAAGAAATTGGATTACCTAATTCGAGTAAGAAGTATAAAGATATGCATGGTGCTCAAAATGTTAAAGATAATAAAAGTGAGTGTAGAACTATAAGTGACAGCAAGAACTATAGTTTAGATTTCAGAGAACTAAGTGATTCAAAAGTGAGTGACATAGTGGGGAAAGGGGAAAAAGTGAGCGAGAGAGAAATGAAAGTCGAGTACGACGTAAAAAAGTGTGAAGAAAGTTTTGCGAGTGTCGACTTGAATAGCGCAATCGCGTTGATAAATAGGTGAGATGTTTTGTCTCACTTTGGCAAATATGTAGTTAATTAGAGAAAGAGACGGATATTGTCTTCAAAAAAACAATTGTACAATAAGGAAATAATTTAAGTGTCTTTTTCAAGATAATGCTTCTCAATATAGCATAGCTTGGATTTACGTATAAGAAAGCCTACCATTCGATTGCGGCCTGTGTCGCAGTGTTTTAAATTTCTTTATCTTATTTGCTTTGTACAACATAACCTACCTACTACCCGTGTACTATTTTTGACTCATACGCCGGCGTCTGTGGCAGGTATACAAAATATATATTTAATGATGTTAATCAATTTCTAAACATGGACTTCGTCTGGAAATTTTGATATTAAACTTATTAAGATTCACGAACTACCGTCGACAGATGAAAAACGCGTTCGGTTTCAGTCTCTGGATTCGGTAATTAAAAACCGGCGACAGCGCAGCTTGTTGAGATGTATATAAGATGGTTTGGGTATTGTCACCTGCCATCGAGTGAACCCCGATGCTTTTCTATCCTCCTCTATTATAAAAATTTTATTCTTAGGTATTGCGGAAAACTACCCTCTGATACATTCACGCGTCTAGCGCCGCAATGGTGGATCGAGGAAGTGCAACTACCCGCCAATGGCGAATTGAAACCGGCATACATTTGCACGCTTCGTATGCCATTGAATTGTCCCGTCAAATATAATATAGTGGTTAGTTCTTTCAATCTTATGTTTCTTAAAATGTTCAGGTTCTTAGTTCAGGTTTAGGTGTGGCAATTCTAGTGGGTTCATTGCCTGTGTAGTTCTGTAACTTGATGAAAACTTTACACAGACCAAACCAAATCAATTGTTTTCATAGTTTGAATGTATAAATTATATTTTATGAATATCTATACTAATGTTGTAAAGCTGTAGTTTGTTAGTCTGTTTGTTTTTTTGAACGCGCTAATCTCAATGTCTACTAGTTCGAATTGAAAATAATTTGTATTAGTCGAACCACTTATCGAGGTATAACAGAGAAATGGGGAAAAAACGAGGAAAATATTTATCTTGTTTCATTATCAAAAAATTCAAAAAAGCTGAGGAGGTTGTTTGCAAAAATAAATGATGAAACATGATGCCCAAATAATTACACCCCCCGGGCGAGGTCGCGGGCATAGCTTCTCTATACTTCCATCTCTCTTCATTAGGTATATAACTAGGCCTTTAATTTGTGTCTCCTCCACCGTACTGTTCCTGTGCGGGTTGGTGGGATTAAACGATTAGCACCATTAAATTAGTGACGATAACCTATACGATACCTAAACTCTCTGGGGTACGGGAGTAATAACATCTGCTATAATTAAAATAACATATTTCCTTTGATGCAAGTTTTGAACCTAAGACCTCACCATCTACAGTTGAGTGTACCACAAGGCAACAACAGGACAGTATAATTTCCTTCTCTTCTTCAGGGTCACCCGATGCCCACTCGTGTGCTGGCGCGGCGGATGGTTGCGTTGCAGGCCTGCAGAATATTGCATAAGTCGGGAGAACTAGATGACCAGCTGATGCCTATAGGTAGGTATAATATAAAAAAAACTTCAATAAAAACACTTTTAACGACGAAAAACGCAATGTGTAACATAATTTTCAATACTTACTACTAAATTTGAAGATCGATTTTAGATTGAAATAATTTCACGAGACGGGCAGGACTTGAACCGGCATAGGGAGAGGGTCAATTTAACTATACTTCGCGTTTCAAACCGTTGAAAATATTCTATTTAAATTTCCCCTCATGTAAAGTACCTAATATAATACCTCTATCTGACGGTACGTGTGTAATTCTAGCGTGATGTAATTTTTCGACTCTTTGTGATTTCAGGTAAGGAGAACTTCAAAGCTGCCGACATGGACGCCAACCTCCACCCAGAGGTCACAGACGTCAACGATTCGGCGAGACCTGGTACCACAAAGCGGCGCCAATATTATTATAAACGCGTAAGATACAAATTTTAATGATAGAGCAAAAATAGGTGAAGTTCCCGAAGCCTATAGCATCTGAACAAGATATGCTCTCGACCTATTTTGGCTTTGTATATTCAGAAATCCACAGATTGAAACCGATACGCGATTAAATTTCACGGCTATTTCATCTGTGGCTGACCGGTCGGTTTCGATTTTCCCACCTTTTAATATCCAGACTTCCAGACGAAGGCCAACATGTTTCACAAAAATTATATATTGATTAGAAAAATGTTGGACTAGATGGGGATCGAACTCACGAGCCCGACAAAGCTTGCTTTGGTTGTACGACACAGAGGAAGGTCGATAACTAAGCTGAACCTTCGGTTCTTAAGGTGTTTGGTGAACATCCCTTTCTCACAAAAGAACGGGCTTTTTTGAGTGACAGTATGCCATGTGTAATAATCAACGTGTTATACCTACCTGCTTCTAAAAAATAATTTATAATTTTCTGAAACCAGTACTGAACGTCTTCTGTTTAGTCTTGATTTTGATGGTGTCTGTCTTTTACCTTTTTCCGTCTGGATCGCGATTTCTTGTCTAAAGCCAAAATAAGTCAACAACGCACCTTTTTAAAATTGATGTAATATCCCCACTCCCCCCCTCTGCATAGCAAAGAATATTTCGCATGTTATCGCATTTTTAAATATATGGATAACTTGTTTTTCAAAATGCTGAACCAATTTTGATACACTTTTTCATCTTTACTTGCCTGTATTACAGACAGCGTGGACCTTCACCGATTGTCAGCCCATTATCGACACCAGTGACGATGAGATCGAAGCGAACCCTACACCTAAGTGTAAACCCAACTATCCTTCTGGTGAGTATTCGAAAATCTGTAGAGCATGGGGGCAACAAATGAGTGAAAGACCCTGTATCTAAATAGAATTAAAAATAAAGGAAAATTTTCTTCTAATGTTTATTTAAAAAAAAAAAAATTGGGGCCCCGAGGCGGTTGCCCTAGAATTCTCTCAAATCCGGCCCTGTTCTAACGGCGTTGGTTCACCTCAGGTACCAAACGGAATATGCTCTACGCGATAATGTCGAACCTATGGTGCGCGTTGCCCGAGCGGTACAACACGAGGGGGAGGAAACTGCACTTGCCCCAGCACGCCACTCAGGCCATTGGGATCCTGGTCGCCAGATGCGAGCCTACCAAGTGAGTGTGCACGTATCTCTTATATCAGAGAAGAACAGACATGGGGTCCACTTCACGGTAGGTGAAATACCACAGCCACATATTAAACAAATTCTTTGGACATTGGCGGGCTTGTTGGTGTAATGGTAGCAATGTACGGCTATCAAGGGGCCGGTGGGTCGATCCCCACTTGGTCCAATACAAAAAAACATATTAGACTTAGTCTGGATATTAAATCGGTGGTGGGAATATCGAATCGTCCTGGTCAAAAACCATCGACAACAAATAAAAAAGCCGTGAAGTTTTATCGCGTTTGTGATCTAACTTCTGTGTAACTGAAACCGCAGTTTGTGGTTTTCCGAATATCAAAAGCTAATATAGGTCGACATCACATATTGCTGGGATACTATTGGCCGGGGTATTTCACTTACAACACCCATAAGTGCTTGCATGCTATGTCCGTCTTCTTCTATAATAATAAAAAAACTAAAATAAACAATAGAGATCATGGTAGCTCAATTGGTTAAACATGAAACACTATGGTCCTGGGTACGAGTCTAAAGCAATAAAAAAGTTATAACTCTGGATGTCCCCAGATTGCAGATACCTGCGTTCCCAGTGTATACGAGGTCAGGGGAGGTGCGGGTCAGTGTGGAGCCGGCTTTAAGCGCGGATGTGCGCCTGTCACCGCGACGTGCGAAACTAATACGACGGTAAGGATCCCCCATTTCTATATAAGAGGCAAGAATTTAAGAAAATACATTTTTGAAGAAGGTTAACAATTATACTAAGCTTAGCTTAGTTAACCTGTTTAATATCACGATGCCTTTTACGGGAAGATATGATTGACTTCAATAATAATAAAAAAATATAAAAAAACTAAGTATTTGAAATAATGTGTGAATTTGATAGTTAACCGAGCAAGCACCTCTTCACAGTTTCATGCGTTTCGTCTTTTCGGATGTGCTGCGCGTGCGCCGACGCGGTATGAAGCTACAAACAGAAGGATCTACCCAGAACAACTACTATGTAGTGCCGACTGTTAAAAGTGAGTGTTATTTTGTATGATAGAGAAGGTAGACAAGCTAGCGTATATTATCTAAAGAATATCCCATGACCCGTTGATCACATATACATCTCTAGCGCAAATAGATTTTCTCAAGATAGATAGAGAGAATCTGAAATTGTAAAAATTACATATCTTAATATAAATAGTACAACAATCCTTACAAATAAACAATACGTCTTCTAGAAACGACACCAGAAGGTAGCACAATAGTTGATATAGACTGGGCGTTCCTCGAACTCATCTACTCATATACAGAAGAGAAGAAGATACAAGAACAAGAGAACCCGGCGATGTGGCAGAAGAAGGACAGCGAGCAGAAGTTGGACAATCCCCTGCTGAGGCCAGGGGAGGTGTTTGTCTTCGACCCGGAGAAGTACAGCGAGGCTGTGGTCACCCCGTGGTACAGGAACCAGGATCAACCGCAGGTAACAGTACATAGGAGCTTGTGTGACGTATTTCGGATAGACCCAGTCCAGCCATGTCTTCTCGGCCAGTTTAACAAGGGTTGCCTATAGTCTATTTTTTCTAACTTGGCAAAAGACCACAACAAATAGGGCCGACGTTTGTAACGCTTTTCTGCGATCATGCACGAGTGGGATTTCCACCTTCTATTTTCGTTAACTTGGCTTACATCCTTATGTATATACTATCTGTGCATCCTTATGTTAATGTCAAACTAAAGAAATTTTAATCTGTCCCTTTACTTAAATTGATTTTAGGATTGTTATTAATATTATTACTACTAATTTATGTGGTTTTTATTAAGTGAACTTATGGTGGTTCATTAGTTGAATATATAATCCAGTGTCTCAAAGTGTAAGTAAATTAAAACCTTGAGGGAAAATCACGATTCCATGTAAAATGTGTGTTTGCTTATCAAATATGCCAAGTTAGAAAAAATATACAATTCTGTACAAGGTGTACAGATAATCATAATTTTCATTTATTTTTCTTATTTGTGTTTGTGTTAAATAAAATAATAATATAAGACCCGTTACGCTCGTGACCGATTCGCATCGTGTGTGACCGTTGTTAGTAGTTACTAACCTTTAGTTTAAGGTTTTATTCGTGTTACAAAAGCGAACTGCCTTCTTTACTGGTATTTTCGTACACAGTATATAGTGTTAATATACCTATATTCATTTTTAAATAAAACGGTTTGAAACCCGAAATATATTTAATAAATTCATTTGAAAATTCTATAAGTTTAACTAATATATTTCGCGTTTTAAACCGACAAAAGTGTTTTATTTAAATGTGTACTACTTGCGTAAATTACAGATAATATTTACAATTATTTCGTTTTGGTAGAAGTGAAGAAGAAGTAATAGCAATATTTTAACAAGATAAATTTCTTCTCTCCAGTTCTTCCTAGTGGCGGAGATTTGTTGGCACCTCACCCCGGACTCGGCGTTTCCCTCGGAGCAGCACGCGACCTTCCGTTCCTACTACAAGGGGAAGTACGGCGCCGATTTGACCCAGACGGACCAGCCGCTGCTAGACGTGGACCACACCAGCGCCAGACTCAATTTGCTTACTCCAAGGTAAAAAGTCAATTTTTACAATTACACAATCTATATTTTTCAAAGCTTGAAACATAGCCCGTAAACTAACCAAAGTTCCTGCAAAGCAATATCTGTTTGAAATTAAGTAAGGTACATTTCACGGAACGCTTCTGTAGCTAAATGTTCAAAAGTGCTACCTAATGTTAAGCGCGAGAGGTCCTGGGTTCAAGTCCCGTCGTGCAGGGGAAAAAAACCTGTTCAACTACTCGTAAATAAACCGACCCGTGAAACGGAACGGAGTTTTTTTGAACGAGGGGAGAAATATTTCGCGCTTTAAACCGTTAACACCGTTTTATTTAATTTGTTACATTACATAGTTTTCGAAGTTTTTTCTTTTAAAACTATTTTTAATATCCAAAAGCTACTCTCTGTCGTTTTGAATAAACCTTTAGTAATACGTCATATAGACACCATCGCAATTTTTTAAATCCCATATTTTTCTTACTCAATGACAACCACTTCCAGATACGTGAATAGAAAGGGCGTAGCCCTGCCCGTCTCTTCGGAGCGCACGCGCCGCGCGAAACGCGACCGTCTCGACCAGAAGCAGATTATGGTCCCCGAACTGTGCAAAGTTCATCCCTTCGCAGCGCCGCTCTGGTTTGCGACGGTGGCGCTACCTTGCGTATTGTATCGGTAAGAAATCTTACTATATTTTCTACACAAGAACTTTTTACGAAATAACTTATATTTTTTAATGTCTAGAAAGTTTAAGGCTGGAAATACCAAAATCAGGGCTAGCTTTAGTGGTGGTCAGGGGCCTGCATAAGAAAGAGGAACCTGTACAATAGATTTCGGTTATTTTTTTTTAATTCTGAAAGAATTCGCTAAATTTATTTTTTTAATAATTATTTTATGTTTGTTAAATATATATTTATTTTAAGGCTAAGGCACTCACAGCGTCCCATGCTGTTGCATAACCGATTGGTAATAAGTGAAAAATATTAAAGTTTTCAAAAATTCTTTTTCCAGGATAAATGCTCTACTGATAGCCGACGAAATTAGACGCGCCGTAGCCATCGACGTGGGTCTCGGCATACCCAGGATAGATAACGAAACCTGCCCCGGATTCACGTGGCCCGCCCTGGACTTTGGATGGAGTTTGTCCGAGGTGAAGTGTTACATGGTAAAACAATAAGTTTATTCTAAGACCATTATTGAATCCCTATACAATATCTTTTTCAGGTTCTCAGTGCTGACTCAGAAAAACTCGACAAGAAGAGGGAGTTAGATGACTTAGTTAAGGGTGAAGAGTTGGAAAAGGAACAAAGGTATTTTTATGTTCTTTAAAAAAAATAGTAAAAATAATTTTGTCTTAATGTAGAAAACTTAGTAAAATATATTTGTCAGAGTTAGTAAATACAATGGCTATTTCTTGGCAATATCTTACATAAGAAGAACACAAAAGGTACAATTGGCAGGGCGTTTTGATGAACGTAAAGGTTTGCTGCTCTACCTTACTTTACAGCAACCGTCGTGGCTGCTGCAAAGCAACTGAAACGTATTGGTCGTAGTTAAAATATTTTTTTAAATTATCGATTTAGTGTTTTATTTAAATGTGTACTACTCGCGTAAACTACAGGCAGTATTTGTACGTGTAAAATGTATTATTTATTATTACTAAATCCTAATGGGGACACTGACTGTATGCCCGCTGATCTATCAATGAAATGTGGATAACATTTGCTGACAAGCATTTCAATATTTCCCCTATCCCCTCTTTGTGAGTCCTGTTGTCTATCCTGAGTGCTGAATAAGCCCTATGTCCCCATCAAACTGTTTTATTTACTGGTACATTTCTTTTGTACATAAAGATGTTTTTATAATCACTTCCAGGGATAAAGAGGAACAAGAGAATGAAGATAAGGCAGAAGACGCTCAAGAGCCAAAAGAGAAGACGATCAATGATATATTGCAAGAGAAGGAAGAAGCGGAAAGCGTGAGTAAAAAAAATTAGTTACAGTCGTTCTTGAGGATTTTAACTAAAACGTGAAAACTATAGTTATTATTTTATTTTTATATTTGACAGGCTCGTTGGTCTCATGGTAGCAATGTGTGGCTCGGACGTGGGTTTGATTCCCACCGGATTCAACATGTTTCAAATTTTTCATTTGTTGATCTTCATCTTGAAATCTGGATACTAAATGTGTGGTAGGAATATCGAATAGACCACTCCGTTCTCGCGTTTCTGTTCCTGTTTTAAGACCTAAAAAAATGTGTTGACCACATATAAATAGATACTTGTTATTGCATCGATCTGAAAGGAAACAACTCACTCATTTCTTCACACTTCATCACTTCTTTAAAGGTGTTACCCATTAAATCCGCCATCTTTTTCCATTTTGACGTTACGTCATGCACAATATGTCAAATCTTTGTGATTCGCGGGAAATTTAAACCTCCTTACATATAATATTTGTTATCTGTTACCGAAAAGTAGTTTAATCTTTAGTCTTATGGAATTGTAATAAGGTCGATTTCCGCAGGGCTTCGAGATCGGCACTTGGAGTAACGAAATGGCGTCCTCCATACCACAGAGTATAGACTACGACGAGTTTATGGAACCCCTGCCTCCAAATCTCACCTTTTGCACTTCGGCTACAGGTATCTAACATTGTAAATATAATACCGTTTTTAATAAAACACTTTAACCGTGCAAAACGCGAAATATTTTAGTTAGCTTATTCGAAAATTACTTTACTACGGTACGACGTTTCGGATGCTTTGTATTCGTGGTCGAACTAATAAATTTCGTGTTTTAAACCGCTAAAGATTTTTACTATGTGTACTCTTCTCGCGTAAACTACGGACAGTGTTTTTTAATTATTAAAATCTAGTTTTAATTTCTATAATGCCATCATGTAAAGCATATTAAGATGTATAAACAATAAGAAAATAAAAATAGAAAGGTATGAAACGCGAAAGGAGTTGAGAACTTGGTTTTTCGATCTTATTAGACGTAATTGAGAAATGGTTCTTGACGCCGTCTTCGTCAGATCTTGATGTGTGATTGGTTTTTAAGTAATAAATAAATCTTGAGCATCTTGAGATGTTGTCTTTATCTACGTTGCAGTGCGCCTAGCAGCATGAGTAAATAGTTTTTGGCTTCAATATCAATTGTATAACAGGTGGTGCAAACTGGTCCGAGCCGATAAACAAGCCGAAGAGCTACACCCCGGGGCGCAAATTCTCAATGGCGGACAGTGATTGTTCTTACCTGTCCAGGTAATGTTGTTCTAGACCAAATGTTTAACGCCTAACGCCCAGTGGGGGTCGAATCCACATTTTCCAGTAGTCTCTAAAACACTTTGTTTGCCTTTTAGTGATTTCGACACTGACGACTCCGATTTCAACTCGGAAGGCAGCGATGAAGATTCCGAAGGTTTCTGCAGCAGTAAGAACACCAATGGTTAGTATACCATTGTCTACTACTGGGTAGGTTAGAATTGGTATATTGGTTTGAGTAATTACGATCTCGCTTCCTCTTTTAACGAAAGCGAAACACTTATTTGCAATTCGTTTTAACTATGTCGCGACGTTTAGAATGCTTTGTAGCAGCGGTGGTCACACGGGGATTAAATAAAATCCGCGTGACGAGCATAAAGCAGTGTTTGGTAAAAAATAAAATCATTTAAATAAAACATTTATAACTATTTAAAACGCCAGGTGTTATTTGTAAACCCATAATTCTCTTCAATCTGTATTGTAACATTAATAGGTTTAAATGAAAGTGTATGTTTCTCTTTAGCTGCAATGGGCGTTCGAATCGAATATAAAACGGCGCACGAGGCGGAAGCGGTGGACGTCGAGAGGCGAAAGCCAGTTGCGCCTGCGCCGATTCCCGACCGTAATGACGATTTGAAAGATCTAGCAGCCTATAAGTCGATCATGAGGGATGGAACACCACCAGAAGAGGTAAGGATCTCAACTTTGGTTCTATCCTGAGCTTAAAGGCTTAAAGGTTACACTTAGTCTTATATAGCTAATAAATGATAAGTTTGACAGTAGGCACATTTACACTACTGCAATGTTCTAGGTAAAGTGTACGATAAATTTCATACCTTGTTGACGAGTAGACTCACGTACGGAAAAAGTAAGAGGACATATTTATCTTATTGTACTTAAATGATATAATGTCTTTCCTTTAAAATTTATTTTTATTTATTTATTTAATTCTTTATTGCAACACACACAAACACAAAGTACACAATATATTACCTTAAAAAATATTCTTAATAATACGAGTTAAAACGATAAATTATTCTTACAAGTTATGGAGTGCAATGGGCGGCCTTATCACTTTAGTGCGATCTCTTCCAGGCAACCCTTCGTACGTTTTAATCATTACGATTATGACATACATACTACAATAGAGATTTTTTATTTTAAAGATTACTAAAATTATTTTCTTTTTCAGCATGTAATAAATTTCAGAAACTCTGTTAAACTACACGAGAAGGAAATAATGGAAGACGGTCATTTGATTAACAAAAATGAACCTGTTAAAGACTTATTACCTGAAGGTAAAGAAATTGACGTTATCTGTGGTAATAGCAAAACTAGTGCTGAAGTAACTATGATTGATAATATAATTAAACAAGAAGGCGAAGATTTGAACAAAGATAATGAAAAAACATTACATAATACACATAGCGTAGGTGATTATGCACATGTGAAACATAAAGAAAAAATTGATAACGTTATAGCAAGATACGAAGAAAATAATTTGGTACTTGATGAACCAATTGTTAAAGTTGATAGGATAGTTACAAACAATGAAATTATAACTCGAGATGTTAAACAAATAAACGAGTTTGATAGAGTACATCAAACGTCAAAAACAGACACTTTGGAAGACGTGTCAAATAGTATTAAAAGCGAAGAAAATAATTTTAATAAACTAGAGACTATAACAGATAAAGCGATAGATGATAGAATATCAGAACTCTTTCCATACCTCAACGGGGTAGAAGTAGTCAACGGGCAGGTAACGCTAGAAGCAATAGAGAGAAACAAGCGGAAACTCCTTGCTGAGTTGCGAGTATCTCTGACAGAAGAAGACATTAAAAAGTTAAATTGTTTCTCTATGGTTGATATAGATATAGACTCTGCGGATTATGTAAACGAAAAAGTTGCCAATGTGGGTTTCGACGCTAGAGAGAGATATGAAGATCTGGTTAAAAAATGGGGTGATTCAAGCGATTTGAGACCTTATTACCTAGATAGTAAGGGGCAGAGTGGGGGTGATTTCGATTTTGATTACCAGCCCAGTTTGGAGGGACATCCGGGACCGAGTCCTAGTGTTATTTTGCAGGTGAGTGCCACACCGTTGTCCATACGACTCACAGTGTGATCCAATAAACATTTCACTTAAGGTAACTCAATTATTTCCGAGGCCTATAAAGTATGACTAAGCTTCGCCCCCCGCCTATTTACGTGTTTTTCAATTGATTAAACATTAAATACACTTTTATTACCATTTACCACCGGGGCCTGGACAGACAGACATCAAAGACTGCTTAATTTTTAGGGTTGCGTTGTTAACGGGTTTGAACACACAAAACCCTAAAACTAGCTTCTGTAAACTTACTTCCAATATTCTCCAGGCCTTAACCATGTCCAACGCGAACGACGGAATAAACCTGGAACGCCTGGAGACGATCGGAGACAGTTTCCTCAAGTTTGCGATCACCGCGTATCTGTACTGCGCACACCCCGCCGTGCACGAGGGGAAACTGTCGCACATGCGCAGTAAGCAGGTCAGATATACAACGCCATTACGTAATAAATGACATTGACGATAATAAATTCAAATTTTCCGCCTTTATAATCTGTCAGTAATAAGATGGCGGATGTAAAAGGATTTGTTAAAGAGGATCTTTATATTTTTTAGGTAAGATAATAGTTAGATTAGTGTAAAATGATATTATAAAATTGTAAGGGCATGTTTAAGAGTAAAAATTTATATTTTCAGAAAAACAAATTCTGTTTATTTTTTTCATAATATTGGATTTTTATATATTTCAGGTATCGAACCTTAACCTGTATCGTCTCGGGCGAAACAAGCGGCTGGGCGCGCGGATGATCGCGTCGAAATTCGAACCCCACGACAACTGGTTGCCTCCTTGCCATAAGCCACCACCCACCTTACAACCGGGAATCAGTGTTAGTACTCTACTGACTGGTTTACTGATTTGGATAATATTAGAAAAAAAATGATTTCATTAAAAAAAATTACAAACTCATTTTGTAAAGTCTCCTCAACCTGCCATCATGTCATCTTGACTCTCTTCTGGGGATCATGGAACCACTCCTCCTACGTTCGAAATCTACAACGTTTTATTGGATAATAAATTCAATGCATCTACACAAACACTTACATTTATTTCTTTTTTCAGAACGATCAAGAAGACTCCGAGAAGAGAGTGCCGCAGGATAATACAGGATGTTTCATTCCGTACAACCTAATAACTCAACATAGCATTCCAGGTAATGTTATGGTAGTTCTGGGATTCGCAATATATTCATAATTATAGTTTACTCGTGTGGTACCTATGAACATAACGGTTTAAAACGCGAAATATACTATGCTTAATAAGCCTAACTACGACTCGACGTGTCGGGTTGTTCATTACAATATACATGAAAATTATTAAAAATAAAAGGTTATAATATGAAGTTCGTGAAGATAACCTTTTTTTGGTATTGCAAGTACCTATTTCATCCTATTAATTGGAATACAGCAAAAATAGACTGCAAAGGACGGTTTTGTATAATTATTAAGTCATAGTCAAAGTAGACGAGATCTGTAATATGTATATTTATGTACATAACTGTTGATTTGTAGACAAATCGATAGCAGATTGCGTCGAAGCCCTCATTGGGGCTTACCTTTTGGAGTGTGGTCCCCGCGGGGCCCTACTATTCATGTCCTGGCTCGGGATACGCGTATTGCCATGTCATCTTATAGAATTACCCGAGGACCATCCCTATGTTGCACGGCAGAGTAGAAAGGAGGCTAGCAACACCGAAGAGGTAAGAAGGATTAATCATTCGACAACTAGCTACTTGACGGGTTCGTTGGTCTAATCTGGTAGCAATAAAACAATGTTTCATGGGTTCGATTCCCATCGGGTTCAACATATTTTTTAATATTATTCATATAGAAAATTTGACCTTCCGTCTACAGATGGAAAAATAAGTCAATTCGCGTTTCGGTTTCAGCCTGTGGATTTCCTAATGTCCAAAGCCAAAACTAATTAATAACACAACTCGTTTAGATGTTAAAAGGCTTTGGCATTTCACCTTCCAACTCCAACACCTTTAAAAGCCATGCTTATCTGTGATGGTTGAGACATTTACAGAGGAGGCTTCTGTCAATATTTCGAGTCCCAACTACAAAAGCCCTCGCCTCCCAACTTCTTGGAGGTGAAAAGTGATATAAATATTTTACGATTTACATAATTTGACTGGATTGATTGGCCTCGTAAATTATGGTCTCGTAAATTTAACAACAAGGCGCAAAACATTTCAGAAAACACCCCAAAAAACGTACGAGCCACTCTCGAGCGATACGGAAAGCTGCTGTTCATCCGACGAGGAATCAACACCAGACGTGCAGCCTCCGCCCGAAGACTGGAGCTGGCCTGGTAGGGCCGTGGGGTCGCTCAGACCCTATAGAGATGGCGATGCGAAGTGGGTTCAGGTGAGTTTGAACATTATAAATAAGTTGTGAATACGTCTTTCCCAAGGTCTTGTGTAATCCTTATCAGGCGATTAAACCTGTAAGTCATATCAATCAGTGTGACCTAATGTCCCATGCCCCGAAATAAAAGTTCAATGTTATGCTTTACAGCTTTAGAAAATTATTGCAGGTGAAATTCCTAAGTTGAACATTGACATTAAGTTAATTCGCAAGTGTTAAGGTTGAAATTACTTTGCGCGAGAGGTATATGTATCAATAGGTTGAAAAATTCGACAATGGCAAGTAGGACTCGATAACTCAATTACACAAAGAATAAGCTCGAAACGCTGTAGATGCCGGTTCAAGTCCTGCCCGAGTCTTAATTTTTTTTCAATTTATAATAGATTTTTAATTTATACATTTAAAAGTTTTGCGTGAAGGTCAAAATATGTATATAAAGGAATGTGATAAAGATTACTTTGTTTTACTTTCCAGCCCGTTTTCGGTGCCCTCAAAGCCCCACCATCACCTTTATTGAGATACATCGAAGACCCAGAAGGGGAATTGGAAATTATGTTATCGGGTGAGTATTCTTCCAACTCATCTTTAAATATTTGTATTAAATCTTCGAACCGTTTCGTGTTTCTAATATACATGAATGTCTCAGTTTTTCCCTTCTGTTCTCTTCTAGGCTACGAAGAGCTGGAACGCACCCTCCAGTACAGGTTCCGCGACAGATCGCTGCTGCTGCAGGCGCTCACTCACGCGTCGCACCAGAAAAATCGACTGACCGACTGCTATCAACGTCTCGAGTTTTTGGGAGACGCAATATTGGGTAAATTACTAGTTATAGTTATAAGTGGCGGTAGTTTTTCTTTCTATTTATATATTTGTTATCTCCACAGATTATCTAATCACTCGTCACCTATACGAAGACCCGCGGCGTCACTCACCCGGCGCGTTGACAGATCTTCGTTCGGCGCTCGTCAACAACACGATATTCGCTACTCTGGCGGCTAGGCATGGATTCCATAAGTATGACACATCTACACGTCTGTGTCCGTTTCATTTGTTTTGCAGTGCCATAGTATGCCTATTATGTGTTAACCGGGATTTCCGATTCAGGACCTGCTGTGGTTAACTAAATGAAACTATGGAGCAACAAATGCAGTTTTTTTGTGTTGTTGTATGTTGCATGGGCATACTTAGGTTCTAGCCTAGGAGTGAGGGGAGAGGGGGGCAAGTCTGTTATTACTCAGTGGGGGCAGGTACCTATAAAAAACCTTTTTTTAAGGTACGATAAGCTTTCAAAGTAATAATACACAGTTTGTGTTTGATAAGGCACTGGTATCTCTTTTATGTATTCCTTGGGGCGAAGAGGGAGTAGCTTTCATCCCTGCCCCTCATCCTCGGTTACGCCCACGTAAACAGTTACCAAATACATAGGTTCTTATTGTTTTCCCCAGATACTTCCGTCACATGTCGCCGGGTCTTAATGAAGTTCTAACGAAATATGTGAAAATTCAAGAGGAGAACGGCCATTCAATAAGCGAAGAGGTATGTCCATTCACATTCTTAACTATACTTTGTCTAATATAGGAATTAGTCAAAGTGTATTCTGATGCATGGTATGGTGATATGTGATTTTCACATTTAAATATGATTAAATGCAAATTATATTCAAGTCTAGTCTGTCTTTGTCTTTTGGGTTCTGTGCAACAAGTTAAAAAGAAATTGTCCTTATACTAAGACTTCGCACACACACACTAGTCCACAGGCTATTTTTTAACCTCGGAGAGAGAGATTTCTTTTATTTTTAACAATAAAAGAAATCATTTAAAGGGGTTGTCTTCGGCAAAATCATTTGTTTTATTCATTTTTCTTTTATAAGTTCAAAGTCATTTACAAGTATAGAAGTCGCGTTTACAACAGTATTTTTAATGGAACCTACAAGTATAAGTTCTTTTCCAGCATTACCTGATCCAAGAGGACGAGATGGAGCAAGCGGAGGACGTGGAAGTGCCGAAAGCCCTCGGAGACCTCTTCGAGTCTGTTGCAGGCGCCATATTTCTCGACTCTGGTGGGTTGTAGATTTGGATAGAACTCCCCACTTCCCTAAAGTGAGGAGTTTAACGCCCCATGCAAAATAAAAACCTTAAAGTACTTATCCGCTAAAATAATATTATGATGCCTGATTTAAAACTTTCTCTTACTTTGATGAGTTTGTTTCAAGGTCACTAATCCTGCCTTCCACTTCTATGAGGTCCAACATATTTCTTAACAACTTCTCAGAAGTCTAAGACTAACTAAGACTGCTTAGAAATCTCAAGGTTTCAGAAGTTTAATCTCGTTTCGGTTTCAATCTGTGGAATTCCGAATATCCAAAGCCAAAATAAGCCGGCCGCGCATCTTGTTACAAATATATAAGGTTGAGGCATATTACCAACCATTATATGAACCCTATGCTCGTCTGTCCTAGAGAACTATCATAAGAAAAAATTGCTATTCGATAACAAAAAATTTGCAGATGCAAAAGTTTGTTAAAATCTGTTGAGTCATTTAGACTAGACATTAAACTCTACTGATAAAACTTCAAAAACACAGGTATGTCTCTCGGCGCGGTGTGGCGTTCCTACGCGCGTCTCATGATGGCGGAACTGGAAGCCTTCAGTGCAGCAGCGCCCAAGTCTCCGGTCAGGGAACTGCTGGAAGCCGAGCCCGACACAGCCAAGTTTGGGTGAGACGTTTTTGAAAGGATTTATTTACATACAAATATTATTGTTTTTATTTATTGATTGGATATTGTTATATTAATTTTTGGTACCGACGTGTGCTAATTGAGAAGTCGTGGATTCAATTCCCATAATTTGGTATATTTTTTCTAAGGGAGTTTAGAATCCACTTGGAAAATCTGGAGGTAATAAAATGGCAATTTCTTCCGGGTCACGAACCACCGTCCACAGATAAAAAACCGTAAAGTATAATCGCGTTTCGTTTTGAATCTACGTATTTCCGAATGTCCAAAGACAAAAAAGGTCGACAGCGCCTCGCGTTGAGATGTAATATGGCTAGGGTATACCTTCCATCGAGTGAACTATATGGCTGTCTGTACTTCTCCGTCATAAAACAATGTGGGTACCCAAAGTTATCGTCATATAGCCGTATCGAAAAATCGACTGTATTTGTGGCTAGTACGGTCTGTTTTTGACTGATACCGAAACATCGTATTTTATAAATGAAACTAATAATTATTAAGTTTTTATTTATTTTCCCGTGGGGATCGACGTTCACAGCATTTGAATAAAACACTCCAACAGTTTAAAACGCGATATAAATAAGACCGTGACCACGGCTGCTGCAAAGCATTCGAAACGTCGGATTGTAGTTAAAAATAATCTTTAAATAAGTTTACCTAATATATTTCGCCTTTTAAGCCATTGTGTTTTATTTAAAGGCATGGATGGATATTTAAACGAAACAATGTTTTTCTATTTCAGGAAGCCGGAACGGCTCGCGGACGGGCGGCGCGTGCGCGTATGCGTAGAAGTGTTCGGGCGCGGCACCTTCAAAGGCATCGGTAGGAACTACCGAATCGCCAAGGGCACGGCAGCAAGATGCGCCCTCAGGCATCTGAAGATACACCGCGCAAGGTAGCTTGCAGTGACCGGTACAGGCAACGAGAGTCTATAACTTACGCGAATACTACACGCGCATTTAAATTTTTAACTATTCAAAACGTGAAATTTTACCTCACCTAATATATTTCCAGTTCGGTGAAAGTGTTTAATTTGAATGTGATTTACTTGCGTAAGCAACAGAACACATGAATTTGTGTGTACATTGTAATAATATATACAATTTTATAATGTGCCCACTGCCTTTTATTTTGATACCAAGATAGGATCTTAAAGTTCTGAGGGTATTTCATGACCATCACCATCAATGGCTGTACAGCACCTTGTGGCTCCTAGCCTCTTTAAGTTGTTTGAAAAAAAAAAAAAAAAAAAAAAAAAAAAAAAAAAAAAAAAAAAAAAAAAAAAAAAAAAAAAAAAAAAAAAAAAAAAAAAAAAAAAAAAAAAAAAAAAAAAAAAAAAAAAAAAAAAAAAAAAAAAAAAAAAAAAAAAAAAAAAAAAAAAAAAAGGGGGGGGGGGGGGGGGCCGCCCCCCCGGGGGGGGGGGGCCCCCCCCCCCCCCCCCCCCCCCCCCCGCCCCCCCCGCGCGCCCGGGGGGGGGGGGGGGGGGGGGGGTTAAAAAAAAAAAAAAAACACCCCCCCCTAAAAAAAAAAAAGAAAAAAAAAAAAAAAAAAAAAAAAAAATAAAAAAAAAAAAAAAAAATCTCCCCCTTTTTTTTTTTTTTTTAAAAAAAAAAAAAAAAAAAAAAAAAAAAAAAAAAAAAAAAATTTTTTTTTTTTTTTTTTTTTTTTTTTTTTTTTTTTTTTTTTTTTTTTTTTTTTTTTTTTTTACCCAAAAAAAAAAAAATTTTCCCCCTTTTGTTTTTTTTTTTTTTTAAAAAAAAAAAAAAAAAAAAAAATTAAAAAAAAAAAAAAAAAAAAACAGGGAAAAAAATTTTTTGCCCGTTTCCCCCCCCCCCCCCCAACCGGGGTTCGAAAACATTTGTCATACCTAAAATTCGTTTTCGTCATCGTGTTTTTTTTTTCTGGACTTCCATTTTCATCCCATCGTTGCAGTCTCGGTCTCCTGGTAGAGGATTCAAAAGGGACCTTTCGCCTATTTCATCTATGATGGACATAATAATGTTCAGGGTCCTTCTTGTCCATGTCCCAATTATTTGACTGTCACTCTGTTGTTATTTTATGATACCTTTGCTCATCGCGCATCGGGTAAATATTTTAAGCGCGGAACACTGAAATGTGCGTCATGGTCTAACAAACTCCTTTATTGTATTAAAACAATCGTCTACTACTAACTCTAACCCAAAATAAAACACTATCCAATTATAAATTTAAGGACAATGTCATTATGTCGTGTGTGAAGACCTGAAGAAGGGTAATAAAATAAAACAACACTTTAACAACACACATTTATTGTAACTTAACTTAATTCTAAAGTCGAAATAAAAGTTATCTCTCAAAACCTGGAACCGCATGATGTTACTGAATCAATCTAATAGATTCCTCGTGGTAGATCCTTCACCTTGATCAATTTTGGTGGCGATGGACTCTGGCAAGTGCAATAGCAGTTCTTGGTGTTCTTCGGGCCTCGTGGTAAAATCACGAATTGAAGATCCACCACGGTCTGTAAGGCTTGGAGGTTGCCTGAAAAATTGTTGATGTTGAGGTGAGTTAAGGTGTTCGTTGTTTGGATTCTTATCAAACTACTGGAAATTCTAATAATGCAAAGTGAATGTCAACCTATTTTGGCTTGAGTTTTAAAGAAATGCACTGGTTGAAACCCAACCAAGGTTTAGAAGGTTAAGAATCTCACGGCATTTCCGTGATTAAGATGGTGGTAGGAAATTTCTATATTCCTACCACCTATTTAATACTCACCTTTCCAGACCGAGACTAACATTACAGAAAACAAAAATTGATTGAAATAAAATGTTGGACCTAGTCGGTAAGGCAGTTAGACTTTTAGCCATGTGCTAACGTGGTCCAGATCAGACCCGTCAATATTATTGCATGTTACATTGGAAAACTTAATGGCGTCATGATGGTTATTGGAGTAGAGGAAGTGTACAAAAATTACTGAACTACTATTCTGTATGGCTCAATATCTCTTAGGTATTAAGTCTTTCGCAGAATATAATATTGTATATCACTAAGGGTTACATGTAATTATAAATCGAATTGACTGTTGTGCTAATGATGATAAATTACCTATATTTTGTATGTATGTATCCTGCCCGGGAGCTGTGGGCTGAGGCCCGGAACCAGGGCTATTATAAACATCGCTTCTTCCTTGCGTATTAGGTGCACAGTCAGATGTTGTATCCTGACCCGGATTGGGTTCTTGTTGTTCTGCCTGTTGTAGAGTCGTTCCATCTTGTCCACTAGGAGTTGTACCTTGCTGAGGATTCTCTCCTAAAGGACCTGGGCTCTGAGGAGTCGTTCCATCTCGTCCAGTAGGGGTTGTACCTTGCTCAGGATTCTCTCCTAAAGGACCTGGGCTCTGAGGAGTCGTTCCATCTTGTCCACTAGGGGTTGTACCTTGTTCAGGATTCTCTCCTAAAGGACCTGGGCTCTGAGGAGTCGTCCCATCTTGTCCACTAGGGGTTGAACCTTGCTCAGGATTCTCTCCTAAAGGACCTGGGCTCTGAGGAGTCGTTCCATCTTGTCCACTAGGGGTTGTACCTTGTTCAGGATTCTCTCCTAAAGGACCTGGGCTCTGAGGAGTCGTTCCATCATGTCCACTAGTGGTTGAACCTTGCTCAGGATTCTCTCCTAAAGGACCTGGGCTCTGAGGAGTCGTTCCATCTTGTCCACTAGGGGTTGTACCTTGTTCAGGATTCTCTCCTAAAGGACCTGGGCTCTGAGGAGTCGTTCCATCTTGTCCACTAGGGGTTGTACCTTGTTCAGGATTCTCTCCTAAAGGACCTGGACTCTGAGGAGTCGTTCCATCTTGTCCACTAGGGGTTGTACCTTGTTCAGGATTCTCTCCTAAAGGACCTGGGCTCTGAGGAGTCGTTCCATCTTGTCCACTAGAGGTTGTACCTTGTTCAGGATTCTCTCCTAAAGGACCTGGGCTCTGAGGAGTGGTTCCATCTTGTCCACTAGGGGTTGTACCTTGTTCAGGATTCTCTCCTAAAGGACCTGGGCTCGGAGGAGTGGTTCCATCTTGTCCACTAGAGGTTGTACCTTGCTGAGGATTCTCTCCTAAAGGACCTGGGCTCGGAGGAGTCGTTCCATCTTGTCCACTAGGGGTTGTACCTTGTTCAGGATTCTCTCCTAAATGACCTGGGCTCTGAGGAGTCGTTCCATCTTGTCCACTAGGGGTTGTACCTTGCTCAGGATTCTCTCCTAAAGGACCTGGGCTCTGAGGAGTCGTTCCATCTTGTCCACTAGGGGTTGTACCTTGCTCAGGATTCTCTCCTAAAGGACCTGGGCTCTGAGGAGTCGTTCCATCTTGTCCACTAGGGGTTGTACCTTGTTCAGGATTCTCTCCTAAAGGACCTGGACTCTGAGGAGTCGTTCCATCTTGTCCACTAGGGGTTGTACCTTGTTCAGGATTCTCTCCTAAAGGACCTGGGCTCTGAGGAGTCGTTCCATCTTGTCCACTAGAGGTTGTACCTTGTTCAGGATTCTCTCCTAAAGGACCTGGGCTCTGAGGAGTGGTTCCATCTTGTCCACTAGGGGTTGTACCTTGTTCAGGATTCTCTCCTAAAGGACCTGGGCTCGGAGGAGTGGTTCCATCTTGTCCACTAGGGGTTGTACCTTGCTGAGGATTCTCTCCTAAAGGACCTGGGCTCTGAGGAGTCGTTCCATCTTGTCCACTAGGGGTTGTACCTTGCTCAGGATTCTCTCCTAAAGGACCTGGGCTCTGAGGAGTCGTTCCATCTTGTCCACTAGAGGTTGTACCTTGTTCAGGATTCTCTCCTAAAGGACCTGGGCTCTGAGGAGTGGTTCCATCTTGTCCACTAGGGGTTGTACCTTGTTCAGGATTCTCTCCTAAAGGACCTGGGCTCGGAGGAGTCGTTCCATCTTGTCCACTAGGGGTTGTACCTTGTTCAGGATTCTCTCCTAAAGGACCTGGGCTCTGAGGAGTCGTTCCATCTTGTCCACTAGGGGTTGTACCTTGTTCAGGATTCTCTCCTAAAGGACCTGGGCTCTGAGGAGTCGTTCCATCTTGTCCACTAGGGGTTGTACCTTGCTCAGGATTCTCTCCTAAAGGACCTGGGCTCTGAGGAGTCGTTCCATCTTGTCCACTAGGGGTTGTACCTTGCTCAGGATTCTCTCCTAAAGGACCTGGGCTCTGAGGAGTCGTTCCATCTTGTCCACTAGAGGTTGTACCTTGTTCAGGATTCTCTCCTAAAGGACCTGGGCTCTGAGGAGTGGTTCCATCTTGTCCACTAGGGGTTGTACCTTGTTCAGGATTCTCTCCTAAAGGACCTGGGCTCGGAGGAGTCGTTCCATCTTGTCCACTAGGGGTTGAACCTTGCTCAGGATTCTCTCCTAAAGGACCTGGGCTCTGAGGAGTCGTTCCATCTTGTCCACTAGAGGTTGTACCTTGTTCAGGATTCTCTCCTAAAGGACCTGGGCTCTGAGGAGTGGTTCCATCTTGTCCACTAGGGGTTGTACCTTGTTCAGGATTCTCTCCTAAAGGACCTGGGCTCGGAGGAGTGGTTCCATCTTGTCCACTAGAGGTTGTACCTTGCTGAGGATTCTCTCCTAAAGGACCTGGGCTCTGAGGAGTCGTTCCATCTTGTCCACTAGGGGTTGTACCTTGTTCAGGATTCTCTCCTAAAGGACCTGGGCTCTGAGGAGTCGTTCCATCTTGTCCACTAGGGGTTGTACCTTGTTCAGGATTCTCTCCTAAAGGACCTGGGCTCTGAGGAGTCGTTCCATCTTGTCCACTAGAGGTTGTACCTTGTTCAGGATTCTCTCCTAAAGGACCTGGGCTCTGAGGAGTGGTTCCATCTTGTCCACTAGGGGTTGTACCTTGTTCAGGATTCTCTCCTAAAGGACCTGGGCTCGGAGGAGTGGTTCCATCTTGTCCACTAGAGGTTGTACCTTGCTGAGGATTCTCTCCTAAAGGACCTGGGCTCTGAGGAGTCGTTCCATCTTGTCCACTAGGGGTTGTACCTTGTTCAGGATTCTCTCCTAAAGGACCTGGGCTCGGAGGAGTGGTTCCATCTTGTCCACTAGAGGTTGTACCTTGCTGAGGATTCTCTCCTAAAGGACCTGGGCTCTGAGGAGTCGTTCCATCTTGTCCACTAGAGGTTGTACCTTCTTCGGGATTAACTTGTTGTGGGCTCTGCGGTGCTGTTCCATCTGCTCCTTGGGGAATATTATCATTAGAACCTGGAATGTTTGGGGCATAGGGTTATTTAATATCTTAATTATTTATTTGAATAAGCAACAATGGAAGCTTTGAATAAGAATTTCAAATATAATCCATATGGCAAAAAGTATTGCCTTATTTGAAACAAAAGACTAGATTTTTAATACCCAACGTTTCGGATGCCCACTTATAAATGTCGCGTTCAAAACTGACATAAGTTCCCACTTATAATAATTATTCGAGGAGTATATCCATTTTAATGATATAAAGGCGTTGTTTTTTTTTTAACAACAAATGAAAATTAATGACAATCAACTAACGGTTGGCGGCCATTTCTACCTCCTAAACGTAAGTCCCGATTCCCCCCCATGAAGCATGAGGCGAATACACTTTTGTGTCCGGTTTCACATATCGATTTTTTCATCAGACTTGATTCGACAGATTATTTTTTTCTCGGGGTATCAAACCCAGGATCTCGTGCTTAACGCGTTTGACCGTTGAGCTATAGAGGCGAAAAGTCGATTACATTAAAAAAAGATATGTAATATTTTCTACCTTGATTAGAATTTCCTTGGGGCCCAACACCGGTTCCATTAGGTGATGGTACTGGAAATTCAGGTTCTGTCATCACCCCACCGTTGCCTTGCGGTGTTGGTGTTTGGGCAGGTATTATCGGGGCAGATGTTGTGCCCTGTGTATTTGCCGGAGTGTCTTTTATGTAAGCAATTTGCCCGGGTATGTCTGAAATGTGTATGTATTGTTTCCATATATTCAACGAAAGATAGGAAAACAACATATGAAAAACGAACCACGACAACGCGACAATCCGTTCTGTTTCTCTATTGATCATGACTATTCGCATCCTATCAAAATTGGTTAAGGATTTTTTAAGAGAAAGAGTAATAAATATTCTTATCTTAAATCTATTTTTGTAATTTTATTGGTTATCAGAAAAATTATTTACCACCTACTTATACTATTCTACCGCCAATTTAATATCCAAATTTTCAGACGAAATTCAACAGTTGAACCCAGTGTGGATTGAACCCTCGACCCGATGATTATTAGTTGTGATGCGCCGAGTGACACTTGCCGAGTAACGAGTACCGAATTTTACTCGGCTAAATTTTTTGTCAACCGAGTTGGTACTCGGCTGAGTACCTCGGTTAAATCAAATTCCCATTTCGCGCACGAAAACAAGTACAAACCGTTTCTCGCCGGTCAAGACGTCGGCTCGCTCTCATCTTCATAATTTTGAATAGTCACTCATTACATTAGCATATTTTTGGTTTTTATTAATTGAGATTTTCAAAGATTTCCTAAATTACTAATATATACTTTTGGATTAAAACGGTTGTTTCGATAATATCTGTCCGTATATCAGCTTTTCTTAAACAACGTGAAGTTATCGAATCCGAGTTTGTCGGCGTACCTACGAGTATCATAAAGTCCGCCGAGTTCGCAGAGTACCGAGTATCAACCAAGTACTCGGCCCATCTCTAATTATCAGCCACACATTGATACAATAACGAATGTTACCGTGTACTGTTATTACGTATAGAACCAATTCGAGGTTAAAACATACCTGACTAGTTTTTTAAATTATAATTATTACCTCTGTGTCCTGTGGCAGCACTAAGACTATTTAGCGCGGGAATAAAACCTGGAACAGAATAAAAATAGTCTTTAAAGTTTTGCTCACACGTCTAAAACTATGTACCTAATATAATGATGTATATTTTATTTTCATAAAAGGGTTGCCTAGAAGAGATCGCTCTACAGCGATAAGGCCGTCCATTGCACTCCATAACTAGTAATAATAATAGTTTTAAGAACATTTTATGATACATTTGTATATACTTAGTGTGTGTTGAAGTTAATAGTTAGTAAATTCATAAAATAATAATTCTTATATACTAACTCGTCTGTCCTGTAAATGTCAACAGCCTGGCCACAGCATTATCGAGCACTGAAAAACGTAAGACAAATGTATAAAAAGGTATGTTAAAAAATATATACAGAATAATTTTAATTATTATAAACGCCAAATAAACATGCGTTCAGTCGCTTTCGATTTATTTTGGCTTTGGATATTCGGAAACCCACAGAGGGACACCGAAACACAATTAACTTCACGGCTTTTTCATCTGTGATGTTTCGTGACTCGGATGAAATTTCGACATTCCTACAGACAAAGTCCAACATGTTTCAGAAAGATTATTTATTGCTTAGAAACACGTTGGACTCGGAAGACTGAACCCTTAATGAGACATTGCTACTCTCTGTGAGCCCGTGAAGAGTGTGTCTGCTAACGGTGTTCCTTAAAAATATTTGTTTACTTACGTAGCCTCTTGTCCAGGGTGGTAAAGAGATCGAAGAATTGGATCACATCTGCGAAAGGATTATTTTTTTTAATGAAAATATTTCGTCTGCTCTTTATCTGTTTATTTATTCGCCATACAATGGGGAGTAAAGGTGACACTAAGCATTTAGTGTCCTTCATTGTTTGCAAATGTAGGAAAGAGACAAAATTATAATTTGACCTTTCCGCTGATATTTGGATACCAACATTTATTCGTTATTTTGTCTTGGGAGCGAAAATACCATCAAAATTAATCAGCCGTTTTAATGTCAGCCGGGTCAATAGTTTCTAAAAATAGCTCCTCAACAGAAACAGTCCAAAACCATCAAGAATATTTTGCCTCTGCATGTTTTCTCTCAATCTCCGAAAATTGACCGGTTATGATGTCACTACCACTAACTGCGAGGTGTAATTAGTGCACCGCAAGTAAAAATATTTATACGTACCCATACTGACAGTTTTGTAAATCACATCGAACCACTCAAAGAATCCTGAAAAAAACAAGGCATTAAATGTTGAAACAAATTTACGAAAACCCAGAAGACCTATAAAACAAAATGGCGGTGTTGGGGATAACGCCATCTATGTGTCTATTAAAAACTATTATAAATTAGCCCCATCGCCCGAGGAATTACGTTGCAGTATTGAATGATATTTATTGGGTTCTTTAGACGGTAAAAAAACAAGATCCACAATTGGTATTTATCCGCGTTTTTATTTGAGAAATATTAAATGTTTTGTATAGTGTCTTTTATAGGTGTTTTATTAATACATTGCTATGGTTGAAGAATCTACATTCGTTATTATTCACTGCACCTATGTTCTTGACTCAGTGCTTTATGGTTTTTTCATCTGTGGACACGGGGTCGTGACCCGGACGGTATTTCCCTTCTATGTAATATATACATTTTTGTCATCTTAACTTGCTTTTTTAAGGTCTGCTTCGTACTTACCATCTATACAAAGCAGCTTATTAATTTTCGTGTTAGCGACGGGCAAGGTAAGGGCGTTCGTTATACGCAGCAAAGTCTGCAAACACAGTATCATGTCTGTGTGTGTGTAGATCTTGAATCGGTTGATTAAACTGAAAATATCTGGAAAGAGATAAGGGATGACATTGGCGAGATGATTTATACAATTTGTAGAAAATAGAATGGCGATGGGTCTTAGATAGTTCGTTTCGTCCGCACCGGGGCCGGATTTAAGGAATTGCAACAAGGACGCCTTAAGGGAGACTCCAGATTTATATTTTCAAATTCGAATTAATTTCATAAAAGTTAAGAGTAAAAAATTAAAAACACCAGAAAATTATTCTATTTCGAAATCTTTGGATTCACAATAAATAATGTATTGAAAAGCTTTAGTCGGAAAATTGATAATCGGATTTGAAAAAATATTTGGGCGTCATGTTTGTTGGCGATTTCAGAAAGGATCAACTTTGTCTAAACTGGTGGTACGTTTCCTTAGGCTCATAATAATAAAGTGGAATTTTACATTGGTACATAAGTTAAATGTCGCAAAAGGAGGGAAAGACCAAAAAGTAGGGGTACAACTTACCCGTTTCCTTCGTCACGGAGATCATCACTCTCCATCCCTCACCGAGACCTTAAACATTATAAGATTAACTCAAAATATCTTTAAAGGTTTTTTGTAAGGTTGGTAGTTTGTTTTAGCTTCGACGACAATGTAAAACAACGACAGTGTCATAACGACACTCTCATTTTGTTGATCAAAATCAAAAACAATAATAATCCCCTGGAGCGTGTATGGTATATTAATTAAGTCGGTCCGCCAAATTTTGGTTCAAAAGTCTTACTTCATTTTATGTTTTCTTTAGCTAGAAGATAATACTCACATTTCATTCCAGTAATTTTTACCATCTGCGTCAGGAAGTCCGAGATGTCTTCGTGGCCGGACATACTTTGTATCAATTCCAAGATGTCAAGAGCGTTCGCTTTAAAAATGTAAATATATGAACACCAGGGAAGATAATGCAAGTAACAATGAATGAAAAATAATTTAATTCGTTCGAATAATTAATGATGTTTTGATAGAGGAGTACACGAGCTGTTGGTGTTGAATTGATGTTAGGTGTATACTCCAAATATTTCACATGGTAAAAGAAAGTTTGCCAGGTCAGCTTGTATCAAGGCTAGCCCATTTTACACAAAGTATACTTATTGCTTTAAAATCGATTATAAATTGAAAAAAATTACGACTCAGACAGGACTTGAACTGGCATACTCAGCGTTCCGTGCTGTCGCTCTAACCAATGGAGCTACCGAGTTCTGGTTAGAACAACAGCACGAAACCGCTGAGGATGCAGGTTGCAGGTCCTGCTTGAGTCATATTTTTTTATATATCGATTTTTAACCGATATAGTGACATCATGGGTAATAAACATGCGAAATATTCGTTCAAATACTTATTCGCTTTCTTTTGAACTCACAATTTCCACTGCTCAGAGCTGTGATGTCAGCACACGCGCCTTCCAGCCTGTTCTGCTGAGTGACGTCCATCAAGCTGATGAGGAACTGGAGTGGATCTCTCCTCCTTGTCATGTTATTGATGCGTTGGAAAAGCTCGGTTATATCTAGAACAAGAAGTCTCTACTAATTAATTAATGCGTTTCCGCGAGTTGTACGCATTTATTTCAACACGTTTAACGGTTTAAAACTTTGGTGCGATTTTCAGATGCTTTATTTATGTTATGTTAGGAACCGTTTTTAAAGTTTTGTTTATATGGCAAGACTATACACAGGCATGGCATACACATACACTATACAGGGTGTCCTGTATAGTGTATGTGTATGCTTATCAATAGAATTTTTTATGATAAACGAGGACCGACCAGCACGGTTCACTTAATACTAGGTGCCAGCCATATAACATCTTACATGATGTGCCGTCGACCTGTTTGGGTATTCGGAAATCCACAGACTGCAACCGAAACGCGATTAAACTTGACTGCCTTTTCATCTGTCTACTGTGTGGTTCGCGCTTCAGAATTGCGATATTCCTACACAATTTTATCTCTAGATTTCCAAACAAAGGCCGGCTCAAATAAATTTATGTTTTAGAAAAAATATAAATTGCCAACATGTGACCTGGTGAAGATCGAATCCGCGACTAGTTGCTTACTATACATTGCTACCACACCAACGAGCCCGTATTTGTAATGTGCGCAGAAAACCATCATATAAAAGGTTTTAATACAATTAGCAACATAATAAAATATACTATAGCTATATATGTATATAATAACTAGCTGTGCCCGCAACTTCGTCCGCCTGGAATAGGGACTTGGGGTAGATTTTTTAAATATTTACGCTGTTTATTAATTTACGTAATTGCAAATTTATCGCAGCCAATCCATGTTGTAAGTGCTACTTTGTCGCAACACTCACACCTCACATCACCCCCACACTCATTCCCACCCCCTTTCCTATTCTCAAAAAGCAAAAGAAGAAAGTTTCATTGTTTTAGCTTCAAAAACCACGAATTTCCATTCAAACTTTCATACCCTTTTTCAACCCCTATCAACCCTTTTTTAGCATTATAAATATCTGTGTAGCAAATTTCATTTAAATCAGTTCAGTAGTTTCGGAGTGAGAGCGGGACAGATAGACAGAGTTACTTTCGCATTTATAATATTAGCATAGCTTAGGTTATCGAGCTGTTGGGATATCATCGAACATAATTAGTTTCGCTAACCAATAAGTCGTCCTTTTATGCAAAAATGGCCGAAGTCTTGCATAATTTACTTTAGTCTCATACTCACTCCTGACTTTAAATAATCTTCTCACGATGACTAGGACGCCATCCAGGCTGTTCTCTCCTGTAATTCTGTACAACGATAAGATCACCTCCTTCAAGCTAAATCGGCCCGTGTCTTGCAATATTTGTTCTATTGCGTATCTGAAATCTAAAAACACAATAATAATAGCTATTTGACTGTTTATCTCAATGTAGATACTTAAATACTGTCTGTAGTTTAAGCGAGTAGTACACATTTAAATAAAACACTAACGGTTTAAAACGCGATATATATTAGTTAAACTTATTTTTTTTTAACTTCTGCCCGACGTTTCGGATGCTTTTAGCTGTGGTCACGAGGAGACTAATCATTTCCAAATAAGTTTAATTATTATATATCGCGTTTTAAACCGTTAAAGCGTGTTATTTAAATGTGTGAAGAATATTTGCTGTACTTACTAGTAAGTCCAGTGAACTCTTTAATCAGCCAGATGCATTTTGAAAACTCATCTTCGTTCAATAAGTGTTTAAATTCGACTGGTGCTTCTCCCATTTCTGAAAAGGTATAATACTAGAGTAAAACTACATTATAATGGATTTAGATTGTAAATTGAGGTCGCTAGAGGCAGAGTAGCCTAACTGCAATTTTATGACTCGAGTTATTTATATTTTCATAGTCTAAATGTTAGTCTACAAGAGCACTACAACAAATAATAAACCAACTTCATTTTCCTCCTTATAGAAAATCATGCTTTTTGCTATTAGGCCACTCTGCCTCTTGCAGCCTCAATTATGGGTGACAGAGAACTGTCAGAATATACTGTATTGAAGTCTTATCGTATCTGCGTGTAAACGATTTTGTTGTGTAAGTATTTATTATTTTTATAAGTTATAGTTTATTAAATGCGTTCGTCTATCTTGTTAACTTTTATTCTTTAATTGTTTCTTTGTAATCTCTCGCAAACAAAGGTTGTCTAGAAGAAACCGCCATAGACGATAAGCCCGGCTATGCACTAACTTTTTATTTGTATTTTTATTTGTTTGTCTTATATTATTATTAATATGTTTGTTTGTCTGTTAAACACAAAACATACCATTACATCTCATAGCTCCCATCAAACTGTTGAATGTTGCATCCCAATCTAGAATAAAAACAAAATGTCCCTTTAAATGAGAATACTAACTCATTTATTTATTTATTTATTTATTTACAACAATTAAAACGGCAATAGCCAGTTACATTAATTGGAGACACACATACTTAAACAATAACAATTAAAAATAGGTTATTACAAATTACATTAGGAGATAATTTCAAAGGCAGACAATTCTTTTAGTATTGATGACCAATCATCTGCGAAGAGGTCACATTTGGGTCTTAACTTGAGGAGAGCGTTGAGTGAGGTCAAAATTCGCGGTACCGGCGAAAACTCGCGGGCGGAGGTGCGACCTTTTGGGACGTCAAACAAATCGTGTCTCCTAGCGCGGCCATAGTTGTCCGGAACAAACAGTCGACAAAAAGCTTCCCTCAAAAAGGATCGTCGTTTGGTTTCGAAACAACTTACAGGCCACGTTAATTGGCCACGAGATCTGCGACTTTCCAAAGAATTAAAACCAAGCTGTCCTAATAATTAGTTAGAGAAGAAATATTGAATTTAAGCTAGTTAAACCCTTTCAAAAATCTCCAGGACTTGAACCGGCCACCAAACTACCGTTCTTACCAATTGAGCTACCGGTCCTACACATCATACGTGCACCTATCGGCGCAACAGACATAATGACAACTAATATTTCCAAACAAAACTTATGTAGGTAAAAGTATTCGAAGAGCCAAAAGATGGACACACATCTTGATTAATGTTATAGGTGTGGTATGTCAGCCTACCATCAAGGGAACCCCGTCTGTCTATCAAAAAATATCGCTAGGATTTGCAGACGGGACCTCTCGGTCTGTGTCGATTGCATTAGCAAGAGTGGCAGTGACGTAAAATACAATTATTTGTTTTTAGTACATACATGTTGTCAAAATATTTCAGGTTAACATAAATAAAAGGTTGAACTTTACCGGGATCGGTTTTCAGGGCCAAAGCAATACCGGGCAGCGCCGCAGGACCCTCGCCAGCTGTCATCTTGTTCACGAGAATCTCCACTCCGTCCAAAGCTGAAATTTTATTAAACGATACAGAGACACACAAAATAATTTTGTAAACATGTCATATAAACATACCCGACGTCTCAAATGCTCCCCTGACTGACTGCAAAACCCCTAAATGAATCCGAAACGTAAGGTCATAGTTAAAAATAAGTTGATGTATTTATTTCGATAATAGTTTTAAACAGACTGTCTGTAGTTTACACCAATAGTACACATTTAGATAAAACACTGTGACGGATTAAAACGCGACATATTTTAGTTAAACTTTGATTTTTTTTTTTAAACAACGGCCCGACGTTTCGGATGCTTTGCAGCTGTAGATGGCGCATCGTGCACTTAGTTTTCAGATTAAATTGCGTGCGAGTTAATTCCATAACATAGCTTAAGAAAATAGAAACATAAATGACATAGAAAGATTGGCTAAATATGAGAAACTAAATTAAAACATAATTATTTCGTACCTGTGGCGGCTGTTGTCCCTTCCGCATGCCCCGCTTCGTGTTCATAGCAATCCAAAACGTCGGCCATGTCTAGAAAGAACGAAATAATTATTACATGTCCCTGTCCCAAATGAGGTATGGGACAATCAACGCGTTACACATACAAATTCTCGTATATCCCTCGTTTATAACGACGATCAAGCAAACAGCGCGTTCGGTTCGTTACCCGGTCGAAATGTTTCCGAACTTGAATTATAAAAATACTCACTCTTTCTGCTACTTATTCTCTGCAGCATCTCCCACACTCCCTCTATGTCGTCGTGGCCTGTCAGAGATTTTATTGTGTCGAAGGCTTCGTTTGGGTCTGAAAAAATGGTTAAACTTGAATCTTTGTTTTCACATAAGAATTCAAAGTTTATACACGTGCTGAAATAACCTCAGGTTTCGTAGGAATCAGCAATTTTATTGGTTTTTATATGTTACAATAAGTAAGCAGACTTAAATGAAACACTTAAAACGGTTTAAAACACAGCAGCCATAACGATCATACTTAAAAATAAGTCTAATTTTAAATAAGTCGCGTTTTAAACCGTTAAAAGTGGTTAAAATGTTTACCTCTCGCATGAACGACAGCCAATAAAGCTTACTTACGCCTCCTTCCTATGAAACCCAGTCAAATTTCATGTTTAGCTTGACTGAATTTGATAAAAATTATTACAATAACGGATAACAGTCATCTTCAAATTGTGTCCTGCCCGTGTCGTACATTTTATAAAATCAAAAATCGATTTTATTTCGTTTGTTTAATTTTCATAAAACTTTTGATATTATTACACTAGACTAAAACTACTTATCCTAAATTCCTGCACGAATAAGGCCGTATACTTACTTGATTTTCCAGTTAACAGCTGGAGCAACCGTAAAAATGACGTAAGATCTGTGAATAAAACATCTATAATAAATAATATAATTAAAAAGTGATTTAGTAATTACATAAAGGTTATAAGCGTAAAAAATTAGTTAATATAATTATTTTATTACTTCTATCCTCCATCCATCATCTAAGAACACGTTATTTTTAATCCTTTAACTAAGAGATAATGAATTTTACCTCTATCTTGATTAGTTAATGACGAAAAAATATCTTTGTCCATAAATTGTACATATAATCATCAAACATATACGTGGTAATTCTTAATATTAACATAAACACAATTGAAAGTGATTACATCGGCCCTGGAACAATATAAAAATGACAGTAACCAGGTCCCAAGTTTGCTATATGCCCCACTGTACCTTCGCCCACATGGGGCGCAGTGTGTTTTATAGCCAAAAGCATTCTTCATTCATTCAAAAGTTCTGTGACCTAACCAACACAAAATAATTTTTCAATTCGAACACGTAGTTCCTAAGCTTAGCACGTTTAAACAAATGCTTTGACTTTTTGAGTGTGATGTTATGGCATGACACCGGGCGTAAATAGCAAAGTTGGGACCCCGTTTTATCAACTTACGTGTCGTGCCAGCTAACTTTGTCATCATTTGATCGTAAAACCGCCATCCCCTATTGCCTTTACAGGCTTTCAGGAATCTGAAAATCTCCTTCGGAGCTGAAACATACACAAACTCGATTTGAACATTAATACATACGAATATAGGAATTTTCGGAAATCATAACTTAAATCCAAAAGCCATTAAAATTAAATGGTGATTTTTTGATATCCCTATCACTCATTTAGTAACTAGATGTCTGTATTGGAAACAATAGAAATACATATTATTTTTGGGGTGGACCCAGTAAAATTCGAACCCACGTTTGATTATATACAATGCTACCGTAGGCCAAACAGATCGTCTTTTTTGTATTAATTATATATTTTTGAAGCGAGATCCTACATCTTTACCATTCTAAATGAGGTACAGTAAAATATTTTTTGAACCAGTATTAAGCAGATTACTTACATTGTAGATACGTTTCTTTCGTCAGGTAGGACATAAACTGGTGTCTTTCTGTAAGAAAAATAAGTTTTCTTCGTTAATAGTTGTATATATCTAAGGTTTTAGAGCCAATTTCACAGACAATTGATATTGAGTCGAACGAAGGTGTTTACTTCAAATAATTATAATTTGTTTAATATATAATGATAAGCTTGGAATTTAACACACAAAACAATCGATGATACAAAAAAGTTCATAAACAAAATGTTGACTTCATTAGAAAGTGATCAGTATTTGTTTGTGCCTTTTTAACGGTTTAAAACGCATGGTTTATTTAAACGTGTAGTTATTACTACAAATTATAGAGTTTTAACTTCTATTAATTAATATAATTTTCACAAACTAGCCTATACGTATTGTGAAGTATTAAACATATCATCACACATGAGACAAAGTATACGCACAGATTGTATAGATGTGTGTACGTAACGATACGTTTCTTCGTTGTGTGAGTGTCGACGTTTAACTTACTTACTTACTATGTATGTCCTCTTAAGTTTACAATTAGACATAGTAAGTGAGAGTATTAATAATTAACATAAATTAGTTTCCAAGTGTTCTATAATTAATTCAATTAAAACAATTACAATATTTGCACAAGTGCGTGGAAACAATTATATTTTAATGGAATATTGTTTTGTTCTTTTACGCAGTATTTTAGTATTACGCAATTAAATTAACTCCCATGTGACCTAGCTAATATTAAAAATGTGAAATTGTGTGAGAATTGTAAACGTTTGTTACTCTTTCACATCCGACCGATTTTGATTCAACGAAATATAGTTTGAACTTACAAGTTATAGTGTATTTTTTATGACTTGGCACATTTTGCATAAAATCGTGACCTTCTCACAAATACTAAAAATTAATGTACGTAATGGGACAGATTAAAATTTCTTTAGCTGTGATATTTACATTAGGATGTAAGCAAAGTCAACGACAAAAAAAGGTAAGAGTCCAACACATGCGCGATCGCTAAAAAGCGTTACAAACCTTGAGTGAAATAATAATGACTTAATAAAAGGTCCTTCTAAATCATTATGAATATTGAGGCCGTTCATATATAATTGGTTGTATATATATGGTGGCTATAGGCTTGTGCCATCAGTGGCAACTTTCCTCTATAAGAGATTATCACTAGTTATCTATGGTTAAATTTAACACGAAAACATAAGTATATACGAAGTATGTACAACTATATCAAATGAAATTCCCGTAATTGCGATTCAAAAACAGTGATTACTTCTGATACAAAGATTTACTTACCTCTAAAGCCAGAATATTTGTAGAAATAATCGCTGAGCTGATTGTGGCCTGAAACAAAGAGAACATGTCGTTTCGTTACAATCCGAGATAATTATGATCGAGTCGAGATATGATATGATTATTGCAAAGTTCAGTTAGCTCGCAACGTTGATGGGCTAGTTCCCCCTTGTTTACTCGAGTAGTACACATTTAAATACAACACTAACGGTTTAAAACGCATATTTATAGTAGGTAGCTTTTTCGATGAGTTAACTAATATATATCGCGCTTTAAACCGTTAAGAATGTTTCATTTAAATGTATAATACTCGCGTAAACTATTCACAATGGTTAATAATAACTTTTAATTCCTCTAAAAGCGTACTGAGGCAGGAAATATGGGTATGGAAAATTATAAAATTTGCATTGCATATGCAGACATCGAACAATGTACCTTTACTGAGTTGACGTAAAAGGAAACTTACTGCGTACTCCAAATATTCCAACGAATGGGTCCAGCTTCCTCTCTGAAAATAATGTATTTTGAATGTTTAAGAAGCGATTAGTAGTAGAGCTAATGAAAAATTTAATATATATCATACGTTATTGCACATGATGGCGCTATATAAATTAAAAATCGATTATACGTTAAAAAAATACGACACCTTACAAGAATTTGAGGTCCTGCCCGAGTCGTAATTTTTTCAAACCAATATCGATTTTTAATTTAAGTAAAACTAATTCTACAAAATATATGCAAGTTGGTACGTATGCTTGTTTTTTCAGATAATACTGGTACTGATAATACTGGATGAGGGGAGAAAAGTTGTGTCGATGTATCGTAATTTATTTTTATAGAACTTACTAATGTTATCAATGCGAAAGTAACTCTTTTTAAACATGTGTCTTATAAGATATATAAAATAAATAAATAAACACCCTAAATAATTAAAAATTCCACCCAAAGTCACTGTTCCACGCCGACGAAGTCGCGGGTTACAGCTAATTAGAAATAAATAAATTAATTCATTTTTGTGTTCTTTCTTTCAACTAAACTTACTTTTACCGGCAAGCGATCCAAGCGCCGCATCTATAGCCACTTTGTCGATATGATCATGAATTTTCTTGGCCTCATTCAGGGTTTCGAGGGAGCTCTGAAGGATTCCTGGATTAAAAAGGAATTTATCATTATACAAGCTGGTTCTATACTATTTCTGAATAAAACATCAAGTCTCATCAAATATCTTAGTCTGCAATTACCTATATACAAGTATCGTCTGTACTTATCGCGAGTCACATTAAATAAAACAGTTTTAGCGGTTTAAAACGCGAAAATATTGACGTTACAACTGCTGTCGAGGGAGCAACACAAGCGTTAGCGTTAGCCTGTTAAAAGTTATTTGACGGTTTCGCCAACACTAAAAGAGTCTCAAATAATATAATTTAAATAAGATTTTGATGGCTCCACTTATTAGTTGACATTAATCAAAAATGTTTACCTCCATTATTTTGCTCATGCTGGTGAGATTCCGCATGGTACTGGCTATTTTCTTGTTGGTACTGCTGGCTTTGTTCCGCCTGGTACCTGTTAATAAGTAATAAGAACATCACTACTAATATTATAGACTAGCTCTCTCCCGCGAATTTGCCTATTTTTTAGTAAGTAACATTAAATTTCATGACAGCCTACGAATTAAAAAAAACACGTCTTGGTTATAATCTGTGGATTTCACATCTAGATCCAATCCAAAATAAGTCAACAGCGCATTTTGTTTAGATTATTTTATGATAGAGAAGGACAGACAACAATAGGGTTCGCTTAATTAAGGGGAAATACCACAGCCACATAACATGTCATCAATAAGGTAACCACAGACCGGACTGGTGGGGAGCGAACTAACGACCCATTAGACCATTATACCATTAGACTTACGAGCCAGTCAAAAGCCCTTCCAAGGCTGTCCCCCTATACTATAACAAATCAATACTAAAATAACATACCCATTGCTCTGTTCCACTTGGTACCCGTTGTTGTCTTGTGTCACGGAATGACTGTTCGAGCTCTGCTCGAACTCTTCTTGGTGTTGGTAGGACTGCTGGTTTTGAGATGAGACCTCGTAGTTTTGATACTCTGTGGAACAATAATAATATAGGTGGGCAACATTTAAAGAAAGAAAGAAAATTTTATTTATTTATTTTTTATTTATTATCTCATTTTTATATATATTATATATTGATATATGCGTCCATAAAATGGGTTTTTACAATATTTCTATGTGCACCTTTACTTTTCTTAATCAGGCAATCGTAGAGTAGGTATTGAATGAGAAATAAATATAGATTACTTTGTTGATTGTCAAACTCTACCAAAGCTATTTGATTTTTATTATTTTTAACTAGATACGGCAAAAGAAAATGGGAGGAGGTTTTCTATCTTCTATTTGAATTAAAAAACTATTAAGCGACGATATACACAATATCGTAAAACCTAAATGCAATAAACTCGCGTCAAGACACAATACCTGATCGAGAATTCGTAAATTGGGAGGGTAGACAATAAAAAAATATCGTGTTTGCCTACGATAGAAAAAAAAATCTTATTGATTTTTTTCCACATAAATGATAGTAGTTTTATACTGAAAATCAAAGATATATTGCAAAATGATTCCTTAACCATTCCAAAATATTAAACTTCTTCCCCTGCTGAATTCTTGCCGTTTTTAACCAGGTTTTCTATCTGTCAAATAATAACTTATTATTAGAGTACGCGTCTTATTATTGTAATGTTTCATTTAATTATTCGCCTTGGAAAATGGAGCCTGAATTAATTTCGTGCAGAATGTTCGGACAATCTTTGCACAAGTGAAATATTTTAAACGTCATCTGTCGGTTGTGAACACTGAAAAATATTTGAGCGTTTCCAATATATATATATATTTATAACAAAATGGAGGTTAAGCGATATTGAAAACGTAAATTTTATAATTTACAACTTACACAACAATTTAAATAAAACACTTTAACGGCTTAAAACGCGGTATATATTAGTTAAACTTCTTTGTCTCCTTGTGGCCTCGGCTGCTGCAAAGCATTTGAAAAGTCGGGCCGTAGTTTAAATAGTTTTCAAATAAGTGTAAGTAATGTTAGTTAGACTTATTTAAATGTGTTCTACTCGCGTACACTACGGATACACACCAAGACAAATTCGATTATATATAAGCTTTTATGTTACTAAGCTTTAAAATACGTGATAAATATAGTAAAAATAGTTTGTTTAATCTACACTAATAATTATATAAAGCTGAAGAGTTTGTTTGTTTGAACGCGCTAAACTCGGGAACTACTGGTTCGAATTAAAAAAATATTTTTTTGTTGGTTAGAACATTTATCGAGGAAGGCTATAGCCTATAATTGCGCTGTGGCTAATAGGAGTAAAGAAATAGCGTAAAATGCTGCAAAAACGGTTCAAGAGACACAAAAATGTGTAATGAGAAAATGATTCTTCTTTGAATTATCAAAAAATGTGTCCGCGACAGTATAAATCTATCTCTTAAGATGAACCCGCATTAACGACGGTAACCGAATGACGGGTCGGGAGCGACGGGCCGAAGTTAAAAACCATTTTCAAATAAGTTTAACTTATATATCGCGTTTTAAACCGTTAAAGTGTTTTATTAAAGTAGATTAGGACAGTTTGCAAACACAATTTTAGATACTTTGTCTAGTTCTAGATGTTTAGTTGATTGTTTGTCATTTTGAAATAAAATATATTTTTTTTGTTTTAATCAATGTAGCGAAAAGAGTCTCAAACGATCTCTATATTCATTATAATGGTACATTTTTTCATCCTACCCTCATTTTTAAAAACGATCGGTCATCGTTATTTTTATTATATATAGATATGATAGAAATACTCGTTTGGTACAGAAGTTTTATCTACGTTAAATATATATTAGTACTTTTAATACTCATTTTACTTTCTATCTGATATTGAGCAAAAATATACTAATATAGGTAAGGTAACCTCGATATAAAGTTGAAAATGTGTTTGTTTGAAGATGATATCGGATTAAATTATCTCGATTTAATTATAAATTCTTAACTATTATGTAGCCAATTTATGTGGGTAGGTCAGAAGAAATATAAACATAATATTTTGCTTCATAATATGTAAAAACAAAAGATATTTTTATTTAGAATCATCGCCATCGCTGCCTTAATTATTGAGATTTAAGCATGATGAGATGACATAGGCCAGTTATTCTAAAATATTACTTTCAAACTACTTACGTTCCGGTAAAGCTTGGACCGCCACAAGGACCTGTAAAGTAAATTATTTTTAATGGAACCATTCAAATAAAACGCTATTAACGGTTCGAAACATGATAAATACTAGTTGGTTTTGTTTGTAAACGTACGTCATCACGTTCAAAACTCAACGTTTTAATATTATGCGTCTTTTACACCACAGATTTCACGAAACAATTTAGCAACTTGATCTCTTCTGATCTGATATCATTTTACTGCACAGTTGAATGATATCAGATGGTTTATACCATCTATTCAATCTTAACCACCTACGATAAAGTATTTTTGACGTAAAACAGTAACACACATTTTTATGATAGAGGAAGACAAGCACGAGGTTCACTTAATGATAGGTGTATAAGATAGGCTATCGACCTATTTTGACTTAAGATATTCGATTGATTATTGCCATCCATTGCTGCCATCACACCATCAAGCCGCTTAAACATTAGGATCTATACGTTTCTACTAAGCGAGATATGGCTATCATCGATTTTCATCACCGGTCGAGGCCTAAACCGTTCACCCTCACTTTTAAATATAAGCTTTTACTCACGGCTATGAGACACAAAGAAACCTGCATCGCGTGGCAAGACAAAATCTTTTATCCACTGACGGAAACAATCGACGATCTCACTTTTATAAATTCACTTCGGCAGCTGCGCAAACACACAAGTTATACGCAATTAATAATTCTAATTAATTTGGGCCCGTCATTGTTTCGCGAAGGCTGAGTTGTATGACAGGGGGCATACATACGTGGGGTACGTGGAGGGTGGAATACACCAGCCAGGTTCGACTTTGTCTGGAAACCTGGATGTTAAATGAGTGGTAGGAATATCGAAATTCCGTCCGGGTTACTAACGACTGAAAAAGCCGTCAAATGTTTAATCGCGGTGCGGTTTCTGATTTCCGAATATCCAAAGCCGAAAGTTCGCCAGCGCATCTTGTTTAAATAATATATGGCTGAGATATTCGCTATCGAGTGAACCACGAGCTTATCTGTCTCTATCATAAAAAATCGATTAACATCGAAACGGGATCCTTCAACATTGGTAGAAGCACTTAAAGCTGAAGCAAGGAACATGGTCATTGATTCGATTCCGCTCGTGATTATTTCTAGTTCCTCTCGAGTTTGACCGCAGGTTCGATTCTTAGTCTCGGTTGTGTGACGCCGATCTTATTGCATACTTAATTAGCACAAATTTTACGTATTTTGTTTAAATTTACGTCAAAGCTAATATTTATTTATGTTTAGTGCGTATTATATATTAACAAATTAATGTCGTAAGCATTTGTTATCTTTGGTTTTTAAGTTATTTTTTACGTCAGAGGACGACAGACCAGCATGGGGTTGTTTTGATGAAACGTGAAATATCCTCGTTATAAAGCCGACTTATTTTGGCTTTGAACATTTGTTGACCCATAGACAGAACCATAATGCGATGAAACTACGACGACGGTGGCTCATGCCGTCCACGGTGATGTGCAATACAAAACGTGGTTGGAAAGGGTAATTATGACGCTAGTCAATATTTAAGTGATAAAAATGCTTAAGGTTTGAAGGAACACCCTGTAACAAGAAAAAATATGTGTAGTGCACAGTACCTACGTGAAGACTGTAAAACGAAATTTGGCAATAAAAGGAGTGACGGCGAGTTTCTTGCCAGTTCTTCTCGTTCGTTCTATGCCCTTGATTTGAGAACTGGTAGAAATGTAAATTTACTCTTTATTTTGTGACGTTCATAAGTATACATAGTTACCTACATGAATAAATTGACTTTGACTTTTTGTTATTTGTGAAAAATTTGTCACTATGAGATAGAGAAATTTTGAATCTCATATTTACTTTTCTTACTTATTATATGATTTACAATAGTGTGACTAAATCTTTTCAAATAATGTATATAATATGAAGAAATTATTTATCACCTTTTAAAAGCAACTGGAAAAAAGTCGCATATTGGGTTACTGGCCTCCCACACTGGGAACATTGGGCGAAAAACAATGATATGCTGAACGATGGCCAAAAGCCTTACACAATTTACCGTCACATCACTATCCATAAAAACATATTTATATCACTGTTACATATCAACCAAGTTAAAATAAAACAACTTTAGAAAAATTAAACTCGTCTTATATTTTACTAGTTAAGTTTAACAATACAACCTGTTTCGTGTTATAGGCACCATAGAGAGAAACTAGACACACTGCTGTGTCTGCTTTGATGGAGTGTTAGTTTTACATTTTACATTCTAATGTTAGTGGTTTCTTAGTCAGTACCTATGCATTATGAGACATAGATATGGAAATTTACAGAATTGTTTTTGCATGACATTAACATTAAGCTCCAAATAAGAAAATATCCTAAAATTAAAGGGGGGAGACATCGTTTGACCTCCTTTGAAAGCATCATTAAAATCACAAACTTGTGATGCGTCTAATTTAACAAACGTCTCAAACGCACTTGAAATATAGTTCAGAACTCCTGCTTGTCTCATGAAATATTAAACCTAACATGTAAACTATAATTAACAATAATTTGGGATAAATAAAGAATTTAATAATATGATTATTGTTTTAAATATTATTATACATTCGTTGCTTTAACTCACATTTAGGCAGAAGCTCTTGTAAAGTCTAAAAATGAAATTACACACAGAGACATGTATAAGTCTTATCAAATATTAATTATTTGTTAATTGTTTGGGGAAAAAAAAAATTTATTTTTAAAAAGAAAACAAGAGACAAAATTTTTACAAACTTGTATATGTTACATTACTTAAATTGCCTCTTAAGGTGAAATCTGAATCAACAGGTCTTACATAAGCATTTCTGTTGGAAAGCTTTTAAATGAAACACTTAAATGATTTAAATCGCGACATACATTACTTAAACTTCTTTGAAATTTATTTTAACTAGAGCCCACATATCCTTTCGACCACAGTTGGTGCAAAGTATCTGAAAGGTCAGGCTATAGTTAAAATAAGTTTAACAAAATATATCCTTTTTAAAACATTAGTATTATATTTAAATGTGTACTACTCGGGTAAACTACAGACAGTATATAGTTTGATTCCTTACAGACAGACACTAACATTTTAAATTTTTATTAAATATACCTAATAAAATTATCCTATATCACGTCTCAACAAACTTCCTGCTATACCCCTTCTTCTCGCTTAACATCTTCTCCCACTGCTTAGCCACAGTACAGTACAGCTGCATTGTTGCTCTCGCATCCTCAACAGAACTGTGTTCTCCATGCTGTATGTCAATTCCTAGGATTTCTTTTGCGAGACGTTTCAGTGATGGTGTACTCCCTTTTGTTATCTGTAAGGTGATAGAATACATTAATTGCGTTACTTTAACTTTATTGCCAGACCAGAAAAAATTAAGGATCATCTTTAAACAAATACCTTTCTAAAGGGTTTGTACTTCGATGTGTCTCTTATATTCTTCTTAGCATGTGACAAGAACAGAACACTCAAATCCGTTTTCAAAGAGTGCCCCACTAATATCCGTCCCTTCAGAATCTCAGACACTTCCTTCTGCACAGTCGTGAAGTCTTCACCGTTGAGTAAATCCTCCTTTCTAACACCACTAACACTAGTTCTATAATCTACGACCTCTTCTCGTGCTTTCACGAATTTGTCATAAATGCAGTCACCGAATTTGTTAACTAGCGAGACACGAGCAATCATATGGTCATCGCCATTATAACCAATACCCACCATTTCGCAGTCCATAGCTATGAACTTAGTTAATTTATTATTTTTGTCGTTTTGAAGGTCTTTGGAAGTGTTTTCTGTTATTGTAGTACAATTTAAATCTAATTTGCCTATGTCTTCCACGCGACTTTGTTCGGTATTTTTCTTCTTCCTGTCTCGTCTAAATGTGCCGGTGAACGTTTCCTTTTTGGTGTCGACTTTAGGTTTCTCACTAACCTTTTCCATAGCAGATGTTAACTTTAGTAATTTTTGCCAATTCGCATCGATAACACCTCGTTTAACTATTGTTTGGTTAGGTTGTTCTACTGGATTTCGCTTTCGTTTTTTCGTGTTTTCAACCATGTTTGCGCTGATATATGTCTCATAAAGAATTTTTAACAATAAATAAGGTATGTAGAGCGTACTAGAAATAGTTTTTAAGATAAAGTCAATTACCGCTAACAGCGGAGTTGTTATAATATTTGAAATAGACATTTATTTTGACAACAATGCACATGGCGCCTGGCGCACGTCGCACGTTCTGTATTCTACAGATTATTGTTTTGTTAGGGGATAATATCATATTAATTAATAGTATATATATAATATAGCTGTACAGTGGAGAAAATTAGAAAAAAAATATATATTTTAGCCTTTGCATATTATAAAAAATTAATTGATAAAATAAGTGATTATACTTAAAAATGCCTAATATTCGAATGCTATTTTTATTTGTTCTTTTGTTATGGAACTCGCACGATACTCGGTGCTTAACGGCTTATAAAAAATATGTGCTTCTATTGAGGTCATAGGTAACTATAATTATTAAAAGAATTAAAATTTAGTAATTATATTATAAATTAAATGAGTATCTATTATTTATAAATTACATCTAATGGTTAAAAAATTTTGGCTAATAGTCTAGTTAACTGACAGTGTTTTCATTTCTGAACGCAACATATTATGCAATGACATTGACATATTATAAATGACATGTACATTGTTAATATTTATCAATAAAACACATCTCCATTGCTTTTTTCTTATAGATGTATAGTTAAAATTTTACCAGTAAAACGGCAGTGTACCTCTACTATATTAAGCCGCCATTACGATGTGTTATACAAGAATGTAAATAAACAAAAATGTCGCGAAATGTCATAAGTCGGCCGACGTGTTATGTGGTGGGGAATATTAACGTGAAAATGTTCTACGGTGATGTGGAACACAATCAGTGCGGACTTTCTAATCGCGTCGTTCGGTCTCGGTAGCTGACGCTCGGCGCCAATACAATGTTCGAGGAACTTAAGAATTACGTGCGCTCGCATGGTCAAGAGCAGCTAATTAAATATTGGCAGGAGCTGGGGGATAATGAACGGGCGAAATTGGCGGGAGAGATCAGAAAGCTGGATCTAGCTGAAATGAACGAAACTTTCCAGCGCGCGAACGACACTTCAAAACTAATATCGGAGAAACTTGACGAAGACCTGAAACCAATTCCACAGACTCACTACGAAGCTGTACCAGATTTAACGGATGATAAAATAAAGGAATACGAAAGCATCGGCCTGGAAGAAATATCTAAAGGTAATGTTGGTGTTTTGTTACTAGCTGGAGGGCAAGCGACTAGATTAGGCTTTGGTCATCCCAAAGGAATGTACGATGTCGGCTTACCGTCTCACAAAACACTCTTTCAAATCCAAGCGGAACGTATCTTGCGACTGCAAACCCTGGCTGAAGAAAAAACTGGTAAAGCAGGCAACATTACCTGGTATATAATGACATCAGAACACACTAAATCCCCAACAGCCAAATACTTTAAGGACCATGGCTATTTTGGTTTAAATGAAGGGAATATAGTGTATTTCGAACAGGGTACATTACCCTGCTTTGATTTTGAGGGCAAAATAATTTTAGATGAGAAATTCCATATTGCTTCTGCACCAGATGGCAATGGTGGTTTGTATAGAGCATTGAAAACTCAAGGAATCCTTGATGACATAAAAAAACGTGGTATCCAACACTTACACGGTCACTCTGTAGATAATATCCTGACCAAGGTAGCAGATCCAGTCTTTATTGGCTACTGTAAGAGTAAGAATGCGGACTGTGCAGCTAAAGTTGTGCAAAAGTCTTCTCCAAGTGAGGCTGTGGGTGTGGTGTGCAGGGTAAATGGTCACTACAAGGTAGTGGAGTACTCCGAATTGACAGATGAGGCAGCAGTGAGACGAAACCCAGATGGAAGATTAACATTCTCAGCAGGTAATATCTGTAATCATTATTTCTCAGCAGATTTCCTACACAAGATTGCAGATTTTGAGAGAAAACTCAAATTGCATGTTGCTAAGAAGAAAATTCCATACATAAACGAGGATGGAGTCAAGGTAAAGCCATCAGAACCAAACGGAATAAAAATGGAGAAATTTATATTTGATGTCTTTGAGTTTGCTGAGAATTTTATATGCCTGGAAGTTGCTAGGGATGTTGAGTTCTCCGCTTTAAAGAATGCTGATGCTGCTAAGAAGGACTGCCCGTCAACAGCTCGAGAAGATTTACTAAGGCTTCATAGGAAGTACATAAGACAGGCTGGTGGTGAGATCTCTGATGATGTAGATGTGGAAATCTCACCTCTACTATCCTATGGTGGTGAAAACCTCAAAGAGCTTGTGGAAAACGAAGTGTTTGCCATATCTCCTTTCCACTTGCATGCTATCCATGAAACAAATGGGTACCAGAATGGATATAAAAATGGTAATCACTAGTGAAAATTATCATGGGGCAATTTTCAATTAAATGACATAATATTTAGGCCTAGCTGAATTCTTGTCACTTCAGAATCAACCCTGGGAGTTCCATGCAGCTGATAGCTTGTACCATAAAGTGATACTGGTTTTATATAATGCGAGTAGATTTTTTGTTATTGTGGCAATAGTTAAAAATTATTGATTATTGATTAAACATTTGCGGTAAAAATCCAACAAACTGTCCAGACGATAAGTCTACTAGCAGTGCTAAGCACTAACTACTTAAATTAAAAGTAATTATAATCTTAGAAATGCAATAATTCAGTATACCACAGCTGCATGTTGGATAGAATTTTCATTTAATGGAGTTTTAAATAACATTTCAATTCATACCAGTATTTTAAAAGTGAATATTGCATTACATTATCCTATTTTGCCCCAAAAAAGTGTTAATCTTAACAAAATTTCATTACTACATCAAATGGAATTTCTACTTGCCTTCAAAGCATTTAGTTGGGATTTAAAATTAATGACAAAAAAACTGCCATTAACTAACGTTAGTAATTAATGGTTTAATTGGTGCAAAATCATTGTGGCAATATATGTAAATAATATTAGATTTAATTGCATATTAGTTAATGTTATTGTTTCCATATTTTATGACTTGTTTCGAAATTTCTAGTCAGTTGCGTTTTCGGTTTCACAATTTTATTTTATTTTTATATACAGGGTCCCGAGTCTGCTCGTTCACTACCAAACAACTAGTATACTGAAAAAACAATATAAACTCTCAACATCTTTGTCAGATTACGAAACAGAATATAACTAGCCACCTTGTATGCCACATACATACATACAACTCAACACATTTAATTACATGAAGATTATTCTCATGTGGAAACAACTGTAAAAAATATTTAGTAATAAGAATCAATTTCGACCTAATACGATTACCATAAAATTGGCTCTTGTGAGTTAATCTTAAAAGATAGATTGCTGTGATTGTGTTTTTTACATTAAAAGAGGAATCATTCTTTCATACTCATTTTTTGGTAACTTGAGCCGTTTTCGCAGCGCACGCAACGATAGACCTCAAAGATTAGTAATTCTTCCCGTTTAATTACAGAATTTTTACCTTTTCTTAGCTATTCGCAGCGCGATGTTCTATCCAAAACTTTTTTTAATTCGACCCAGTAGTTTTTGCGATTAGCGCGTTTATACACACTATATTCCGCTTTATGAAATTAATATAGATCTAAACATATTTTAATTGTAAATTTACATTCGTTATTCAATTATATTACTCAAAAAATCATTTAAAAAAAACTTATGTTTACAAATTAATTTACTAGAATACAAAACATTCTGACAATGGGATATAGTGAAACACAGACTTAGGACCCAACACGTATTGAAAATTTCGCCTTAAATCGATATTGAATAGTGCTTTGCGCGGCGTTATTTTAGAAACACTCTGTATATCATTTTATTGTATATAGCGTAAGTTATATAATAATATACATATATAATACATATGTAGAGCGCTAGTGTCTGTTATAGAAAAATTATAAGATTTAAGACCGAGTTTTGTATAGCGATCTCAGATTAAAAACCCCGGGAAGTGAAATACAAATGTCTGTTAAACGGTTTGAAACTTTACATGTAAGAACCGACGTATAAACATGTTTAGTAATGGTAAACGTGGTGTCAACAAGTACGCAAATCACATTAGTTAAAAAAACGATTATAAACTATGGCTCTAGATTGTAATCAGTTTGAAGGGTGCAAAAGTGTGTCTGTTGTATGACAATGATATTATCAACATTGCAGCAAAATTTGAGAAACACAGAAGTATGTCTTAATGTGTTCTTTTATTGCTATGTCTCTTTCAACGATACACTGTTATGTAAATTTTAATGAATTACAATATAAACCTTCAAATATTACTTTTATCGTGTAATTACAATTCCATGTACTTAATTTAGTTACGAGATTATGTATTATTCAGTTAAAAATTAAACAATATCAAAAATAGTAATTGGTTTTCTTGCTATTGCGTACAGTTTTGCAAAATTATTTTTATGATAGAGAAGGAGAAGAAGAAGAAGGCTTGTCTAGCCTATGGTTCACTTGAGTTAAAATGCCCTAGCAATATTACATCTAAACTCGCTTTAGATATTTGGAAATTCTGGTAGTTCTTGACCCGGACGGAATTTCGGTATTACTACCACTACTAAATTAAAAAACATGGTTCCAAGCTAGATGCAGTAGAAAACTCCTTATAATAAAAATAATATATTATTTAAATAAAACACTTTAACTACTATTTTTAACTACGGCCTGATGTTTGGGATGCTTTGCAGCAGCGGTGGTCACGGGGAGATGATAATGATAAGATATTAATTTTAGCCTGTCCAAAGTCTCCAGATTCATAATACACCTTCAGAAAGACTAATATACAACATTCAGAATGTATTAAACTAGTTCTTTACGGAAACAGAACGACCTTGGTATTTAAGTTTATTGAAATATAAAACCGGATTATTTTATGCAGTTGATTATACAAAAAGGAATATCTATCTATATCTATGTTTGTATCAAGATAAAAATTAAATGAATCATAAAAATAACCACAGCTGCTATTGCTGGTATAAATAATAAAAAAAAACAATAATTTTAAGCTTATTTCTAAAAATCACTTTATAATTTTCGATTAAATAAAATTTACATCTCGGGCAGGACTCAAACCGGCATTTACAGCGTTCCGCGGTGCCAATTGAGCTACCTAATCAACGTTGTGAAACAAAGCCCGTGTTTTAATTTTTTAAATCTAAACAGTTTTTTTTTAATAAAATGTTATCGTATGAACTTTTCAAACGTCAGACTTTGTCCTGAAAATCTGGATATTATATGGGTGATGGGAACATCGATATTTCGTCCAAGCTCATTCACCGATAGAAAGCTGTGTAGTTGAGGTTCGGTTTTTGCCTATAATAATAATGATACATTTCCTTATTTGGCTTTTTAGTACATTCGTTCGTACAACCATTTTATATTTTAAATAATAGTGACTTAAGCGGGAAACATTATTAAGTAATGAATTAGTCAATATTGCAATTATTGGCGTAAATCGGAGGGTGAAATTCTTGCGCCCAGCCGCAAAGCGTTCTGGTAGTTTATTAAAAATGTTTTCTAGAATTTTTTGAAGGTAAATAAACTATTACAATGGGCTGTTGGCGTGATATATTCCAACATTTTGCATTCCTGTATTTTTCTAAATGCCCAAACTGAAAATGGGTCGACGGCGCATCTTGGTTATATACGGCTGGTGAAGGCCTGTCATAAAATGTGTAAAAGTTTCACTCGCCAACTCCGCTAAATAAAAACTAGTGCAAACTATGAATTAATGTTATCATACTCATTTGATATCGCAAGAATGTTGTAATATTACAACAACCGGTTTCAACCCACGACGAGAATCTCTTTTGTAAGCGAATCGGACGAAAATATACTACTAAATTATGTACTAGCTATGACCCGCGGTTTTACCGATCTGTGCTTAACAATTGGATTCGCCGATTGGAGTCGCATCGGAAGTTAACTTATAAATTGAGTCAATATATTTCGCGTTTTGAACCGTTAAATGTATTTTATTTAAATGTGTATTAATCTCGTAAACTATAGACATTTTGCTTTTACAACTTGAACTTGTGAATAATAGTGCACTAATTTAGCGTTCTTAATAATAATAATAAAAAAGAAAAGTCATCAACTATTATAAAAGTTCTACTAAGGAAAATGGATTAAATAAAAAATCTTGTCTTTCCGAAGTACGTACAAAAGAAAACACTTATCATTTGACTACATTGCCAGCAGTTAAAACATCAAGGACATAGAACGAGTAGAACTGTCAAAAAACTCGCCGCAACTCTACTCGCCAAGTTTTATTTACCAAGTACGGTCCCTCCAAGCCTTAAGCATTATTATCGTGTAATTATTATTGGTTAACGCTATAGGAACAATTCAATTAAAATGTTTTTATATACTCGACTTACGAAAATTTAGCTTGACTTGACACGATCAATAATCAGCATAATCAAATTAGCTAAGCTATTTTTTGGGTTCCGCCTCTCAGACATTACTATGATTTCGCTGTCTGTCTGGTTGTATTTCAAGAACCAAGACAGCTTGAGTGTATTCTTGCTTGCTTCGCTATTGCAGCTTTAACAACAAATATTAAATATAAACTTTAATAAATATTTAAGGGGGGTAGGTATTTTTAAGATTCTTAGTTGCAGTCCACCTCGCATTCATTAGACAGTTAAATACTGGCGAGGGTTCTTTGGTAAGTCCCCACCGGGTCCAACAAGTTTGTACTCAATTTTTTTTTATATAGCTGGGGTATTTTCCCTTCCATCAAGAGAACCCCATTTTTGTTCGTCATCTTGTCTCATAAAAATAACAACAATTATTTGCGTTCAGTTTCTATCTAAGGTCTTTTACAATTTCACAATTTTTCGTGTTTAGACTGTCGTGTATTACAATTTATATTTTGGCTTAAGGTCTCGCTACCAGGCCATTAAATATTTTAAAAAAAGTAACTACGTTTGAAAATGTTTTTTTTAAAGATAGGAGGTACACTCCTTTGCATGATTTATACAAAGCACTAGATTACCCAACACTGGCAAAGTTCACGCAATAATAATTTGACCTTTCAAAATATCCATTCACTTTCAAATTATAATAGGATTGAAAAGTGAAAACTATACTGACCTTGAGTTAAAACTTGTTTTAAAACCTGCGCGTGCGACGGCGCCATTATTGATTTTAAAAATTATATCCTACAACTTGTATAAAAAAGTCTAATTTGTTGAAACGTAAACTCTATTTGTACAAGGGTCAAAAATTTAAGTACTAAGAGAATAACTGAAATATCATGAATTTCGTATTTTGCTTTATGATAGAGGGGGACAACGGACCAGCACGGGGTCCTCCTGATGGAAGGCGAAATAACCCAG